CCTGCCAGCACGCACTCTATAAGGTGTCGTCAAAGTTCAACATAGATATCCCGGTATTTCCCCGCGCGCCTGTGCTGAGGCCAGTCTGGCCCGGCCGGAGGCGTGCTGCTGAGTCAGTGGCAGTCCGTCACTGTGTTGCACGCACAAAACCCACCTATGTTCGACCGCTGTGTTTCGGAGGCGTTGAGTGCGGAACTCAGTGCAAGATATATCATCGTCGCGAGCCCCACATATTTTGCGCATGACACGGCGGCTGCGCTCGATGTAGGCAAGTTTGATCACTCCGTCGTCGCGTCTTCAATGTATCTGAAACTGCCTAGTCGACTCGCCCCCAGCAGTGCCATAGGTTCCGGAAATTGTCCTGTGCGCTACTGAATGAAGTGAGCTGCGAGGAGCTGTTCACGGAACTCGAGTCGCCCTCGGCAGGCTTCCCGGACCACGAAACATTGCCTACCACTGCATCAACGCTGGTAGTCACTGCTGCACTAGCAGTTGCCTCTTTTTTCCATCCTTGCGGTCAGCCAAGCGTACGGCAGTAATTTCTTTCGCCCCCATGTGGGCCCTGCGACAAACGTTCTTCACGATACCATACGGGAGAGGTGGAGACTGCTGTCTCCGCACTTCGTGAAGGACCAACGCAATGTTGCACTTAAGTTCGAGGCTCTGAGAGGTGCACTCTCCACCTAGCTGTTCTTCACTCCTCGTGTGATTGTCTTAAGTTAGGAGTCGACTCGCCTCATCCACAAGTCCCACGACCTTGCGTGCGTCGCACTCCCAACTGTATCCCTACACCTCCCACGATGGGCCCAGATCTCAAGGCCGTCTTGACGGCTCCATAACGCTTCAAGGTGGTTCCGAAACTAGGCTACTCTCACAGGATGCCCCGCTCGAGGGTGCTGGTGTTAACATCGACCCCAAGTGACGGGCGCGCGCCCTCGAAGAGTCGAACACGGTTGAACTCAAGCGAGCGGTGCCGCATACTCGGTGCGGCATGGCGCATACGGGAGTGCCGACCGAAGCCGGGTTTGCCTTTTAGATCGTTCTATGTGAAGGTCTGCATAGTGGCGGGGGTTGGCTTTTGTCACCTGATGCATACAATATCTTGGCGATTAGCATTGCGTCGACGACGCCGGGCTACGCATATGGCAAGGAAACAATTGCGGGCACATGTATGTGGAAAACAATGCCCAATCCAACGATCACTAACCGCCAAACATCCTATCTGCGTCTAGCTCTTACACAGCTGGACAGGACCTCGGGATCAATATTGCCACTCCGGTGGGCACCCTGGTAGGGCAGCTCCTATTCCGATGGCTTGCGCACAAGGTTGGCCGCAAACGAATGTGTAAACTTGTTTGCTTTCTCGGCTTGCTCTGGCTGCGAAAGAAGACTAAAAGAAGCACATGCAGACGGCCTGGCTCATCATCATCATAATGGCGACGTTCGGCCAGACCTTGGCCTCCCCAACGCGCTATCGCTCTTCGGCTCACGGCATCTCAGCTGCAAGTGGAAGGCTTGGATCGATCATCCCCCAGCTTGCCTTTCAGTATCTGATCATCTGATCAGCACCAGAGATACCGACCAGGAGAAGGCCTTTGTCATATTGTACGTTTGACTCCTCTTTTCTGCGAAAGCAGATGAGAGAACAATCGGACTGACCCGATGTCCGAGTCATGGGTTGCGTACTCTGTTGCTCCTAGCATTCTTCATGCTCACCGAGGCGGATTCAACGCTGCTCATCAAGGAGACAACTCGGAAGACGCTAGAGGGCCTCTCGAACGAGAGACAGGACCTTTTCGTCATGACTGAATGGCTTACCAAGCGTCAGACATCATCGTCCTGCTGTATTCACCTGTGTCCACGTTGAGGTGCGATTTCGTGCGGTACTGCCCACTGACGATGTGGTGGGGCTCGTTGTCCAGGTGCATAAACAAGCACCTGTCTGTCCAGAACAAATAACTTTACGGCGCACATGATTTTCACATTTTTGGTACACAGGCTCTCAGAGAAGCAGACGGAACTCCTGATACCTCCACGCGTGGTAGAGTTGGACACACGGACGAGTCGTCCATATTACGTGTATGTGACTGTCTTGAATGATACCTTGGATTGTAGTAGTGGTACGATTGCACTTATTCCTCCTGCCACAGTCGGCTCCGTTGACTTCTGTGAGGGAAGCGTCGAGAAATGGGGACAATATGCAGTGAGCATCATCTGGTCGCAATCGGGACGAATCATGAGGTAATTGACATGTGAAGTCAGATTGGCTTGGGGACCTAGAGGGAATCGGTGTCCTATATGAGCGAGGAGGTTCACCATCATATACTCAGGCTGTCATGGAAGGTAGAGGACGTACCTGGTGTTCTACTCATCCGGCATCCCGGATGCAATTCGGTTCGTTTGTCCCACTCCGTCATGATGGATGCCCCTGCACAGCACCTGAGACTCACACCGTACTCAGTACAGCTGCGGGCAAACCTTGGCGACAGCTATAAGGGACACCCGTTGATCGGAACATAAGTGATTGAACGCGGGGGATTGGGACGGCACGGCCGGCCATGTCGCTGCGAAGGAGGGACGTGACTCCGATCATAGAAGACATAGTGCTTGCGTTGTTCGTTGTCGCTGTCATAGCGTACTGCGTGAACACATATTCATCCTTGCTTAGCATCTGGACCTCGCACGTCTACTCGTCCATGCTGGGGTCGTTCGCAAAACGTCCTATCATGGACGCACATCTTCGATGTCATCTTGGAGAGTTCATTGTGCCTACATCCGAAGTACGGCGAGATGTGACAAGCGCAACGAACGCCGCTCAGCCGTCGGCAACTGAGCTGTGAGCCGTGCGAAGCACCGCCGTTCTGCGTTGCCACTTCTCCCGTCGATAGACAGCGATACGAACAGCACTAGCGAAAAACGTCAGTAGAAGAGTGAAACCGATGCATCACTGTCAAGAAGGATCAGACTGAATGAAGCCAACTGAACCCTTGTGGATGAATAGCAAGAAGTTTCACGGCCTCAATCCATAGTCGTATTCCTTCTTATGGATTGCGACGGTCACTAGGGGTGCATTCCAGATCGCGAAGCGCTGCGCTGAAATGCCGCAGACACGCATCTCGTTCCCGAGTGTCTTCGTGACCAGAGGATCTTGTCTTGGGCAGTGCAGGGAAGCTGGGCATGTTCTCTCTGTTCCGATAACCGCCAGTGGACCATTGTCTCAATCCGCGACGCTTCCGGCACGAGAAGATGCAGAAGTCCTGTGAATAAGTGAGCCTGTATTGGCCTCGCCCGACCTGCATGCAACGCACGGCGTATTGAGCTACGATGGCCGCCCACAATGTTAGGATGGCGCAGTGCCCAATGGGCGAAGGCCCACATCCTGCTTCTTGGGCGGCGGAATAACGTATCTGTTCTGGATATCAGTTTCGACTGTAGATTCGACTTGCTCTACAGCACTTCCGTGAGCAATTCTCAGAATGTCTGTAGCCGCCGACCGGACGCCAATGGAAGTCTAGAGCTGTTCTAGGTCCCACTGCAGCCGGCATTCAGAAGTCAACAATGTGAGAAGGAACTCACCCAAACTCAAACTGTATGCAGCGCCGCGCCAACCGTTAAGTACTGTTACGTCCATGGCGGTTCTTGACTGAAACGCACGTACGTAACTTCGGCCTGTACATCGGACTCGGATGGACCACATCCTGCGCGCAGTGATGAGATATCTGTCAATCGTTTCTGAGAACGCGATGCGAAAGGTCGAGGTCTCTCAGGACCTGTCTGTGGCAGGAGGAACGGCTAGCGTTCATTGTCGAGTAGCCTCAAGGCATCTATGCATCGCCTCGACATGGCTTTCCGGCCATGCCGGCGGCGGAGCAAATTGCTCCATAGCCGCCCGCTGTGGCGTTGCCGCGGCTTGCTTCTGGACCATAACAGTGTTTTCTGTTTTCTTCCTACCCCCCTGCATCGTCCTCGGATACTCGCCGGGGAAGGGAAAATTGAACAAGACAATCCGTGTCACGATTGGCCAGTAGAGCCATGGTCCAACACGCCAGTGCTGCAGCGGCATCCAGTCCAAGTCAGCCTCCGATGATCATGGCACGTTGGTAAGTCGAAAGTATCCAGGGACTCGGGAATGGTTCCAGGGCCCCTGGTCGAGATTAGGTGGGATCCCTCCCTCTTGCATATCGAACCGGGTCTCGTCTGAACCATCAAAAGTTATGCTTCACAGATTAATCCTGAAGCGTAAGACTCTGAACGATCCACATTATTGACTAGCCACGGTTGGCGTCACTGTACTTGCGCTCTCGGTGTTTGATCCTCTATCAACGTTCTCAGGGCCTCTCGGATGGTATGAGCGCTAGGACAGATCCTGGGAAGGGTACTCAGCGGTCTTTCATCACACGTGCGTGCAGCAGATCTACTTCCATCTATTGCCAGGGCCTGCGATCTGACGTAGCGGATGGACCCTGCCTGTCATGTAGTCTCGGAGACTACGTATGGGCAAATGGTGTGCAAGATTTCTGCATGTATGCTTCATATCTGGTGGGCCTGCGAGCGGCACCCGGGCTCGATGGAGGAGGCCGTCGCCAGGTCCCTGAGATAGCGTTGGCACCGATCTCGCAAGCCGACTTATCGTCATTGGCCGCCAAGGCAGGCTAGCATCTGAGATCATCGTGCGCTTTCGGTGACTCCAGTACCCAGAGGAATGGCCTCACTTCAGCCGCTAGCTGTGGGAGCGCCAGGAACCAGTACGCGGCAGGGCCCGATGTGTCGAGGAATTGCTCAGAGCACTCTAGTTCTGTATAAGTAATGGCACGACCGGGGCGCGTAGCATTCGGACCTCCGCTCGCTTCAGACTTCCGTTGTGAGCGCATACCCCATAGTCCATGAGGGCGTGAAGCCCTTTCTCGCTCTTACACACACTTGCCGTTGCCCTTGAACCTCTTATGCCTATCCATTCTTCCTCAATAGGCCATGTCATCCGAAAGGTGCCCACGCTCGACATGGGGCGCCCGCACCGCAGTCGAAAGTCGGCAGACGCTGCCACCGTCCATAGATTGAACGAGAGCCGACGAGCCCTACTTCATGAGATAGACAACGCGAAGTTCTCGTGAGTCATCCAAAGCTGTATAAGATGTACGGCAGATAGTGTGGCCGCTGACGGTGTTGCGTCAACGACAGTTGGTTCCACGTGAAAATTGCGTTCGTCTCGGGCGCGGGCTTCTTCACAGATGCGTGAGTGTTAGCTGCACTCATATGTTGCACTCTGGACCGAGTTGAATCATTCCGCTACTGATTAGCTACGACATCTTCGCGATCACTATTGTGTCGATCATCTTGGGCTACCTCTACGGATCTGGTTCGTTATCTTTTGTGCGGTACTTCCTTTTGTGCTCACCTTATCCCCGCAGTTGATCCTGCTCCCGGTCCAAGTCTGGACTCCGCATCACACCGTACTCTAAGCCCAACCAAACAAGATCTTGGAATCAAGATCGCTACACCAGCTGGTGTTCTTGTAGGGCAACTGCTTTTTGGATGGCTAGGAGATGTACTTGGTCGTAAACGTATATGTACGTCTAGACGTCGACTCCTAAGCCATCTCCCTTAGTGACCAGTGTGGTTAGATGGCATAGAACTCCTAGTTATCATGGTGGCAACCTTTGGTCAAGCACTGTGCGCACCTGCCATGGCTATCGACTTCTTGAACGTACTCATATTTTGGCGATTTGTGGTATGTCGATGACTAACGGCTGGTCCTTCAGGTTGTTGTACTGACTTCGCAATGCTAATGTAGATGGGCATCGGAATAGGTGGCGACTATCCTATTAGTGCTGTCATCTCTTCAGAGTTTTCCTCGGTACACATCCGAGGTCGCGTCATGGCCGCCGTTTTTGCCAACCAAGGCTGGGGACAGTTGTGTAAGTGTCTAAATTCCCTTGCAGGGGTACACGATTATTCATAGTGCCGAAGCTGCTACACTCTTTTCGTTTATAATTGTTGCCGCTTACAAACACTCATTTCTGAACGACCCTCCTGCCGACGTCTTTCGATCTCTTGATCAAGTATGGCGTCTCATCGTCGGCCTCGGATGCGTCCCTGCTGCCATTGCAATATACTTCCGCTTGACAATCCCGGAGACTCCTCGTTTCACTATGGACATCGAGCGGAACATCCGCCAAGCTCGCAACGATGTTGACGTTCTCCTTAGTCAAGACGAAACATATACGGTCGACCACGATGCTATCGATCAGCGTGTACAAGCTCGCAAGGCTACAAGAAGCGACTTCACGACTTACTTCTCAAAGTGGGAAAATCTGAAGGTTCTCATCGGCACATCGTATTCCTGGTTTGCCCTGGACGTGAGCATCTGTCTGTCTCCTCATGCCTTGCTCCTCTCTGATAGGCACGATACCTGTTTAGGTCGCATTTTATGGTCTCGGTCTGAACTCGTCCATTATACTCTCTGCGATAGGCTTTGGGTCACAGAGCAACAGCAGCATGCCGGGCGCGGAGATCATCTACAATGCGCTTCGCAATCTGACCTTGGGCAATCTCATCCTGTCTGTTGCAGGCTTGGTGCCGGGATATTGGGTAACGTTCCTGCTCATCGACCGGTGGGGCCGGAAGCCAATACAGTTCATGGGATTCAGCGTGCTCACTATTCTATTCCTGGTGATGGGTACGTGGTTGAATTCCCATGTGCACACGGGAGTGCCTTCGCATGGGAGACGACAGTGAGAGCTGACGGAAACATATAGGGTTGGCGTACGACAAACTAAAATCCTCATCTGGCGGGAAGATCGCGTTCGTCGTGTTATACTGCCTAGCGAACTTCTTCGAGAACTTTGGCCCGAACACGACAACGTTCATCGTTCCCGGAGAGGTGTTCCCCACGCGCTACCGCGCGACTGCGCACGGTATCTCTGCAGCCAGCGGGAAGTTCGGTGCCGTTATCGCTCAAGTAGCGTTCCAGTGGTTGAAGGACGTTGGAGGACCAACGGGATCGAACAAGTTCCTTGGCCACATGTGCGTCGTGCTTGTTCATGTGCCTGGGTGACCCGGGCTAACATCGTCGCGTTCCTCAGCCTCGAGATCTTCGCCTTCTTCATGTTGACCGGCATCCTCTCAACGATGCTCATACCCGAGACGAAACAGCAAACGCTGGAGGTGCTCTCGAATGAGAGTCAGGACGAGTTTATTCAAGGTTTGCGTCTCACAAATGTCTCAATTCCTTTGCTTGTCTGACGTACATCTTGCGTGGTTGCACACAGCGGTCCCACCCTTGGAAACGGCATCGTCTTACATGGGCGATTTCCAGTCAACGCCGATCAAACTCTATCCTCTCGACTCACACCTGTCCACATCCGCACCCTCACGGCCTCCGACAGCATATTCAAACAAGAGCCGTCTTGGGTATAACTTCTCGTCGTCGTCGCATCTCACCAACATCTCGGACATATCTGTCTCCTCGAGATAGAGTAGTCTGCTGAGACGTCCTTCCCCATCGCGAGTTCCCATGCTGCTGTGTCCGTTGTTCGTAGGTTTGGCTGGGGTCAGCGTATCTTTATTTACCGTTGCCACTTTGTATTGTATGTGCGAGTTGATACCATTTGAGTCTTGTATACTTGCGCTTGGGTATTGCCGGACTTGTATAGAAGGGGCCTTGATCGGATGAGGCATAGATTACCCACTACCTAGCTGTGATAACGTACAAATCCCATGTATGCCTGTCCGAGTCGGTCATGTAATGGTGGTTGTGTATCCTGGTACTAGTCTTCTGCTGAAATTGGTATCAACGTGCCGGGGAAGACATGATGTGGGCGAGGCCAATAACGGGACAATCATGTGAGCGCATACACACAAAGAAACATTGGAAAAAGGAGAGCGAAACCACGGCAGGATGCTGCTTCCCAAGCTAACCATACAGCGCAAGGCGAGGTCGTTCAGTCGGAAGCAGAGGTGGAATCAGAGTCGTAGGAGCTCTCAGAAGTGACTGTGACCGAACCGGTCGAGTGCTTCCTGGGCGGTATATACCACCGATCACGCACTTCGACGTGAGGAGCGGGCGCGGACATGAGAGTCGTGGAATCCTCAGTGGGGGCCCTGTAGACCACCTGTCTGAGTGGTGAGGACGTGCTTGGAGTGAAGCCATTCGCTGTGGCTTTGTTGGTGGTTCGAGAGGATTCCCCGGCGGAGGGCCCCTGCCAATGAGACTGTGAGACTTTTGTATATGGTAAGAGACTATGAGAAGTCGTTGGAGATTCGGGTTTCCTTGTAGATCTGGTCGAGGCATTCGCCGTGGTTCCGACTTGAGAAGAGGGTCTGGGAGAACGGCGGGTTGGAGTTTCTGTGACCCTGGTTCTACGACGCTGCGCGCGTGGTTGGCGGCTTTTACCGTCTCCCTCGTCGTCAAGCAGAATGGGATCGTCCTGGGATCCGACGGGAGGAGGGGGAGGCGGCTCTTCGAAAAGCGCTAGGTGTTCAGAAACCGATGGGTTCCGCGAGAGGGTGCTCGGCGGGAACCCGACTTCGACGTCGTCACGCTCGATGAGCGAAGGGTCCAATGGCGGAGGTGTGCAGTATCGATGCTAGAATCCCACGACAATCAGTTAACCACGCGGGCGAGTCCACTGCATGAGCCACACAAACCTGCGGATTGAGAAGGACATCCGGGAAGAGCGACAACGGATCCCTCACGCCATTGGTGGGTTTGCGAGACGACGAGCCGTCCGAGGAAAAGGCGCTATCGTGGAATCCGATGCGGTGGCGGACCTTGGGCATTCTAGAGGGAGTCGAAATGAGTGATGAGCGGTAGAAGGTGGATGGTGTGGTCGCCCTTACTTTTTATATCAAAGGTTGAGGCAAAGCGGGCGCATTCAACGCTGAATCCAGACCAATGCCACCAAGCGTCGGCAGTCACTTGGAACAAAGAGGTTGGAACGTGGGTGATCGACCGCCATCCCATAGAAGTGGGGCTTGGCCCTAGCACCATGCGAAGTGGCACAGGGGTATACGGAGACACCGCAGGGTCAATGTAAGCGATGTCTCTGGATCACATACTGACCTCCAGCGCAACGACCTCTGGCCTCGCTCCGGATCTCAGAATGCCCTAGTAAGTCCTCCTAGGAATTTGGGCCCGTGAGTAGTGTTCGAAGAGTGCACTATGCGAGATTCATTGCAATCCCCCCCTTGAAGTATTGGCTTTCGGTGTCAGTGTCAGGGTGAGATGGCTGGCGGTGGCCGAGGCGGAACTTTGAGGAAGCGCTCACGCGCCGTTTCACCCATATTCTACCTCGATCCGTTCACTCGCTCCCGAGCCGACAGGTCTTCCCATCATCCTCCCCTCATCGAAAACAATCTAATACACGCAATACAGCGAGACATGGTATCTGCGCAATTTCGCCCTCTTCATTGTCGTAGGCATTGGCGTTGTTCGTCGTACAAGGCACAATAAGCCAGCACGCTGTTACCATGCGCTCGTTCCGAGTCCAAACCAGCCCAGTCAGCCGCCCCAGCCGCCGCGCATAGAAGAGACGTACGCGTTCGCTATTGCGTTACGTGTCTTTCTTCGTGTACGACACTTGTGCTCCACCTCGTAACTTCCTGTCAACAGGCTTCCATTCGACCGCTGCGCGGCCTTATCAGAGCCTGGCGCTCTCTTGTCCTACTCACTGCTCTCTGGTATTTCCGCCATGTTGTCTACCACGCTCCTCATACTTTCTGCCGTCTTGCTACGAACACGGAGGACGCATGGTCACCAAAGTCAGTAGTGCTCTGAAGTTGAGTGATAGATAGCTGACGTCATGGTTGCCCTTCGCAGCGATATGGCATCCTAGCATGTATGGGTTCAATGTCACAGAGCAGACATTCCCATATGACAATCGGCCCGTGACTCCCCTCGCGAACGGCACTTTCGAACAATGGTGGTTCCACGGACACCTCGACTATCCCCCTAACCACGGTGACTTCTTGGAGCTCCCTGCCGGGAAGCCCGCCACCGTCGAGATCGCCTGCAACAAGGGTCTCACATCGTACTGGGCATCATCCGAGGGCCATACCGATGTCAGCCAGGGTGACAATCCTTGCCCGTCGGACGACGGGAGTTTTCCTAGTGGGGCGATGCACACTACGGGGTTTGACGACTTGACGGGCTGTGCGTTGGCGATCGCGTACGAGAGCGACGTTACGAAGATCCAGCCGGAGAACTTCACGGTCTTCAGCGTGAACCATACGTGCGTGTGGACTCGGTTCACAGACTTCCAGGTCCCGGAGAGGATGCCGCCATGTCCTGAAGGCGGCTGTCACTGTGCTTTCTTCTGGATACACTCGGTACGTCCTCCCTAAACAGAGTGGCTATACCCTCACTGATGACCTGCAATAGCCCAACAGCGGTAGCGAACAGAGTACGTCATCTTGATCCCTCTGATATTTACCCGTGTCACTGATAAGCGGTCTATCAGACTATATGAACGGCTACAGATGCAACGTGACCGGTTCCACCTCGAAGGTTTCTCTCGCAGAGCCCAAGCTCCCTCGCCGTTGTGGCGCAGACCCTCAGTTCGGCAAGCCACACGCCGTCCCCGGCAACTGCACCTACGGTGCGAAGCAGCCTTTCTATTGGTTCCAGTTCGAGCGCAACAACGTCCGTACTCTCCCCTCTTGTCCCGCTCCTTGCGGCTGAGGCCGTTTGATCTGAACTACAGATGTTCGAGGGGACTTACGCCCCGCCGTTCTACACCGACTTGTACAACTTCAAGGACGGGGCGCAAAACGACATATTTGCCGACTCGTACGCGTCGATCCCTCCACCCAGCCCGAGCCAGACGGCCGTCCCTACCCCCCGGCAGCAGCCTTCTGCGACTACATCGTCGTCAAGTTCGGCTCCCTCCGCAAGTCCGTCGGGCCAGGCGCCATTTGGGACTCCTCCTGGCAGGTGTTCGACCTGGTGAGTGCTCTCGTTAACTCGTTCTACTGCATTGCATGCTGATGGGACGGATCTGAAGTCGATCGAAGGCGTCCCGTACGAGCGATGTGAAGAAGCAAAGCTTGTTCGGGTTCCAAACGCGCAAACGCACATTCAGTCTGTGGCATCCTTTTTAGAGGCTCGTAGCCTGGCGCAGGTTACGCCCAGTTTTTGTCTTTATGACCGTCACGACAATCCTCGACCCGAGTCCCATGATCTTCTACGAATCTGTTACGAATCTACACACATTTGTCATTCTTCTGCTTCACCACAAGGAGTCAACTATAGCCGTAGATATTACGAAGCGTCGCATACAGAGTAGAAGCAGCTCATGATGCTGTCCGATTGATTTTGCTGCACAAATCTCTATTCCATTCCGGTTTAACCAGCTACGCTCGTCTCCATCGCCGAAAACTAGGTAGCGACGAGGAACGCTGGCATGCGCGCGAGTGGAGGCCTACGCATATGAATGAAAAGCGGCCACAGCATGACCGGGGTAGCAAGCGAGATGGGAGTAGGCTCCACAGAAGTCAGGGCAGACCACGGAAGCAGGTCAGGCGTGGGCGGAGTAACAGCCGCAGGCGAGAATTGGGCATCGTCGTTCAAGCTGATATCCTCGTAGTTGTTGGGAGAAGAGGAAAGCGCGAACCCGACCTTGGCAGGGGAGACTGGTGGGGGGATCTCAGCGATGGGCTGGGCGAGCTCGACGGGGCCTGCCCCTTGTGAGCGAGAGCCTGACGCCGAGAGGCCGTCGCTAGACGGTCGTGCCGACGTCTCTTCGGATGAAGTGGAGGGCAGGAGAGCCGAGGGGATGGGAACGTCGGAGGTAGCCCGCAGATGGGCAAGCTCTTCGGCAGTCAACGGCTTCAGCACCTCTTTGATCGGTTCCGCGCGCTCGAAGAGGTAGTGCAGGCGGGGGCGGCGACGTCTGTCGCCGTTATGGCCCGAATGCACACCCGCGTCGCAGTCGGCCTCGTAGCCTTCCTCGATATCCTCCGCCAAGGTTGAGGATGTGCTCGGTCTGTGGTTTTGAGTACCGCGGTGGCGGGGCATGCCCGGGTCATGGCTGGAGACGAAGGATCAGCTTGTAATTGGTACGTCTGACTGAGCGGGACTTGCCTTTGCCGTCGTAACAAGCCACGAACGTTAGGATTGCTTTCTCCGTCTATCATGACGGAGTCGCCGAAGATCATGTCGACCGCCCCGCCCGAGTCGACGCTAAAGCCCCCCGCTTCCGACGACGAACCTCCGAAGAAGGACGATTCGACCTCTGCGGTAGCGGAGCAAGTGCGTGACAAGACAGATAATTGGCTATTGGAGCTCTCCCTGCTAGAGAAGGAGGTCGAATTGCTTGTGACTGAGTCGCCGGAGAGGAAGGTGTTCGGCATCCCAAATATGTGGTTTGGTTACGTTGAGCTTTGGGGCGATAGGCTGGTAGTGATTTTTCAGGAGGCGGGGTTGGACTTGGGTAGGTAGGGGAACTCAGGCTCAATACAGGCCCCTTATATGTGTTTTCTATACCGAGACTAGGTTCATGTGATGCAAAAGACATGCCTGCAAGTCCAGGCGTTGCGTTCTACCCGACGTCGAGCCGGAGACCAGGATTGCTGTATAGACCATACAGTAACTTTCAGTCTCCGCATCGAGTTGTGGGGACTCGGGTCGGAAGGAGAACTGCCGCGGTCGGACTGAGCGCTCTCGATAGACAGGATTCCTGAGCGGATTGCTTCAAGGAGGGAAAGCATATTCTCGTCCAGCCTGCTCCTGATGATCATGGTCGTTGGCACTACGCGCTTCGTAGCGATGCATGTTTGTATGTATTTGTCTACCATAGGCGCCGAGTACAATCGGGCGCCTATACCGCTTGTGTTCGCCCTTGGTCAGGCCTTCGCGGCTGCATCCTGCCATCTCAGACAAGGATGCGTTGGGGTTCTGGTCGTTGCAGTACGGTGGAGACAGGGCCATACAGTATCTGTGGTAAGGGCAATGCCATCTCTACATGCACCTTATTGTTCTTACGTTACGTGTCGACCTGTCCAGGTAGATAGCCCGCCTACGAAAACAATAACTACTCCATTAATAGATTCTAATTCTCTCTCTTGCCGACCATCGGTATATCTTCCTCGATCGTTGACGTTGGGGAAACGCCCCATCATCGACCTGGTCGACTAGTAGCTCACGCTCATCTCGGGTTCGACGCCTCGGAGACTGGTTCTCACTCCTCTGGATTCATACGCTGGTCCGTCATCCTAGACTTCCTCGGACTCTCAGATCCCCTCAGATCGCTACACTTTACGCGTACCTGACGACCTACTAACGCCATGCTTGCCGGACTGCTACTCACCGCTGCAGCGGCTCTTCCCCTCGCCACTGCGCACATCGGTGAGCGTTCCCCAAGGCTCTGTTTGTGGTGGACCTGCTATCTGACATTTCTCTCGTTTTTCCATCGATAGCGTTCTTCCATCCGAGCATGTACGGATTCAACGTCACCCAGCAGACCTTTCCCTATGACAATCGCCCTGTCGCTCCCCTCATGAACATGAATTTTCAGCAATGGTGGTTCCATGGACATCTTGATTACCCGCCCAACCCAGGAGACATCTTCGAGCTCCCCGCGGGCAGGCCCGCTACGACTCAGCTTTCCTGCGATAAGGGCGAGACGACCTTCTTCGCGTCCTCCCCAGGTGGCAATGTTCAGGCTGGCAACAATCCCTGCACCGGGGATACCTTCCCTAGTGGGGCGATGCACACGACCGGCTTCGACGACCTGAAGGGCTGCGCCCTTGCGATTGCTTACGAATCGGATGTGACGAAGATCCAGCCCGAAAACTTCACGGTGTTCAGCGTGAACCAGACGTGTGTCTGGAATCGCTTCACGGACTTCCAAGTTCCGGAGCGCATGCCTCCTTGCCCGCCCGGCGGGTGCCACTGTGCTTGGTTCTGGATTCACTCGGTACGCGTCTGCTTCGTCTGGTTCGATTCGAGACGAGACGGCTTATGGACTTGCTTCGTTTCAGCCTGATAGCGGAGGAGAGCAGAGTACGTTGACCGGTTACTGATGATGCATACGGACATTGATCGTGATTTCGGTACAGACTACATGAATGGCTTCAAGTGTAATATTACCGGCTCGACCTCCAACGTGGCGCTCGCCAAGCCACAAGTACCCCGCCGCTGTGGTGCCGACCCTACGAATGGCAAGCCCAATGCCGCCCCAGGAAACTGCACGTATGGCGCGAAGCAGCCATTCTACTGGTTCCAGACTGAGCGCAACAACGTACGTGTCTTTTGGGTAAATGTATGATGCCCCCGGACTGACGTCGTTGGGATGTAGATGTTCGAAGCCACGTACTCCCCGCCATTCTATACCGACCTGTACAACTTCAAGGATGGCGCGCAAAACGATATTTTCGAGGACTCGTATCCCCAAGGGCTCCCTCCGCCCAGTCCGAATTCTACGTTCGTCCCTACACCGTTCCTGGGGAATGGTAGCGGTAGCTCGACCGCCGGAGGCGCTTCGTCCTCTGTCGTTTCCTCTTCCCCATCCGGTTCTTCCTCGTCAGTAGCTGCAGCCTCCAGCGGCGCTCTGGGCTCATCATCCAACGGATCTATCTTGTCGACCACCACGGGTGCTGTCGGCTCATTCTCGAGTGGATCGGTGTCGTCGACTCCAGGTTCCGCATCGTCCACTGCTATCGCATCAACGCTACCTGTCTCTTCATCGTCAGCGTCTTCGTCAATTGTACAGGGGACGCCGGATCTTCCACTATCTATCACGTCGGCCACGATATCGTCTCCCACCTCATCCTCAGCGTCATCAGTATCGCAGCCCCTCACTGGCAATTCGCAAGATGGTCCTGCGTCCACGGCCATTCCAGGTTCCTCCGAATCTACGAGCGTTACGGCGTCGGAAACAACTTCCGTCGTCCTGTCGACATCGATTGTTCTCAGTACGGTCTTAGTCACTGTGACTGCAACGCCGGTACCGACTCGGAATGCAACCTCCGCCTCCATCACCCTCTCGTTCTCTGACTCGATGCCGGCCACAGCAAGCACCGGCACTTCGAGCATCTCCACGCAACTCACCCCGACCCAGAGCGTATTCCTGTCTGCTTCTGACGCGGCTTCTACTATTGTTCTGAACTTCCCCACTGGAAACGCGGCACCAACGACGAGCGTCCTCATGGCCACGGTGCAAGTCCCTCGAGCTGCATTACTCACTGCTCGCACGAACTGGTGAGTCACTTTACCTACTTACCAACGCATTAGAGTTCTTGCTGATGGTGCTGGCGAATATGTAGTAAGCGCGAACCTGGCCGGAGAAAGATGTTCCGGCGTCGCCCCTCCGTGGAGCCTGTAGTATCTAACATGGAGATTCTTGATGCCCGTGAAGAGCAGCCGACATCCGCACAGGCAGCCGACACTGTTCTGGGCATGCGTAAGCACAAGCTGAGAAGATTGGGGAGTCGCAGTCGGCTGTGGAACCTCTTCTGACTGTCCGCTGTGGAACCTCTTCTGACTGTCCGCTGTGGAACCTCTTCTGACTGTCCGCTGTGGTGACTCCGATACGGGTTCGTGGGTGAATATGCGCGGTGCCGAAGGCTTCCTCTGGCATCAACCCCTAAGTAGTTTGATGGTAGATATTACCTCCCCACCCTTGTAGTGTTTCTTGCATAGTGTATCGCTTGGTGTAGCTGTAGCTGATATCGTATACCCCAAATCATGTAGAATGGCTTCTCTTCAATATTGCAATCGCTAGCATGCCTTGTTTAGCCTCGCCTGGCCCGACAACACAGTATCATCGCCGATCATGATGGGACGCGCGATCCGGAGTGTTGGATGAAATCGAACGCCGCGTATTGATTTGAGCTCCCGCGCCTGCTCGCTCAACGTCATATATATTGTCCCCGCGTTCCGAGACCCTCGACCCCGTTCTCTCCCGTTCCTTCCCGTGCTGTCACCGCACGGCCACGTACAACCACATCCTATTCCTGCATACGACGCGCGACAGACGATACACCATAGGAAGTGCCAAGGATGCCGCGAGAGATCATCAACGTGCAAGTGAGTTGCCCGTTTGCCGTGCGAGCGCGTGTATCGATCACGTCGGGGCACGCTCGCTTTTTACCCACTCGCTCACTCGGCCCTGGCTTGTTAGGTCGGACAGGTAATGGCGATCAATACACGCTACAGACGTGTGTGTGCGGGACTGAACAGCGGGTTGCAGGCTGGAAACCAGGTTGGAGAGGCCTTCTGGCGGATGCTCCTCGCTGAGCATGGCTTGGATGATGATGGGGTGAGTCGGAGCGCAAGTCTGATGGAGGCAGGGTCTGATGTACCCCTGCATATGCATATAGCATTATCAAGGGCGGGACGACCAGCAGCTTTCGAGAGTACGTTGTTTTTGGTCGATATACTTACGCTAGATGAACATGCTAATAGGCTCGCGTTCTGTCGTCGTCCACGCATAGGTCGGCGTATTCTTTACGGAGGTACAGAATGCCGGCTATCCCACCAAATACGTCCCGCGAAGCGTGCAAATTGACCTCGAGGAGGGTGTCACCGATCGCGTGAGTATGCTCGGCTATTCAGCAGTCCTCCAACCAAATCGTGACTACCGATAATGGCAGATCCGGTCAGGACCTCTAGGCAAGCTCTACCGCCCAGATACGTACGTTTTCGGGCAATCTGGCGCGGGCAACAATTGGGCGAAGGGATGTGAGTGGTCTCGTTGCGAAGAGGCTGGGCCTCGCTTATGAACGGAATGGTGCGCCACAGTTTACACGGAGGGTAAGTCGAAGAGCGATTGTCATATCCCCGACTTTATCTCATAACTATCCAGGCGCGGAGCTTGTGGATTCAATCCTGGTATATCTACTTCCTACGCGATGCCGTCGGTGGTGCGCTTACAGGCCATTGGCGTAGGATGTTGTCCGCAGGCAAGCCGAAGATACCGAAGCCTTGCAAGGTTTTCAGATTCTGCATTCGCTCGGAGGTGGTACAGGAGCGGGTCTAGGCTCACTTCTATTGTCAAAGTTCCGAGAAGTTGTGTTCATTCCTCTACGTGCTTTCTGCCCCCTGATTTGAATACTACAGGAATTTCCCGATAGGATGTTGGCTACGTACTCGATCCTCCCGTCCCCCAAGGTAGGCACATCTGCTCTACCATCTGTTTTGATGTATCCAGCAGACCTTTCTGGCAGGTGTCGGAGACCGTTGTCGAGCCTTACAACGCACTCCTGTCGGTCCATCAGCTGGTCGAAAATAGCGACTTAACGCTTTGCATCGACAACGAAGCTCTGTACGATATATCCCAAAGGGCGCTCAAGGTTAAGCACCCGACGTTCGACAACCTGAATTCCGTGGTGTCCCAAGTCATGTGTGGAGTCACCACTAGCCTACGGTTCCCTGGACAGTTGAACGGGTGCGTAGAGCACTCAGCTCAGTGGTTGTCAACTTACATCTATCAGTGATCTGCGGAAGCTCGCTATGAATCTCATTCCCTTCCCTCGTGTAGGTGCCTCCGGCGTGAATCATGCCACAAGAAGTTACTCACTGAAACACTAGCTGCACTTTCTTATGCCGAGCTACGCTCCTTTCTATGACCCCAAGGCGAAGGCGTTCCAACGTTGGAATACGAGGGACTTGACGAGTGCTTTGTTTGATCGCCACAACCTCTTAGTGGCGGTGGACCCTCGATTCGGGTAGGTCATATTTTCAGCATCCCAGCATGCTTGCGCTGACACCGTCGCGAAGTCGTTATTTGACTGCGGCGACGATCTTCCGGGGCAAGATTTCTTCGCAGGAGGCAGAGGTCAGTCCATACAATTTCATATCGTTGCGGTGGCCTGATACCCCTATAGCACGCAGTATCGGAATTGCAAAAGAAGAACTCAGGGCTGTTCGTCGAGTGGATCCCTGACAACGTTTCCGTGTCCCTCTGCTCTGTTCCACCGGTCGGCCAGATGCAGGCTGGAACGTGCCTGTCAAATTCTACCGCCGTCCAGGAGCTCTTCACCCGCAACCTTGCGCAGTTCTCTGTGATGTTTAAGCGTCGTGCTTATCTTCATTGGTACACTGGTGAAGGCATGGATACCATGGAGTTTACAGAGGCTGAGAGCAACACACATGATCTGATGTGAGTACTGTGGTGTTGGATGTGCCATCGAATCACGTTTGGCTGACATGTGTGATAGCGCTGAATACCAGCAGGTACGAGCAGTTGACCGATTGCTTCACTTTCAAACAGGATGCTGACCTCCCATATAGTATCAGGAGGCAACGGCGGACGACGTCGAGGAAGAGTACGAGGAGCAGGGGAGCGTTGTTGAACAGGCCCACTATGCGGAAGAAGAACCCGCCGAAGAGCCCGTTGAGTATGAAGAATAACGAGGTGCCTGAAATGTTTCAGATATCATGTTCGATTTACGGAGTTTGCTACGATCATAATCCGCGCAACGTATATTCAGTAGCTTCTTCCCTGGCTAATTGGTTTCTTGCACGTCTTTTTGTTTTTGTTTTTGACAGACAGAGTTTTGAATGTCATTGCTTAACCTAGCCAGTTCGCCCTAAGCTTGCGCTGGGATCATCTACAAGGCTATGTGCGTAGGGCCCCAGCTTCATGTCCACGTGCCACCACGCCGCCCAAGCGAAGCAACCCTCAGAACACAAATCCACGCCGTACTTAACTACATCATAGTAAGCTTCATTCCCTCCGATGCCCCACGTTGCTAAGTTCGTGATTAGTCACACAGCCTATCGTGCTTTATACGCTAGAGTTATGCCGGAGATTCTCCGACGACCTGCAGCGCCGCGGCGTCAGCCTCGTAATTTAAGCTCTGTGCAAAGCCGCCGTGACTCTCTCTCACAAGAAGCATCCCCTAGGTGAGATAGAAATATGCGTGTGCTCTTGTGGCGCTGTTGAAGGCGGTAGGGATGTGTCGATGCGCAGGGCCGCGCGCGTTATCAGGACTGTTCTCGTACACAGCAGCCACGACCCATCGTGTGCCCCCTCGTGACCGCTTCTTTCCTTCATACAGGCCGCCCCGTGACTGCGTTTTGCATATCTATCGTGGGATGGCATTCGGCATGCTTGCCGCTTTCGATCTCTATCGCGGTATCAAGGGCGCGTAAGGTTGGCTTCAACTTGGTTATAAAATAAGGGACTAGGGAAGTCATTCCTAATCTTCACCCCCGCTGACTGTCCGTCTATCAGAATCCCTGCGGCTTTGCGTGAAGTCTTGAATAGAACGTGCAAGGATGGCTAACCCTGCTGACTTCGGCCCCCTCCCGCCTCGCTTTGCCGAGCTAAAGAAGGAGATTGTAGGGTCGTACCCTGACTTCGAGGCTCGTGCTACGAAGGCATGGGGCGAGATCCTCGTTGAGCTCGACAAGGCCACGAAGGACATCGCTGCTCAGGGCTCCGCGGTGAGTCGTAGTGTGCTGTTCGTCCATATCTTCAATCACGCTGATGTCCACTTTTGCATGCAGAACGTGCCGGAGGTCAACTTCAGCGAGCTCGGCAGTTTGACCCCGGAGCGCAAGGAGGAGATACGCGGCAAGGGATGCCTCGTTATCCGCGACGTCGTAGATGACCAAGAAGCGAGAGAATGGCAAGCGTGGTTGCGCAGTTACGTTGCCGAGAACCCAGTTGACGGTAAGTTGTTTGCTGTGCTCGCTCCTCGAATAAGAGCTCACGTCGGGCGGCTGCTCGTATCGTCAGGTGTCCCGGAGCATGACAAGCAATTCTTCCAGCTCTAGTACGTGTTGGTTGTTTGTTACAGATGTGCAATGCTTAGTACTGGCGACAAACTATAGCTGGACGAAGTCGCAAGTCCGAGCGCGCTCTCACCCGAACATCCTATCAGCTACAGTATGGCTGAACAAATTGTATCGTATCAGGAACGGGGACGGAGCGAAGATCAACGACGTCGATCTCGAGACCCCACTCACCTACGCAGACCGGTTCCGTATCCGTAAGCCAGGCGTGCAGTGGGATGTGCACCCCCCGCACGTTGACGGTGAGCCCCTTGATCATTTTGTTATCGAGGCAGACCTGCTAAGTCATTTCTTTGCTATGCGATATAGGTGGAGGCATTGAGCGATGGGAAGATGAGGCCTTCCGCCACTGCTTCGATGACATCCTGAGCGGAAACTGGCGCGAGCATGACCCGTATGACCTTGAGAACCGCGTCCGTGCCAGAAGCTCGCTGTACGGCCGGCCGAACCAGGTATGCCACGCCACTCCTACTCGGTGGCTGAGTTCGGGAGCTGATTTTACGAGAAACTGTCAAAGGCGACCGTATTCCGAACCTACCAGGGCTGGCTCGCGCTGAGCGAGACCGCCCCGAACGAGGGTACGCTCCAAGTGTTCCCGAACGTGAGGCTGTCGAACGCGTACATCATTCTACGGCCTTTCTTTGCGCTTAAGGATGGCGCAAACCCCGACTCGTCCGACCCAGATGACTGGCGATTCGGTATGGACCTACCATGATTCCCTCGTTTGGGCTGTGTGGATTGATGAGATATGGCAGACTCGACGACGCCAGACTTCCACGGCATTTACTCGTACGGCGCGTCGTTCGTCGGCCCCCGTCCGAACACCCAAACGCACCCGCACTTGAGGCTCGAGCAGACGATGGTCCCGGTGCCGAAGGTGTATCCGGGCGACATGGTCTTCTGGCATTCCGTTCGTGGCCTCTACTTGTTTACTTGTCACGCGAGCTGACTGGATTGACAATGTACCCGTGCACAGGACGTCATCCATGCTGTGGAAAAGCATCACACTGGTAAAGAGGACTCGACCGTGATGTACATCCCGGCGATGCCATATACCGCGGTCAACGCCGCATACATCGAGAAACAGAAGGAGAGCTTCCTGCAGGGCGTCGCGCCACCTGACTTCCCGAGGAACAAGGGCGAGGCGGAATGTGTCGGCGTTGGGAAGGCGGACGACATCGAGAACCCCATCGGTAAGAGGGCGATGGGCTTCGCGATTGAGGTCGCATAGTATCTAGGTCGATGTTCGAGACGAAATCTTGTTGTATGTATTACTAGACCTGTAGAATGTGGAACAGGATTGAATTGCTGATCGTACACTACGATTTCGTGTATAGCGAGGGTCGTCATGCCGAGCTATGTATACACACTCGAGTCCGGGAAAAACATTCTACCACCTTAGGTAAGGGAGGAACTTTCCACTGTGAACGGCAGGCACAAGTTGTCAAGAACTGAATGGATGCCAAGATAGCGTGGAGGTATGGGAGACGCACTCAAACGTGAGAACCACACGGTCGCCCTTAGGGTCAGGCTTGCGGTCGACCTTAACTTTGCAGTCGATCATGGACATGATACCGTCACCAAATTTCTCATGAATGAGAGCCTTGATGGGGGTGCCGTAGACAAGCACGCCCTGCACATGCGATTGGTCAGAGCAGAGATTGCAACATATCGCGAGATGGAGGACAAACCTCAAAAAGACGGTAGAGAAGAGGGTCTTGGGGAGGAATCGGGCCGAGACCGCGGCGCGGGAACCAATTCTCCCCGATCTCAGCAACCAGGCTGGACGAAGGGATATCCAGGAAGTCCCCTAGCTTCGCAAGCTCTTCGTTCGTAGCCTTAGCCTGTGAACGTGGGCGGATCAGACGACATTCCGTGAGCAGGAAATGGCGGGCCGACCTGTCCGTAGAAGAGCGCGGCGACCCAAGCCTCGTCGTGGCCGATGGCTTTGCCAATGGCGTCAAAGGTCACGCCTGCTTTCAGAGTCAGTACGCCGCAGCAAGGATGCAGCATACGTCGCGTACCCTTCTTAGCCTTAGCCTCGAGCAATTGAGCACAGATTGAAGGGAGATCGGCGTAGGGCTCCGCGTTAGAGTTGACCTTCTACAGACGAGGTTGCCTTCTTCAGCGTAATATTGGGCGCTGGTGGCTTGTCCACTCACAAGAGTTTGTTGAGACATGTCTGCGACTAGGGGGAAGACTCGACAGGAACTGTAGGATGGGAATGTTGTGAGAGACTTTGAACACTATCGAGCCTGCCTTATATACGAAAGTGGTGGGGTCATTCTTCACATGAGTTCCTGCTCTTTCGGCGCTAGATCGCGCCCCAGCAGACGCCACGTGAGGGTGCTCGATGGGTTCACGCGGCATGCGCGGAGCGGGAAGGAACGGAATGCATGGAATCAAGCTCGAGGGCAGGGATGAGTTCGGGATTTTCTGGCTAATCAGCTTGACCAGTACGGACGTTGCGAACGAATGAGGATGCGAAACGGCGAGCGATGTTATCGATGGGTCTTTGTCATGAACGGCATTCACAGTAGCTACAGCGCAAGTCTGTCTGCGTGTCGCCCGTCCTGCGACGGAAAGACTCGGCTCTGAGCATGCATGGACAGATAACTGAGCCATGCTAGTTTCAAATCTCATCTCAGGGTATCCGCGAGCAACCGCGCCTCCGGGTGGCATTACGCTAGCTTTGTGTTGGTGAGTGCAGCACGAAGTCAATCTTGTAGGGCGCCAACTATGAGAAATACGAGAGTACATGAGGCATCAATAGTTGTTGAAAAGAGAGACCGCACCATGCACATCCCATCACCGGCCAAGCGAAACGCTCGGAACGCTTGCTATGATGTACCTTCGTTGTCTGAAGGAGTTTTGCCGTCTTGTTCTGGCGTCACCGGTTTCCAGACGTCCTTTGTCACATGCATAACCTCGTAAAGTTGCCCTAGTTGTTCAGCAGACATCTAACATGAAGATAATGTTGGTTTTATAGTTGAGAGGAAGTGGCCAGCTGCAACAGACCTTCTCCAATGTTGTTGGGTCAAGAGGTTTGCCGCGGAAAGCCTTGCCACCTTCGGGACCAGCGGGTAGCGCGTCCAAGTACACCTTCCACTGGGACAAGAACCCTATGATGTGAACTTTGTTCGTCGTTTCTCTATGTCTACGGAATTCTGCCGACGTAGTTTGAGCGCGCGCCAGACTTCGACCACCGGATGGTTGAGTGCTCACCCGCTTTCACGTAGTCATCCCCAAGAGAGCGCATCTCAAGGGGAAGATTTCGATGTGCGCGCAGTATTCTGCGGTACAACCTAGACGCATATAGTCAGTAGAGAAGGGACGTACCATTGAGCAATTCATACATACGGCAGCGGTGGCAGCAAGGCGGCACTCGCTTCACGGAGGTTCAGAGGGTGCGTGGACACAGACTTGGCAAGCCGCACAAGACTTGCACGGAACATTATGATTAGACGTTCTTCTGGAGTCACCCAATTTTTAGGGTAGGGGTATTGCGAACGGCACGACGCGTGCAGAATGATGTGGAGGAGGTCAAGTTCAGTAGGGCGCTTTGGGCCATGATGCGCCCACCTTGTCCCCTTACCACTACGACGCTCACCGCGATATCCTGGAACTTCAGTTGCGCCTCGAACGATTGCTTGCGGTCCTCACCGTCTGCTGCTCACCATGTCCAAAAAGGAACCCACTCGCGCTCAGCTGTCTTCGCGTCTGGCCTATCAGTCTCGAACACCTGCGTTCCTGCTCAGGATGCAGCAAGGTTTGGGCGGAGGGGGAAGGAGGGATGACGATGATGACGACGAGTTTGAGGATGATGGCTCTGGGAGACCTCCCATCCCCAAGCGTCCGGCCATTCCAGAACGCCCGGACGGCGAGCCTGGGAGCGAAGATGAAGACGATCTGGACGAGAAGCCGCAGGTCGTGGTGTTGAGGGAGGGCAAGCATCTGACGGAGAGGGAGGTCGAGAATGAAAGGCGGAAAGGCGCGTGCGTTCGATGCATGGGCTTAACTGAGAGCAACTCTCATGAGGACCTTCAGCGAAGGGCCTCCCTCCTCTACCTGAGCCTACGGAGAATGGCTCTGCTACTGCGAAGGATGAGTACTCCGAAGGGTCGGCGTCAGCAGAGTCGAAGTCATCCAAGCAGCCGGGTCTGTCATTCGGCGCGTCTAGCAAAGCAAAAGGCGCGAAACGCAAAGCAGTCGGGGACGGTCGAGACGACGCGGAGAAACTGAAACCCGATGTCGCAGTCAAAGCAACCAAGAAGAAGGCAAAAAAACAAGACAAGAAGTTGCTGTCGTTCGCCGAGGATGCATAATGTCTACTAGCGAGTCGCAGGAAGTGCTCCGCGGAACAGTTACGCGGTATGGTATGTGTATGTCTCTAAGTCTCTTGAGTCAACTACCCTGATCGTGCGTTATCAGTGCACACCGATCTTTCCCCTACACCACCGTGCTAGAGCAATGCGACCCCAACTGCGACAATAATGCTCCAGATCGCCACCAATGTCGCTCCAGGTAGCCCACTACCTATCACCCCGTTTACTGCGCCAATGTTGGGCCCCTGTGTGGCTGTTGCAGTCGCAATGAAGGCACTCCATGCGGACGCCGATGCCGCTGGAACCGTGTATGTGTACTGCGTGGCCGATGAGCCATAGAAGATCTCCTTGCCTCCCGGCAAGAAGTCGTTTGCCAGCGTACTGTTCTCCCCGCCGACCACCACCGTCCCGGAGACTGTCCCGTTCAGGTTGTTGCCCAGCACGAACTCCCGCAGGAAGACCAACGCCTGCGCCGGCTTCCACATCGGCACCAGGTGTCCCGCGCCCTGGAACAGCACATACGCGAGTCCGCGCTCCTGGTGGACGATCCCGGCGAAGTTGCCATCGTCATCGAACCATGGCGTGGAGGGCTTGTGCGTGAAGCCTTGCTGGCCGCCGAACGTCATGTTCTGAATGATGACCTCCGTGCCGTGATGCTGGACGAGCGAGTCGTCGTTGCCCGAGTAGAAGACGATGGAAACGTTCGCGGCCGAGGCGTTTGCGGCGAGGTCGGAGAGGAAGGCGATCGGCTCGACGGACGGATCTCCGTACTGGTTTCCCCCGGTGCTGTTGTACGTAGAGCCGAAGGGGTAGTTGAAGTTCCGGATCCAGTCCTTGGACGTCGGCGCGTGGAGGGCCGCACGGGTGGCGTCATCGTTGAAGAAGGAGGAGGCGTTCTTGAAGGGCTCGGGATTTGTCGCGTCGGGAATGTCATACACGTCAAAGTCACCGTTCGCTATATTCTCTCAGTCAGCGCTCGTTTGGTATACTGCTCTCGCTGATGGATCACTTACACCAGGGGAACGTGAAGTTGACCGCATAGTCAATCAGCTCGTCCAGCAAAAAGCAGCCGTATGAGGGGTCGATCGTGCCATTCGCGCGCCCTGAGAGATCCCGCTTCCATTGCTGACGTTCTGCCTCCCTGCGCTCGTGGAACTCGGCCCTCTTCGCTAAAGAAGGGCTGCCGTGCACGGCGGCAAACTTCTCAGAGATGGTCTCCTTGAGGGTTCTGGCGCGGCTTTCGGTGGGGTTGAGAATCGACTCGCTCAGGGCCGACGAGGTTGTGGGTCGGACGAGGTTTAAAGTCGGGAAATGACCGTTTTGAGGGTATGTGAGATTCAGGTCGAAGCCACAGAGATGTGTTCTTATGCGCCATAGGCACGTTAGCAATCTTCCATCAGGCATGCGTGACGTTACTGACTGCTCGCGGAAATAGTTGAATACGTCCTCATCATATCCGATGAGGGCCGGATACGTCTCGATGACATTGACCTGTTCGAGCGACGAATCCACGCTGAGCCATCCGGCGGCCGTACAAGTTGATCATGACAGCTCGCACTTACCACTGGCAGATGCTCGACAGTGGCCTGGGACCCGAGCGAACCGTCCCCAATGGTGATCTTGCGGAGCTTGACAGGCGGATTGGGCGTCTGGAAGAGATGCTTCGTGATGTAAGGCTGCAAAGGGACCATTGAGTACGTGTCAGCATTGAGCCAAGAACAGGCCAAGAACAGCCGGGAGGGGCAAGACGGCGGTTACTCACGATGTACGTCCCGGCGTAGCTCTCGCCTGATAGGTACAAGGGACGCGTCGCAAGACTCGGGAACACTTGGACGAGGTTCGACAGGAAGCCGACCTACGAATGACACTTCCGGTCAGGTACGCTTACGCGGATCGCATGGAAGAGCGACATACGAAGTCCTGTCCCGTCTGATCCTCGTCTGAGACTGGAAGAGGTAGCCCATTCAGCGCCAGACATTAGTTCAAGGAGGGCCGGAAGGTGCCGCGAAGCGTACCGTAGCCTGTTGTATCCGCCGTCGAGAACCCGGTGCCTGTCGAAGGTGGGTACAAAGCGCTCAGTACGTGCCTGCCACGCATGCAGCATTGTTCTCGCAAGCTAACTCACCCACAGGTTGATCAATCCAGATGGTATCTGCGAGGTTGTTCCAGCTGAAGTTATTGAACACCCAGGAGCCGTTGGGTAACACATGGACTGGGCCATTCTACGCACGGCGGTGCCGGAGAGGTTCAATTCCAGGCACAACGATGATGTTCATTCGCAGAACCCCCTTACCTCCGTCGTGAGCGCAATCATACCGGAGGACCCTGGACTGTTGACATTCGTGCGATCAACCTGGCGTCTTTGTCAAAGGCACAACGTCCGGGTTTCCACTTACCCTCCTTGCAGCCAAATGATCCATGGATCGGTGTTGTTCACGTCGGCGGGTGCAGTCAAAGAGCCATTCGCGCCGACTTTCTCGAACGCCCAGAAGAAGAGGGTATCGTTGGGGTGCCCTGTGCGGTTTACCGGGATGTTGCCCGCGAAGCTGCGCGGGAGGGCGGGGAGGACGCCTGTGATGTTAGGCAGGCTCTGCGTTACCTCGAAGTCTGGAGCGGCGTGGACAGGTCGGTCAGGTTGAGCATGTTTACGACGAAAGAAGAGGGCTTACAGCTCTGCCAATCAGGTCCGAAGGTGGTGGTGTTCGGCTGGCCTGGCCATGCATGAGGGAATGAGTTGGGAACTGTGAGGTTGCGCTGGGCTGACGCGACAGTGCAGAAACCTAGGGTAAAGACAGACACTAGCAGACCGAGCATGGTGGTCAAGGTAGCCGTTTCCCAGTGACCCCTCGAGGAGGTCAACTGTCTTCACACTTATATGTACAAGGAGCCATGACGCGATCAAGAAGCACGATAGGACCAATGCGACCACAAGGTGTCAAAGAGAAACAGGTCCATCGTGACCCGCGCCGGGAGGCTCGCTCCCGATAAGTTTTGAGCTCGAGGCCGGTAAGGACAGATCGTACATGTCCAATGGAAGCCCTTCTTCGGCGCAAGTAGATGTTGACACATCGCGGTGAATGGCGTGAGCGGCAGCGGAGTTGGATCAACGGCACGAAGGTGCTGAAGCCTGACGGGACCAATGATTGCAAGCGGGAGAGATGACTTGGGCCCCGCTGGGTGGAGCACGGGCGTCGCGGAGTTGCTCACTATTATCTCCGTCCATCGATGATTTGGGAGACGCCACAGTACATAGGTGCCCTTTGGAGTTAGTGCGTGAAACAAGCACCTGGTTGTGGTAGTAGCACAGGAGCGCGCGGTCAGATGCTCGCGGAGAAGTACGACATATTACGGACACGGAGGCCCACCGGCCTTTGGACTGCACTGCATATCAGACCGATCTCGTTTGCCATCCCCACTGGCACAGTGACAGTGCCGTTGCGGGAGGATACAGGCGTTGATTATGGTTAAAGCGGGATGTCCGCTTCGTTGTGTGTTCTGTAGAATGGAAGACAAGCCGCCATGACGCCTAGCATACAAACTGGGGTCGGTCCTTGTTCCTCTATCATTTTTAGTCACTAGATGTCACCGTGTCCGCACTCGAATTAGTTGCAAACCTCTGCCTCAACTCTTCAAATTGTCGCAAGCCCTACAGTGCCGACGCCCTTGTGGCTCATCACGTCGATCTTGGCTTGTTTGCGTCCCCGGGACTACGAGTTCCCGACTCTAGCTACGCCGCAGATCGACTATGCAAATGACAAACTAGAGGTGGGAGACTTCCAGAAATCCAACGCAAGTGTACCTTTAGAGTTCCGAGTACTTATACGCACAGTCTTGGCTCGTGTGATTACTGTGACCAGCAGCTCCCGTCTTTCCTAGACACTTGTGGCTGCTTGGTATAGGTTTTTCGATGACAGCACGATATCGGATCCGACCTGACCTTGAGTGCCTTTCACTCACCTGTATGTAGAATGGCGCCTCGAACCTCCTTGGGACAGATCCGCGAGGGCACGCACGCTTGCCTGAGCAGTGCGGTTACCGCCGTCACCACGGATGCTGTAGTCACCTCAACGACGCTCGGGCGCTCTCATTATCTCCGGTGACTCGATAGTATGGCTCTGAGGCGCCCTTCAACCATGGCTGTTCCTGTACTTATGTTCCTGATGATCCTCTGTCGAGATCAGAACTTTGGACGATCTTCAGAACAACGTCAAACGCTTGTCGATCGTTCATGTTGTCTGCAAATCAACGGCAGGTAAGTAGAAAACTACATACATCGTTGACGCAGGGAAACAGTCTTGTACTTACCTGGTAACCCTTACTCGGGCTGCGCCCGGCTGAGTCTAGCCTATGTAGCTTGACTCAGACAGGTCGGGGGCGCCGGACAGGAGGCCACGTTCTCGAAGGGCGGACTCAAATTGAACTCGAAACTGATCTGGAGGCGCGTCTGCGGTGACCGGCAATACGCATGGCAACTCAGCTGCATGCTGTCAATGCGGTCTCACCACGCCCACGCTCTCCGTCTTCCAAATCGTCCTACCATGTTCACTTTGCCCCATCCCTGACGTTCCTTTTGCACTCTTTTGTTTTCTTCACCTCTTGTGAGTGGTTCGGTCATTGGCATCCGTCATGTCTGACGATTACGGCTCATGAGCGTCTAGTTAGACCTCCCTGCAAGCGATCGTAATGCTCGGACGGAGGATCGTGGAACCTTGTCCGGCCATTGAAGACACGAAGGACTCGCAATGGCTTCCCGAAGCTACAACCAGTCTCACGGTTAGACGTGTCAAGTCCGCGGGTCTGCGCATTGTCACGGAAAGCGAGGCCTTATGGCCAGACGTCTCCCTAGTAAGCACATTCCTTCACTCGTCCATTCTCAGCTGTCAAGATACTCGTTAGGGCCATGTGAACACCCTACGCCCGCCTTCAGTGAATCCCCAGTCATATTTATCCATGAAGTATGTGCCGTCCTCCATCTCATGCTGCGTCCGCCGTCTCGCTGTCATCTCCGTACTCATCCTCCTCCACCTGTCCTACTAGGACTCCTGACACGAGTCATACGTTTGGCTTTCCGAATCCCACTATGGCGTCCCCCAAGCATCCGTACGCTGTAACCTCATCGCCGTCCGCATCTCCCGCCACGGGTATCCTCCACGCACGTCGACTCTCTCGATATTCTCAGGTTGAAAGTACATTACGCTCTGCCGCCAAGGTCTCATATGTTGAGGTTCCGCCCCAGGAGCTCCAGATCCGGGTTCTCGAAAAGGCCACCGCCATTCTCAGCGAACAAGCGCGCGATGCGCAAGCTTGTGCCAGTAAACTACGCGCGCGATTAGCGGAAAAAGGTTCCAAATCACTCACGCGGGAAGAGCTCGAGGCACTCCAGCGGGAGTATTGGATGGAGGAACACAGGAGCGTTGCCAGGAAGATACAGTGCGAGGAAACCAAAGGCCTCTTAACGAAGCTTAGCAGTCCCATCAGCGAGGTGCCTCCACCCCTAGTCGTGGCTTCGCCTCCTTTGACACGACAGGAGGCCAATCTGGCTCGTTTTCTGCAGCTGTCCCCTACCCGCATCGACCTCCCCCGAAGCCGTAGTACCCTGACGAGCCCCACCCTTACGCGGAGGAAGACCATATCGCATGCGCGTCCAATGCGATTGCGCCCGTCTGCACTAGACCTTGCTCTTTTGTCCCCAATCCAATCACATCGTCGACGGTCGAGGTCGTTCGATGCCACGCACTCTCGCCGGAACTCCGGTTCCACCGATGCCACATTCGTTTCCGAGCACTCGAGCGAGCAAAGCACCGTCGCTTTGCCGCCTGCACCAGTAAAGTCACCATCTTATCCCGTTCTGTCTGAGCTGGACGGGGTCATCCGCATAGCGAAGATGGCTTCTCGTCGTCCATTGGAGACGCTCCTTGCGGAGGCCGGCGATATTGCCATTCCAGAGTACGCTGTCGACCTCATCGAAGACTTCGCCGCTTCCCCCATCTCGGTGGACACCATGCTCTCTCCCGTGGTGTTCTCCCGTTCCCCCAGTACCCTCTTTTCCCCCATGTCGCCCCGCTCTCAACCTCCGCCTCAGCTCGAAATGCCCTCACTTTCCGCGCTGGAGGATAGGGACCCGCGTCGGTCGCTGTCAATGCCGGATTTCTCCCACTTCGCGATGGAAGATGAAGAGCCACCGAAGTTCAACTCTCCCGTACGGGCTCCTTCTCGTCCTTCGTCGCCTCCCAGCTTACCCCGTCCGTCCTCGCGGACCGGTAACATCATTGACCGTCTTCGGAGTCCCGCTGCGGGTAACGGCACTCCGGTTGTTCCCCGTCGCCCTGCGACGGCGAACGCATGCCTTCGTTCCACGGCGACGCAATCCCTTCACGCTTCGTCGATCAGGTTCGGGTCTCTCCGGCTGTCCAGCCCTTCGCTCATGACCGTGCCCGAGTCGGACGTGGACCCCCTGCAACGGCCGCAAAGCTCGATGAGCGGATACGGGTACGCGTCGCCCGAGGCCGTCCTGGAGAGGGCTGAGACTGGCGGGGAAGTGAAGCCCGGGAGAGGCCGGTTTTCGATATCGTCGATCCGGCGGCGGAGGTTTAACTCGACTCCCAGCGATGTCGGTACTAGGGAGAGCCGGAGCATCAAAGAGAAGGCCGAGGGGGCCAAAGGTGTTCTTCGAGGGCTCCGGAGGAAGCTCTCCATGTTGGGTTCGCAAAGGTGAATGGGAACACCCACTTGTTCATCGCTTTCGCAGCTCTGTCACACATCGCGCTCGTGTCGTCCGGTCACAGCCCACTTCATTTATCGTTGTTATATAAGCGTGCAGGAGCATGCAATCATTTACAGGTCATCATTTCGCTCGGATTTATGCTTATCTCGTTCTGTTTCTCTTGGTGCGTCTTGACATATCACGTTATGACCCAGGCCTTATGCCGCGGTCTTATAATCTGCAATGTTTCATATCTTCACATGTACAATTTGGACATTGTCTCATAACTTGTATCAAAGGACACCTGCGTCTACACTACTCTTTTGTACTGCCGCATACATAGTATCAAAACGTCTGTATATATACGACTATGACATTCTGTCCGTTGTACGTGGGTGTGATCACACCTAGGTATAGGCCTTATGTCCTGACGGCGCATGCCGTAAATTGACGGGGCTACAGTATATCTCTATCGCATGAGTTGCTCAATCCTCACGTATGTCTGCTCCGCCCTCAGTAGTTCACTAGCTAGCGACCTGCGTCCCATTCTTGGGCACCAAGCATGACGTTGTTTCCAGAGCGCGCGCGGAGGATCCAGCGAAGGAACCACACTGTCTGATCATGTCAGAAACGCTTGAGGGCACACAGGGAACGTGCTGTCAGTTACAGTAGCGTCGTGGATTCAATTCATTAGAACGTTCCCGAAAAGGCCGAATCACAACATCAGAGACACGACCATTCCGGCAAGCAACGGAAGCCCACAAGTACTGCAGTACTCATTTCGCGGTCTCCACGAACTAAGCTTCCATAATTAGAGATCAAGGTCGACTATTTCTATGTTGTGCTACACGGTTGTAAGTAATAATTTATAGGATGCAACGGCTTGAATCCCGAGACGCCCGCACGCCGAAGGTTGTTGTGCGATATCAAATCGTCATATCGAATCGTGACCGAGGATACCGCGAGTGTGTCGCTCTGAGGGATCGGGCGGAGGATCAGTGCTGTGGCTTACGAGCACGGAGTAGATGCTCTTTGATGTTTACGTTCTCCCTGCACCGCCGGACACACGCCGTCAGCTTGACAGTATGCAACAGAATGAATTCAGGGCAAGCTCACCGAGATTTCCTCTGCTTCTGACGGAGATCTCGGATAGTTTTGAGGCTGCGAGCATCGTTCTTGCCACCCCTTGCTTTCCCATTGCCGCCGCGGAACAAGGCCGACGGATGTCCCTGAGGCGCGGACGATGAGGCCGAAGGCGCGGTGGGAGTAGAGCTCGCCGCCCCAGAATTGAGCACGGGCGTAGGGATGACCGTCTGCTCCGGGCTGGGCGAGGGGATATCATTGGGGTACGAGTCCTGGAAAATGTCATCCTGGGCGCCGTCCTTGAAGTTGTAGAGGTCGGTGTAAAAGGGCGGCGCGAACGCATCCTCGAACATCTGGAGCGGTGACTCGGGTCAGCCAATGCACATAAGGCGGGCATACATGAAGCCAACTGACGTTGTTCTGCTCCTTTTGGAACCAATAGAACGGCTGCTTCGCACCGTACGTGCAGTTACCGGGTGTTGCGTCCGGCTTCCCGTGCTGAGGGTCCGCACCGCAGCGCCTGGGAACCTCAGACTTCGCAAGCGGCACATCCGATGCTGACCCAGTGATGTTGCAGCGGAAGCCGTTCATGTAGTCTAGCAGCACTCACGTCAATGACTTCCACATCCTCGTGAGAACGCAACGGATACACTCACTCTGCTCGCTACCCGAATCTGGCGCGTGAATCCAGAACCACGCGCAATGGCACCCGCCCTCCGGGCACGGCGGCATGCGCTCTGGCACCTGGAAGTCCGTGTTCTTCGTCCACACGCACGTCTGATTGACGCTGAACACCGTGAAGTCCTCGGGCTTGATCTTGTGCACGTCGCTCTCGTACGCGATCGCGAGTGCGCACCCTGTCAGGTCGTCAAAACCAGTCGTGTGCATTGCTCCGCTTGGGAAGCTCCCATCGTCGGACGGGCAGGGGTTGTCGCCCTGAGAGACGTCGGTGCGGCCCTCGGAGGAGGCAAAAAAGGAGGTGACGCCCTTGTTGCAACCGAGTTCTGCCGTCGCGGCTTGGCCAGCCGGGAGGGGGAAGATGTCCCCGTCGTTGGGCGGGAAATCCAGGTGCCCATGGAACCACCATTGGTCGAACGAGAAGTCTTGGAGGGGGGCGACGGGGCGATTGTCGTAGGGGAAGGTCTGTTGCGTAACGTTGAAGCCGTACATGGACGGATGCCATAGCGCTAGACGAGAAGGATACGTGACTTAGGATTGTCCTCGAAAGGGAAGGGGCCGTGGTGATGGTACATACCAATATGCGCCGAGGCGAGCGGGAGCAAAGCCACGATAGTGGCCAAAAGGACCGGTATCATAATGAGTGGTATGTTGGGCTAGGAAGTTCTAAAAAAAGAGTGCGGAGTCTATCGCGCAGCGAAAGCAGGGCAAAAGGTAGCCCGACGGAAGAAAAATATAGATATGAACAGAGGAAGGAAGAAACAGAGAACAGTCAGAGAGCTGGCGCAATGAAGCGCACCAGAAGAGACAACGAACGACCGATTCTGGGAGGAGAATGGGCTGCGGACCGTCCTTGCTGCGCTTTATATGCGAGCGTCGTAGTATACTATCCCATCTCTCCCGCCTGACTTCGTTCCGGTGCTCCCAAGAACTGAGCGGGTTTCACGAATATCAGACGAATGTGCCCCCAGCGGTGACGTAGCATCGTAAGGTCGCCATCGTGATAGCCTCAGAGTCCGAGGACAAGCCCGCTCATCCGTATGCACGCCGCAGCGGATCTGGAAAGCAGCGTGGCGACACATGAAATAGCGCCAAAACATCATGAGCCGTCGAACACCGCGAACAGGATGAGGCCATGATCACTCACCGAACACAGCCGAGTCGCCAAATTGCTAGGCGTTCCAAATCGAGCGCAACGTTGTGCGCGTGCTTGCAGATGACTGAAGGCACAGCGCAGCCGAGCGGGTACATACATAGGGATCTACAAGGGTCGATGGCGATTCTGAGTGCCTTCCTCCCCGAGCGGGCGCACGCCGCTCAACTTAGTGGTCACAGTAGGCGAAACATTGTTCATCGCGCCAACAACGGCGGGATCGAACTACAATCGCTGGGACTGGAAGGCCGTGCGTCTTGACGCACACGGCGAATAACACAGGCGGTCGCGCTGGGCTGCGACGGTGACGTGCGGATAGACAACCAACGAACTAGAGATGAGATTCAGTGGCCAACAATGCTAGCACTGGATCTGGTCAAGTCCACGCGCGCCCATAACTGATGGGGTATGAAACATGCGTACATTCCGCCGAACCGTGGTTGATTTTGACGCACTTCGCATTGGATAGCGTACCGCCAATGCTGCTGTTGGTACCGCTTGCCTTGAGTACAAGGTCGCCATCCGCTGAATTTGACGAGGGGCCAAGATAAGGAAGATGGCGACTGCAAGCGTGATGTCTCAGATATCGAGCAGCAACTGTTCCGCCTGGATGAAATATTCGAAGTCTGTGACCCGGGGGTTGCGAGGAGAAATCACAGTGGGCGGAAGGTAGAGCTGGCGCTACAAGTCTTCGTTGTGATTTGACTGCCGCCCGCGTCGGCCGCTCACATGTGCAAGAGCAACAGGCGCGAATGCTATGCGAATGAGGTGTCCGTCCCACCGCCGAGGCCGGTCATGTCGATGGGAATGATAAAAACCGTCGAGTGGAGGCTAGTATTGCGTGAGGGTAGACTATGAAGCTGGGGGCTCGAGGACAAAAGAGATTCCTCGGTGATGTGAAGAGAATCATAGTACCGGTGGCCTTTGCCACTGCGTACCATCTGTAGGTACTTTCTCTATTATCGAGGGCAGTTAGTTTACTATACGCGTGAGATACGGTCAATGTACCTAGGGCACTAATGTCTGTGACGTCCTCGATGTTGACCGCACTGATGGAATCGATACCCAGTTCATACGGACCTTCCACGCCGCTGTTCCCGCCTAATAGGGAGATTCCAACGGTACGCACACGCTCACGGTACATCTGGACTTGATGGGGCACCAGCTCCCCGGCGTTGGTGAGTACGAAGTCCTTGAAAGGAATCTGGACAAAGAGCACTGTCAGTGGACCATGGCGCCGCAACAGCATAACTACTCACAAAGACATCCTCCCAGCCGCCGTCGTCTCTCCTGAAGAACAATCGGTGTTGCCACAGGTCCGTTGTGATGGGTCCGTCCGTCTGCAGGTTCACGAAGTAGGAGTTGCGTGTTCTTGGGTGACCGAGTGCTCTCACACGCAGGGCGAGGTACTCGTGGTTCGAAACGTCTTCCGTCATCTCTCCAAAGAGGGTAGACCGAGGCTAGACAATGCAGATTTGTAACGAGAACCATGGAAGAGTAGACCTGCCGCACCTTGCTACGGAAACCTGCGTAGCCTCCCCGAATCTGTCCTTCTAGGCCCCGTCTGACGGCCAAGCTCATTTCGCCCCAGAATTTGCCCGTCGGCTGGTTGACAGTGTTGCCATGAGGGGTGGCAGTTTTCTCAGTAGTCGAAGGCTTGGCAGTAGACTCGTCCAGTTCGAAGTGCACAGTGGACAGGCCTCCAACATCTGCGTCGCACCCGGTGGCAAATTGGTTGATGTCTTCGCGACTGTTGAAGGTGAAAAGTCTTTTGGGTGCGCGCGATGGCTCTTCGGCGCCCTCCATGCGCAAGACTGGACGAGGATCACTGTACCTCAACAGGTGCTCTGAGACATGACAGACGTCTGCGTACTGCGAGAGGCATTGTCACGGAGGAGCTTGCTGCTTCTATTGAGATATTGGCCGAGGCGCGACATGGCGTGAGATGCAAACGAGGATGGGCAACGGTTGCACTGTTGCAGCTCGGGTTTGCAGTTGCGGTGAGCGGCAAGGCACATGCGTTTACTCAACGTCATCGGCTTCGGTGAGCGTCTTTTCGTCTCTCTGTCCGTGACTGTCCACCTCTACCACACCCTGGCCCCGGGATATCCAACGCATACTGCAGCTGCCTGTACAACACCATCCCGAACACACTGTTTAGTGGACGTAGCTGGCGGACCTATGTGTTTCAGGCCAAGCGCCGCGGGGGAGCCAGTGAAATGGGACAGGGATGGGTGACGGGCTGACAATGATCGGAAGTCAACCACCTTCGGAGCCGTAAAAGCTCATGTATGTGTTGTTTTGTACTCTGGTTCGAACCACCACGTCCTCGACGTGCGTCCGTCTCGAGCGGCATTCACACATTCTCTACTTTCCACGCCCACACGGCACTGACGTTCTTTTCTCGAGATGTTCCGACGCCAGTCTCTACTTGGATTGTCCATTCTAGTCTTGACCTGTTCCTCCCCTACTCTCGGCGTTGTCGCAGAGCCTTCCTCATCTGCATCTGAATCGACATATCCGTCTCCAGCCTCCACCCCCGTCTCTACCCCAACGCCCCAGTACAGCTTGCTTGTCGCCAGCCCTACAGTCGACACTAGCCTTGTGCAGACGATTGGTCCTTCTTCAGCGGCTTATACGGACTCCAGTGATGCAATCAGGCCGCGAGCGCATAATGCTACGGTTTCGTCCGTAGTCGCAAGCTCCGTCGACAATCCCCAGGCCACTCCGACGATTTGGTCCCCTAAAGTTGCGGAGGACGACTCCATGACCACCAAACCTGCTGAAGCTGAAGCCTCTAAGCCTCAAATCCAGCTGGATTCTACCTCGGAAACCGAACGTGGTTCTCACTCTAGATCTTCCAGCGGCACCGGCAAGGCATCCACCTCCACGGCTACATCTGGAACCCTCGAGCGCGCTGCTGCTTCCTCTACGGTCACTACGGCTTCTAGGGCTTCTGGGGTATCTGGTTCTAGTGCTCGACCCCTAGCTTCCTCTGCAGTCCATGTTACTAAGTACTGGAATCCCGAATCGCACCCCCAAATCGCTCCCGCAAGTTCCATGCCAACGGCCTCGTCAGCTTCCCTGCAAGTCGTTCCACTTCAAGACGACTTCACGGCTCCTCCGCCTCAACCTGAAGGAGCAACCAATTCAGCCACAACTACCTCGATCTCAACATCTGCCCCCATTCCTGCGTCTACTGCGATTCTGGCCAACGTTCCCTTACTTTCCTCGTCCGACTCAATCTCAGCCTCAGATCCCTCCTCGACGTCTACTGCATCTGACTTGACATCAACGTCGATCTCTTCTCGTCCCATTCCTAACCTGGCGACTACCCGTGGCCTGGCCGTACCGACAATTCATGAACTCAGCGATCCCAATCCCAGATCATCCTCTGAGGCGTCCGAGAGGGCCAAGAGGACCGCCATTCTTGCCGGCATGCTTATACTAGGAACTTTCACCGCGATCGGTGGTGGAATCATCTGCTTCCGCTGCGGACTCCTTCCATGCTGCCACGGCAAAGACAGGAAGCCGCGTCACCCGTCGATGGAGCGCATCGTGGAGGAAGGCTTGAACGACCCTCCAAAGATCACCCGCGCAGAGCAGGACGAGAAGGTGGACACCTCGATCATCCCCGGCTCTCCTCCCGTCGCCATCCTCGAAGACAGCATCAACACGCTTCACCGCCAGCCCCACGCACACACTCTCTCATGCAGCACTTGCCCGCCGGACTCGCTCAGCGGCGTGCGAGGCGGTGTCACGGGCGGCGCCAACCGCGATAGTACCGACAAGCAGGACTGGCTTCCCGAGCATAAGCACCGTATGGCTGCAGACCTCGCGCGAGCCCTTTCAGGATCGGACGAGTGCGTGGCGAATATACTCTCGTCGACGGCGTTCACGAATGAACAATCCGACGGCTCACTGAACTCGGACGACGACAGGGACTCCGCGCGCTCGAGCGAAATGCGCGTCAGCACCGTCAGCAGCGGGACCGTCGCGAGCTTGCAACGGAACAGCGGCGCGAGCGTGCAACGGAACAGTGGCGCGAGCGTCGGCCCGCTGAGTGTGGCCGCGGAGAGCTACGTTTCGTGCGAGAGCGCGAGCAAGTACTCAGTCACGAGCGCGCTCGACAGGGAGCGGGAGCGGATGGGGTCCGTCAGCGTGTCCATCGCGGAGGTCCAGGACGTGGACGCACGCGCCTCGGTCGAGGCTGTCCTCGCTGCCGCCGGCATCGGGAAACGGATCTCGCGGGGCAGTTCTGTGTCGACGTCGCCGAACTTGTCCTACACGTCCGCGACCTCGGGCGGGACGTCGGTCCTCCTCCTCACGCCCGAGCAGCCGGATTACACCCCGCTTGCGGACGCCGCGATCCCGTTTTGCGGGTCCGCCGCTTTCGAGGCCGCAGCTAAGGCGCGCGCCGTCGGAGCGACGGTGAACGTCAACGTCCGCGAAGGCGTGAATAACGACAGCGTGTGCATGGGCACGGAGGCGGGGTCGGAGTGGGAGTGGGACGTCGCCGCGGCATACGGCGCGCCGTCGTCTGGGCGGGCGTCGACGGCGTCGTCGGTTGCGATTACGATCGCGGATGCGCGCGCGTCTCCACCGACCACTGATGAGAGTGGGACCGGGCAGAGCGAGCTGGGGTCGGGTGAGGAGAGGAGGGGAGGGCCGAAGAGGACGAAGAAGAACGTGCGGGAGCGGAGGCCGACGGGCGTGGGGGGACGGTGCATATGAAGACAGTTGTAGGCCCTGTCGCGTTTGGGGGGAAGAAGGTCATGGTCGTACGTGGGTAGAAGGTGGTTAGTCCGGAATGCTGGTGACGGGGCATGCCACGGTCTTGATCGGATCGAGTTGTATGGCTTGCAGCTCACTGTCGTATTTTGCGAGTGGCTTCATATCACCGCATTCATTCACTCCTCCCTATGTCGAGGGGTGCACGAATAATGACTTGTTCCGGTCGGGAACACCTGTGTGTGTCTCGGTGCTTGCTCGAGAGACCCGGGTCCTAATTGTGAATGACGATATGCGATACAGAGGTCGTATAATTCCTGCGGTCAAGCTCGCCACAACCACCTTCCCTTGTCCCGAGCGTCCAGCCAGCGAACGTAGGCTACACAAACACCAGACGCCAGTAGAAGCACGCCATCGAAAATCACTACGTCATTATACCTCGTCTTGAGACCGTTAATGCTGAGAAGTTTGCTCAGCCGCGAGGGCGTTGGTGTGCCGCCCCGAGAGTGGCTTCCAAGGATGACACCAGCGATAGGAGCCCCGAACATGACGCCGAGGCCGCGGACGAGCTGGAGGACCCCGTTGACGCTCGAGTAGTTCTGCACGCCGTATAGTTCTGATATGGTCGATGGCAACAGCGCGTTGTAGCCCCCTGAGAGGATGCCGTAGAGCACGACGAATGCCGTGAAGCGGGAACGGTCCGAATCATACCACAGGGCAAATACGGACACCGCGGTGAGGATGATCTGGGATAGGTCGTTAGGTCCAGGGTCGGTGCCATTGAGCACAGGGGAACGGCTTACACTCAAGACCATTGTGTTTTGACGTCCCACGCGATCCGCGAGGATCCCCATCCCGACCCTTGAGAGGCTGTTCACGCCATTGCATATGGCCAGTAACGTACTGCTCGTCCCGCTTGTGTATGAGAGTATCGAGACGGAGTATGTCGTAAGGTAGTATATGGGTATGTTGTATCCGGCGGCCTGCAGAAATGCACCGATGCACTAGTCGCAGGAGTAAAATCAGGTCTCCCTCATGATACGCCCGAAAAAAGCCCAGCGGCATACCTGCAGAACAAACGTGCCGCGCTTCACTAGCGCCATGCTGATCCGACTCTGACCAGTTGCACCCGCGGCGGCGGCGTGCTTCCTGGTTAATACCACAGAGACGGGAATACCCAACACGAAGTTCCATACGCCCAAAACGCGGAGGACCCAGCGAATGCCAAGACGACTCAAGAGGATGTTGAATACTGGGGACATGACAAGACCGCCCACGCCACTGCCGGAGAGGACAATACCCATTGCGGCACCCCGGTTCCGGTTGAAGTACGCAGGCGTAACGGACATGACAGGGAAGTAGTACATGCTGGTGCCGATCCCGTAGAGCAGTCCCTGCGTCAGGTACAGCTGCCATAGCTGTAGCATGCCAATCAGTGTATATTCTGGAGGAATCCCATCCGGAACCGGGAGCGGGAAGGTACGAACCTCGTTGCAGAAACTACCCAGGATAAGGCCCAAGCCCATGAAGAACGCGCCGGCAAGAGAGATGAGTTTGATGTTGCCGAGGTGGCCAATCATTGGGTTGACAAAGATGCCGCCGGCCCAGGTGAGTCCACTGCCGATAGTCCCGACGAGAGACACAAGAGCGTCCTGCCCTTCCGCACCGCGAATATTGGTCTCGGGGGAGGTGTAGAATTCCTGCAATTAGAATGCTTAAGATAGGTTCCAATGGATATGATGCTGACGTACTTGTAAAATACTATAAATTGTATTGGTGCCGAAGACATGGAAGGTCATATTGAAGCCCGCAAGGACTAGGAGGCACTGATACATGCGAGTTGGTTCTTCTGGGACAGGATCATTGATGACTTCGGACTGTGAGACATCACTTCCGAGTCCCTCTGAGTGGCTAGCGAGGCCAGAAAAAGTACGGAGGGTAAGGTTATCCTCGCCAGATCTAGAGTCCATGGTGGTTCCAGATCAAGACACATTCTTGGTCGCGTACGACATGCCATACTTATGAGTAGCCTGACTCGTGCCACGGTCGGGGCTACTCGGAAAAGTCAGGCCATGAAGCGCTATGTCCGGACCAGACCGCGTCTAAATAGCCGCAATTCAACTTGGTAGCCTTGTTACAGTAAAGGACTCCATCAAAGGCTCGCACTTACTTGCACGCCTTCGGTGAGCAATCTTGCTCGTTTCTGTACACCTTTGTAAGCCGATATATTGTAACATAACAATGTCAATGATGGAAGTTACCCGCTGTTGACGAAGTCGGAGTCGTAGTTACAAAGACATACAGGATAGAAAACTCCGTCATGAGGTCTCTCAGCGCTCAGTACTATATCATCGGTAGCCGGGGCCGTCGGCCGACCCCGCTCGGTACCAGTATGTAAGCAAGGCATCGTGTCCGATTCTAGATTGCGATCATCTGTGTCTGCCACCAACAGGAAGTTTCATCGTCTAAACTCGCGAGAAGGCCTTGTATTCAACGAGATGCCGCTTAGGGCATATTGAAACATGAAGTTCAGGCAACGCGAGCGGACTGGCGAGTGTGAGTGGCTATGAGCGCAGGTCTGCTTGCATCTTATGATGACCGTTCGATGTCTTGGCCACCATAGAGCGACCATATATATTAGATCCTGTAGCAAGACAGAGGGTCAGCGTGGACGAAATTTCGGCGCGAGGTTGAGTGCGGGCACACTTCCCTGGCTTGCACACAAGCACCGTATGGGTATCAGGACACAGCTGAAGCGGGCGGTGTGAACCAGTCCGGCACAAATAGCAGTAGGCCAGAGACGCTCTGGGCGTGTACTGTCGTCCTTGGTGCGTGTCCTCATAATCCACTTACTTCTCTTCTGGAGACCCCCAATCGTCGGGTGTGCCCCTTGAGGTTCCCACCGCGCGTCGGCTATGCAATACCAAGCTATTAAGCTGTGTAATCTCGTTCATTCCTGTGTTTGCTCACGGACAGCTTGCATACAGATCACAATGGCACCGCGCTCACGGTGCCGCTTTGCTAGAGTGCATATCGGCACTGCTACATGGGGAAGTGGTTCTGCTATAAAGTATCTATACACCCTTCACTAACCCCGTCTGCAAAGACTCATGTTCCCTCTGCTATACACATCCACACCCTCAAGATCTCGCCAACTCGCAGTAGGTATCGCAACGTGTATGCTGACGGCGGCGCGCTCATGGACCGTGCCCGTCTTCAACACCGCACTTATGACGCAGATGCCCTCTATTTCAGAATCTCAAACCGTGTACACACACGCACTAGAGCTCCCAACAATTATATTCCCTCCCGCCTCAAGACCTCAGTCCACGACTCACGGCCATGTTGATTTCTCGCTAACCCCGGCCAGAGCTACTACGCGTCTATCACCGTACGTTCCCAGGCTTGCGTCGGATGCGTCTATGGACCTCGAAGCCAATATCGACGCCAAAGCGACTGTCCAAAGACCTGCGATACGCTCAGCGATGTCTTTGAGCCACAGCGACACCCTCCCCACCATCTGGGCTATCTTCGTTGCAATCTGCTTCATAGCCCTGAGCTGCACGATCGTCATCTTCGCTATCAGCTCCATCCTCACGCTGTTGGGCGCACACCTGCTCTCGGAGAACCCGGCCTTCCCCCCAATCATCACCTGGCGGCACATGCTCGCAGCAGGGGCGATCGGCAGCGCCATCCTCGGCACGTTCATCGCTCTGGCGATCGTCACCATCTGCGCAGACGTTCTGCAGCACGCGCCAATCAGCGTGGTCCTGCTGTCATGCTCAATAGCGAGTGTGTTCGCGTTCGCGCTCGGGGTGGCTGGGTTCCCGAGGAGCGTTGTGCTATCCCTTTTCACTGGCGGAACACTCTGCTTGCGAGCGCCGAGGGCATATTGGGGTTGTGCTTTTTCGTGTTGATCTGCATGGCTGCGTTGTTCGTAGGTTCTGTGGCTCTGAGCTCGGCGCAACTATCGAGGCCCGCAAGCAGCTGTAGGCAATCCCGAAGCGGCACCGCGTCTGCCTGTGTGAGCGCATTGCGTCGCTTGTAGACCTCGTACCGTGGCCATACGGAACCCATGGGCCTTGGGGCATAAATGTATGTGACATTCAATCTATGCTGAAGGCATGCAGAGTGTCCAGAAAATGGTACAGCTCTTACGAAATCCGAGTTCCAGGAAATGAATAGTCAGAGGGAACTCTACACTTAAATCTACGGTATGAACGTACTTATACCGTGGTCAGTGGGAACTGGCGAACCCGGTCCAGGCGTCAAGGTATGATACACGGGCACCGTTACGTGACTGCGAGAGGGTTCTGAGTAGGGAGCGATCCTTGCACAGTACTCATCATATTCCTACCCCTACAACAAATAGTTGAATTGCGAAAGCCCGTATTGAACGTTCCTATCGCTCCTCAAACTCCGTGTACGTGTCGCGTCCCGACTCACATTGACAGTGCAGCGAATTATCCGCCTACTAGTTCGTCGTCGCATTCGTGAACGGCGTGTTGGCAATTCCGACGCGGTTGTTGCCAGTGTCGAAGACGGTGTAGAAGCGCTCCAAGAAAGCCTGACCGTTGATGAAGTCGAGGCCCTGGCCGGAGGGCGTGCCAAGCGAGTGGACGATAAGGTACACGCTGTCCGCGTTGCCACCGATGGCGCTGTTGAGGGCGCGCTAGGGGAGAACAGCAGCATTAGCGGCTTTGGTGTACAGCGGGTGAACGGTGGACAAGAGATGATCAACACGGAAAGGCGTACAGCTTCCGCCGGAGTGTAAAGAGAAAGTAAGATGAACGTATGAGGGGCAAAGTGGAGCAATGATGCAGTCGAAGGGACATTGCGTCCAGATGCGACATGGAACATGGGACATACCGGCACAATTTGAGCGTTGGGAGTAAGCTCGAACGTTACCTGGAAGACAGGTCCGACACGTTACGTCAGCGGTTGTCTCTGGGGTCGATCGTAGATCCGAGACATAGCTCACACACCCCGCCAATGGTGAAGAACAAACTCTGCAGCTTCGCGAACTGGGCCTGGGTGAGCCGGAGTAAACCCGTCTCATCGTCGTCCACAGCACCAGTAGCACTCTGGTACTCCGAGAAGGCATCTGCACAAAGCACTGACGTCATCTAATTGCATCGAATATGCCCTGTGTGACGACCATACCATCGGCGATGAGAATGAGCGTGGTACCGGTGTCGACGACGCCGGTCGTGGTCGACAGTATGCTGGTGGACGTGCCGTATCTGATTGACTGGTCGATGCCGAAATAGTCCGAGGAGGGAAACGTGGTCGTGATCGGCCTGCGAACGAACAGTCAACTTTCGACGATCCGTACGGAACTTGAGGCGATGATGATTCGTGCGGTTTCCTGCAGAGACGTCCCACTGCCAGGGCAGGGAGGCATCGAACGTGACTAATGAGATGCGAACGTACACATATTCGATATCACCGATGAACTTGCTCGAATCCGTGCCGCCGAACGTCAGTTCGCCGTTTTGGATCGGGTCCGACGCCATGGGTTCGAACGAAACAGCGACCAGATCACTTGTGATGGTACCTTGAGCAAAGAGGTTGTCCGTGACTGAAAGGAGGGAACGATGTCAGTGAGGCTCCCGTGGGGCGCTGAAGAGAAGCGCAGAGGGCTTGCGGGAACAGGCTTACCGGTCGGAATGGTTGTGTTCGTGTTGGGGTGGAGGGTTCCGATAGTGAGGTCCACCGGCCCAATGCTATGGATGGCGAGGCAGACCATGAGAATGGGCTGCGTGGAAGGGCAGGGAAAGTTATAATACCCGAGGATTCCATCGATATCGTCGAAGCCTTCGGCGGAGGTGGCGACACCAATGGATTGGCCAGGAATAGTCAAGCCACTACCCAGAGAGACCGTGTCGGTATATTCAGCCCCTGCATCACAATGTGCGTTAAGTGGAGTAACATGTGTATGAGGATGCTGACCTGAGAAACAGCCCGAGCCGTAAATGACTGACTACGACAAAGTTGACGAATCAGACAAAGGTCGCGAAGAAGCACGAAAAGACAAGAGCACTCACGACATCGTCACCCGTTTCATCCGTAGTGGAGGTCTGTTCGAAGCTTTGTCCAGCGCCTACCCAGGTGTTCGAACTACCCGTGTCGACAAGAAGCGAATCTAGAGGCCTACATGAGAGCGATATAGACAGCACAAGCACGCACAAGCTTACACGTTGTGGGCGGAGTGCCTACTTGGACCTAGAATAGTTCGTTTCAATGAGCCTGTACTTCAATATCGAAAGGTTGCTGCTCACGTCGATCGCATAGTCGATACGTTGATTGTCAGCAGGAACGCTGATGACAGCATCCGATGAGAGGGGAGTGCCCGAGACGCGCGCGTTCGCACGCGCACGAAGGTTCTTCACGCGCGCTTGGTCGCGAGCGAGGAGAGTGCCTGAGCCGGTAAGGTTGAAGCGCTTCACCATCGGGACACGGACGAGGCTGTCGCGCACTTGCACGACAGACGTCGCGTTCGTCGCGACCACGAAGGTCAGGGCGAAGAGCAGGAATGAGAAGAAGCCGCGAGACATGTCTGTTGAGAAGATGAGAAGGAAAACGGATGGGATACTTGTCTGAGCGGGACCTCCACAAAGGCTATCGTCTGGCAGTAGGCTTTCCCACTTATATAGCGAGAGGTGCGGTATGCTTCTGGATAGTCGCATCCCTGACCTTCAGGCTCATATGCCTGCACCTAGACTGCAACATTCGTCTTGAAGGCATGTCAGACCAACGCAGCTCGAAACATGACACATTGTCTCGGCCCACCTTCCATGGCCACGTACGTTTTCCAATACGGAAAAATTGCGAACTCCAAGTCCGATATACTGCCTTGGTGTCCCGCCGAAAATCGCTTCCCTTCTTCCCTCACGCACATGATTCCCCCGGAAGCTAGAAAACGCATGTGCTGCTCGACACCGTCTTGAGCACACCCGGTAATTGTCCTTGAGCATCGTGCTGGAGTCTAACTTGGTAAATCCTGCCTCTTAGAGAGATTCCTGTTTCCTCCTAAGCATGCTGGTTCAACCACTCTGGTCGATCCAGCAAACCTGGGGGATTCACTCATTCTCACAATGCCCCACGGGCAGGCATCGGATCTGATAGAGCAAGTCCCGGCCTTACTGGTGAACTTGTACGCCACCGTCGCGACCGAGCGCAGCGCACTTCCATACGCGGTCCACATCATACCGCCACTGGTGGCCTGTCCGCATCGTGAAGCATTGCACCGAGATCTGCGCCATAGCCCTGAGTCTTCTTGTCAGCGGGGCCGAGTATGGATGCCAAGGCTCGTGCGTTTCGTGCGGGCATGCGCTGCTGCCCCGTCGCCTCCCTGCTTTAAGTGCTTGAAGTGCCCCAATGGTGCGCTGGTGAGCGCGCACCTTGTCGATACGTGCGCGCATGTCGCACCGACCACTGTGGCCAGTTGCTGCTGCCGAACAATGCTTCCGCGCGGGCGCAGAGACGTCGGCCGTCCTCTAGCCTCCTCACGAAGCTGGATCCTGCGCGCATTCAGCCATATGTCAGCGCTCCCAGCGTACGCTGGAGTATATAACCTGAAGCACACCCGCCAACCTCCCTCAGCGAAGTCCACTTCAGCTATCCACACTCCTTAGCCTCTCAAGCAACTTGCAACCCACTCACTCTTTCTTTCTCCTACCCACCACACCAACAACCCTCGAGATGTTCTCCAAGCTCGCCATCACCGCCGTCCTCTCCGCACTCCTTGCGGTCGCCACTGCCCTCCCAGCCCCCAAGGACGGCGACTCCGGTGGCAAGTGCAACACCGGCGAGATCCATTGCTGCAACACCGTCGGCCGCTCGGACGACTCGTCGTTCACCAAATACCTCACCCCGCTCGTCCAGGAGGCCATCAAGGACCTCACTACCGTCATCGGCGTCGACTGCGACCCCATCACCGTCATCGGCGCCACCCTCGCGGGCACCTGGTGAGTTTGTGTTCCCATTCATTCCTCGGGTCTCCCCAAACGGAGGGGGTCCCTGGCGCAGTGCGGCGCGATGTGGTGCTGACTGTTGCAACCTCTGCAGTACCGCCCAACCCGTGTGCTGCGAAAACAAGTCTCTCGGTACGCGATTCCTCTGCGCCCTCGTTCGGATCTAGACCTAGCAGAAGTACTCACATTTTGCCCTCGCAGGCGGCCTCGTCAACATCGGCTGCGTCCCCGTCACCGCTTAATCGGTGGGACCCTACCGCGCTCCGCATCATCGCCTCCATTTGGCCTCACACCGGGGCATTCAGTGGTGGCCGTATCAATCTGGGGGAGGAGGCGGAGAAGGATTGAATGCTTGTCCCGTACCCGTGCTGTTAGTGTTATATTGTTGGTCGTAGTCGAGCGAATCTACGGCAAGTTCATTCAACGCTGCTCGGTCTGACTTGAATGTGTGAGGCGACAAACCTCCATGGCACCACTTCTGCATTCAATCTGGTCCTATACATAAGTCTGCGTGAGAAGACGCCAGAAGAAGATGAACGGGGCAGCTGTGCTTGCAAACTTACTCTTGACTGACCTCAGCGCAAGCTATGGCCAGTAGTACGGGCGTGTGCCCCGTGCGCGAGTCGCAAGTGCGTGCAGCCAAGACGCGACGACGGGCCACAAGCACGAGTATCGATCAGCTCATGTCAAAAGCAAGAGCACCGAAGCCACTTACTGTACGCCCGCGCCGATCGGGTTGTCCAGATCCTGGAATACAGCCGGAGACGATGCTGACCATTTGATGAAGAGCAACTGGACTTCACGGCGGCCATTCACAATGAATTAACGGCAACCAGAATGACGACGACGGACTGCGAGGTCTTGAGCATAGTGGCTTCTCGGTCGACCTTGTGGCTTGTGTTGTAGGGGTGTTCAACAACTCTCTCATTTCAATGTACCCTGTGTTCTCATTGTCGCACAGCCTTGTCGTCACAGCATTGAGGACCATCTTCGAGTCCGTTTCCTGAGTCATTTCTACACGCAGGTCTACTGACGTGCTTGCTATCAGAGTGCCGACCAGTTCTCCCGCCTGGTTGGACTGCGGGAGGTCTGGTGGGAGGCGGACGGCTCTGTTAACCGGGTGCCCCTGTGCGACGAAGACACCTGCGCCGGCTTTTGCGTTTCGTTCGCCATTGTTTATACAGGACCCGTCAGTGGCTACCGTCAGCTGGGGCCCTACTCTTTCAATTTTCGTATCTGGCGGGGCAGGGGCCGTCGGGGCCCCATCTGTGAAGACACGGAAGGTGTCCGCCACCGTGCCATGCACAGTGACTCGTGGGTCGAAAGGTGTGTGCGAGTCTTCAGTGGCCTCTTCCTCCGGTGCTGGTTCGTAATCTTCCGGTTGGAACCAACTTACGAAGGCTGTAGTTGCCGCTCTTAGACGACGAAAAGCCCCCACCAGATTCAAGTGGGTCAAAGGGCACAGCGGCCACGTGAGAAATGAAGGAGCGGACTGTCTGGCGGGGCAGGGCGCAAAGAAACTCACTGTAGATGACGTAAACACAGCAGTCCCAGATGATCTCCTATTATCGGGAGCAAAGCTGAAGAATATGACACAGCGGTTAGCGTACAAAGCCATCATGGCGAATAAGGCGAAACGGCTCCCACCTAGGCCCCGGACGGCGCACAATCTGGATATGATTAGAGACGGAGTAGAGCACGCCTGTGGCGCACAGGTTACGGACAAAGCGGTCTGGACCTCACTCACAAAGAAGACAATTTTTACACGTGAAATACGACGTTTTATGTGGATGAGCATCCACCAAGGATATATGATAGGGAATTATTGGCTCCGGGAAACTATGTCAGACGAAATGCGAGGCCGCGCCACCTGCCATACATGCGGAGAGGTGGAATCGATGACTCACATACTTTTCGACTGCCAGGCGGTGGGCAGGGAGACCGCCTGGTCTCTGCTGAAGGCTCTATGGGGCCAAACAGGTCTCCAGTGGTGGGAACCCAACTGGGGGACTGTTTTTGGCGCCGCGTGCCTCCAAGCGAGAGACGACGCCGGGGCCCGATGGCCACACAGGGAACAACGCTGGGCCATGCTGGCCTCAGAAACTGCGTACTTCATCTGGAAACTGCGCTGCGAGAGGGTTATCCGGAATGAAGGACGGCCATTCACGGAAACGCAAGTGAAACGAAAATGGTATGCAAACCTCAATCGCCGGATGCGTCTGGACTGTAGATCTACGGCGAGGAGGTTCGGAAAACAGGCGCTAAAACCGGGTTTCGTTGAGCTAATATGGAGCCCGGTGCTGGAGGACGCAGGTGGCCTCCCGCCGGACTGGGTGTCGAAGAGTGGGGTTTTAGTAGGTATTAGGAGGGTAGATGACGGAGGTGAGCTGGGTGACCGGCGATGACCTTTCGAAGGACTCAGCCGGAGCACATGTGCCCTGGCGGAGTTCTCTAATCAGCGCGCCGTCTCGTCTCCACGACATGCCCTCTTGGGACCACTGCAGACGACGGTCCTACGCGCCCTACCAAAAAAAAAAAAAAACTCTCTCATTTCGTCTGCGGCTGCCTACCTGATTTAAGGTCAGCTCAAGCGCCTGCAGCACAGCGAGCAGAGGCGCGTGCAGGCGACGGGCGCAGCACGGCCGCATGAGGCTTGCGAGCTGGGATCAGAGAGCGACACCAAAACTTGACAATTCAGAAGCTAGAGAAATACATGAGTGGAGACGCGGAGTCGTCCTACAAGCTTTCAGTCCAATTGCCATCGGGCTCAGAGCGGCACCCCAGCGGCTGAACTGTATGTATGTCGTGCCACCGACTCTGTTTACAGTTTGGGCGTGTTGTGCACAATGAGTCTAGGTTAAAGAGTCCATAAAGCTCTCCCTGTTGCCAACAAACCTGGCATGATACGATCTCGTCAATCTCGCTGCACTTGTCGCAGTTGCCTCTGCTCGATGTGCCCTAGGCGCTTGAGCTAACCTTGAATCGGGTAGGCAGGCGCCCGACGAAATGAGCGAGCGACAAGAGTTGAACACCCCTAAGTGATGTCGTCCATGAGTATGTCGAGCCAATCCACGTCATCGTGCTCGTTTGCTAACACAGTGCATACCAAGAGCTCTGGCAAGGCGGTTGCAGCCGTAACAGCTTCAACAGCTTCGTAGGAGGAGCTCGAGTCGACGCGAGCATGGGACCTCGCATATACGTACGTCCTCGGCGCTGTATGTGGATACCAACTTGAGCAAGCTTGATGACAGTAATGATCGGGTGAGCAATTCTGCCTACGAGTCGTTATTAAGCGCTAGATACGTTATCAAGTACTCTAAGTACATTCCTGTGTTCACCGATTTGGGCTGCAAAGGCAGGGGATGGTTCGGGATGAGCGACTGTCCCGAGGACCGGTCGATGACCATAGACCTCGCTCGATCTGCCTGGGCTCGGAACAACTCAATTCACCGTAGATTTGATGAGCTTCCGCCAGGCCTGTCGATGGTCGACGGAACGTGGCACAAGGATGTCCTCAATCCACGCAAGGAGTCGGCTGCCTATCACGCTGACGTGGGCACAGTAACTATCACCTAACGCCGCCATCCTTCTCGCTTATGCAGACTCGGATGCAGTCACCTATATCCCGAGGTGTCGCAGAACTCAGGACGGACGTTGACCCCGTTCGATTGCTACCGTCGCCTTCTACCCTCCTCATGCTAACTCCAGCCCCAGCTCGATTAGCGACCAGTCGCACGAGAATTAACACTTGTCAACGCAGATGGGGGTCTTTGTCGCCTCCAGCTATAAAGAGCTGCTTGGGATCGGAGTCTGGAGGACCCTAAACATTCGCTGTCCATCCCAACGGCACCCAGCTGATAGCACATAACCGCCGCGTTTATGCGAGATGTCTTTTAAGATTCCAATCCTTTACATTGGAGCTACAGGTACGAGCAGTGTTCTCCGAACTTCCGAGGGCGATAACATCTTCGAATATGCTGACCACTACTACTGTCTCTCGCAGGATACATTGGCGGCAGTGCCCTCCAGGCCATCCTTGCGCACCCGAAGGCGAACACTTTCGAGATCACCGCCCTGGTTCGATCTGAAGCGAAGGCGAAGGTACTCGAGAGTGCACTGGGCATCAAGACAGTCATCGGATCCATCCAGGACCATGCCTTCCTGACCGAGAACGTGGAGAAGGCGGACGTTGTTATCCAGCAGGTGAGGATTGGCAGATGCATGCGCGCACGGGTGCCATTGATTTACATCCACGCGACGGCACAGGCAAACGCAGACGACATGGAGGTCACGAAAGCTGTACTAGCCGGTCTGAAGAGGAAATTTGAGAAGACAGGCAAGAAGCCCATTCTCATCCACACCGTAAGCCATTCGGCTGCCCGTTCCACAACTTAGTGCTGAGTCCCCTCTTCGTCTGTAGTCTGGCACTGGAATCCTGATTGACAATGCGCGCGGCGAGTACGCCTCACCCACAATAACCTCTGACCTCGACGCCGCTGCGATCGAGAAGATCTCCGCAATCTACCGTCACGCAGTCGACTTGCTCGTGAGCTCAGCGGACGTCGAAGGATATGCGACGACGTACATCGTTGTCCCCGGGATTGTCTACGGACGTCCTAAAGGCCCGCTTTTTGACGGCGCCGAGCCGATCGCCAACACGCAAACCGTCGTCGTGCCGAGGTACACCGAGGCCATTGCTCAGAGGGGGCGCCCGGGCATCGTTGGAAAGGGCGCGAACATATGGGCATACGTCCACGTTGACGACAGTGCGTATCCTGTGCTCGATTCGCAGGTTTCAGCCGTTGAATCTTCGTCATGTCTAGACGCGGACGCGTACGTACGCGTGTTAGATGCCGCCCTTTACGACCCCGCGCGGATCTCACACGGGCGTGAAGGCTTCTTCTTTGTCGAGAGTAGCGAACATAGTGCATACGAACTGGTCAAGCTAATCGCAGAGGCCCTGGTCGAACTCGGCGTGATCACTGATGCTGAGCCGGACGTGTACACTGCGGAAGAGCGCTTGAAGTACTTCGGGAGCGAGGTCATAGTGAGTATATTCTTCGCCAACGCGCGCTGTACCGCGGACAGGATCCGGAAGGAGCTGGGCTGGGCGCCGAAGCACACCACGGAGGACTTCGTGCAGCACATCAAGGAAGATGTTGAAGTGGCTCTGAAGAAGCTGAAGGCGCAGTAGGCATGTAGTAGCTCGTCTGTGCAAGTCACATATCAGCAATGCCATACCATTCGTGCGCTTTAAACATCATGGCTTCAGATGCTCAACTGGCGGGACGCGCTTCTTCTTGATCGACGATATATGGCTGACTACCGCTGTACTAAGAGGTAATAAAGACGGCGATCCATACGGGACATCTCACAAGCCAGTCAGCACAATAGGAGCCTGAAGACTGGCTTATGTCAGGGGCCCTGCTACTGAAGCACGAATATTCCAGAGTGCAAGGACAGGACAAGGCGGATGCAACACTACTAGTGCAGGGTGCACGAGACAGACGGTACTAGTAACAGGGCGAACCTGACGTCCTGTGCGGCACAGTCGCACATCCCAGCTGCCCGGTACGCACGGAAAGGGTAAAATGACGATTGCGGGTGCTTTGTGAGCGAGTCGTCCGTGCGGAGCAGTCGTGGATGAGCGAGTGGTAATGACAGAGCAATTCGAAAGCGAGCGTAACAGTGCGCGTGTGAATTTGTGGGGGGGATAGGGGAATGATGGACGGCGACGGGTATACATATACCAGAGATAATGACAGCGAATCACATATGCAGGAGAGGGCAGGAGGGGGGACGAAAAGCCAAGATTGGAGCCCGTGACGGAGGTCATGAAAGAATGCGTACGAATACAACACAGTCGGCAAGAACGACGAAACCGTGCACATGTGTCTACCAGAAGACGCAGGAACATGGATGACGAGACAAAAAAGAACTCCAGAAGTACTCGTCCTGCCGTCGCATGCGCTTTCCTGGGTCAATACGACGCTGACTGAGGCCGCGACACAAGTTACCGGGAAGGCAATGTGCGGCGTAAGAGTTACGCGGAGAGTTGCGACTCGAGTCGCGCAATGTACACATGAGGGGCGTATTCGTTCATTCGAGACTGGCCAGCAGCTTGCGAAAGCCTAAGGAGGAAGAGCGACGTGTATGGTACTAAGGCCGAAAGGCGGTCGGAAACGCAGGGAAAGGACGGCTCCACCTCGACGGTTGTTCGTCGCTCGCTGCTGGAGGCGATGAACGACACACATGCGAGCTCTCCGTCCATGTGGAGCATCGCTACGACTCATGCAGAGTCGGTCGTGTGGGCTTATGCATTGTGATCGACGTTGTCATTTCTGTGCCATGCTAGATTATTGGACTTTGCTGGGTCGCTCTAGAGACTGCGTTACGGAGTTTCGGTGAGCGCACCAGTCGCAGGAGTTTGCAGGCTGTGTGGAACTATTAGCACATCGACCATTACTACTCTATGCGGGAATCTGTCTATGCAGTCCTTGCGATCAATTACTCTGAATAAAGTTCGTGACAAGAGCCTTGAACTCGTTCGGCCTATGTCAATCGTCCGTCAGTAATAGAAGTCCAGAAGCGTCAGAAATTAACACACCGCTCCGCATGTACTGCACACGCGTCGGATGGAGATCAGCTGCCAGACCAGCCGTCCGCACTGGACTCGCAGACTCACCCATATGCCCAGCGTCCAGCTCCTCGAGGACCATGTTCGGGAAGAATGCCTTGACGGTGTCAATGTTGTGTCTATTGATATATCTACAACAGCGAAGGTCAGTCCCCTTCCTGTAAATCGAAGATTATGTCGATCGCGGGTCACGTACTTGCTCTTCTTCCCTTTGATGAACAACGTCGGGCCGTCGAACGTCCTCTCGCCAGGCGACCAAGGGAAGTCCCCGAGGTCCGGTATCGAGTCGCCGAGGAGCCCAACGGGCACCCGGAACTTGAGCGGGCGTTGGTGGTGGGCGGACTGATGTTCGAGGTTTGTGAGCAGAAACGCCCGTATCATAGGGTCCTGGCACGCCTAGTCAGAACGCAAGATTCCTCCCGTCCGAAGTCTAGACTTCATGTCCGCCCCCTGGACGCATGCGGGTGTGAGAGCGCACCTGCTCGTACGGCTTGAGCACGCGGTCGGCCTCCTGGCGCGTCTTGACCCCGTTCGCCTCTATCTTCTTCATCGCTTCGATGTACCCTTGGAACTCAGGGGAGAGAGCGGCTCGCGCTGGGGCGATATCTGCGACGATCAAGTGCGCGAGCAGTTCGCGGGGCAGGTCCGGGTCGAGGGCGACTGTCATGGCCACTTTTCCTCCCCTGTTTTGAACACGTGGGACGCGTAAGTTGGGCAGGGCTTCGAAATGTACGGGCTTGGCATCCGGGAGGCTTACATGGAATGGCCAAGGAGGGAGATGTTCGTTAGCCTATGCGTCTGGAAGAAATGGAGGACATCCGCGGCCATGGCTGAGTTCGTGTGGGGTTCGGCGTGTGGGGACGTGCCATGATTGCGTAGATCCTACATGACGCGTCAAAGGACAGCTAGGGCGCGCGACTTGGACGAACACGCACCAAGGCATACACTGGCCGACCGAGGTCCTTCACGAAGGCCTTCGAGAGCGACGCAAAGTTCCGTTTGGTCCCGCTGCGGAAGCGTTCGCTTCATCTATCTCTCTCTAATTCACGCTGAACAACACCTACAAGAGCCCGTGGAGAATGACTAGCGGTCGGTCGGTCTCGTTCCCGTCTGGTGGAACGACCTTGTCATAGTGCAGCTCGACCGGCGAGACGGCGGAGGATGCAGCGCGTGTCTGCTCGCGACGTGACTTAGCCAGATGCTGTCGTAACGACCGACCGCAGAGAGCGAAAGTGCCCAGAGGCGACTGAGGGATCATCATAGTCTGTGGCAGGAGGAGGTCGGCTTTCGTCGGCGCTGTCTGCGGCGACGATGGCGAGGCATCATTTCTGTTGTGTGATAAGATAGAACTGAAGCTGGTGCTGGCGTCTCGGCGGGTCACGGGCGCTACACAAGAGCCTGCCCTAAACTGTTCGTTTGAAAATGTGTGTGCGATTTTCTTCGAACGGGCATCTGCTCGTCGTTCGCGACGAGTATGCTCATATGGTGAGTCCGTCTTGCTTGCGTTTTTGATTTCGACGAGATGATACCTTCTGTTTACCTCGAGTGGTGTCGCTCTACCAAGCGGCATGCACGATGCTTTGAGTTTTTTGTCATAGTTACACTGATCGGTCTTCTCTCTGCGTCATGCGCGGTTCCACTAACTCTTCTTCCTCTAGTGAAGCAATATATAGCTGTTACAGCTTACATTGGTCGAATTCTTGGGACGGGTGGAGAGCGTGGGTGTGGTGAGGTGAGTCGTGATGCTCGTTTCTTTCCCTTCACATTCCTCCAGGCGTCCCGACGCGATGAGTTTAAACACTTCAAACTAGAGTATCTGAGAGCCGTCAGGCTCGATGCTTTACATCTATCTGTCAATCCACTGATCTTTCACCCTCGTTCTTTGCCTTGACCACTGCTCAACATGAGGTACTGATTGGTGGCTACCTTCACAGGCTCATTCAGTTGACTTTGTCATGCATGGTGGCGATTGTACCGTAAGTACTCATCTCCGTCCATCCTATGGCCGTGATGTTACCAATGGAGTTACCGCCTGACCGCATGCTGCAACATGCGGATCCATGACGACAATTCCAAGGCTGTTTTTTTCTTGCTGAGCTGTTCTCGTTGTGATCCTCTTCACCTAAGCTAACTTCGATCATTATCACAGGTCGCGCTTGTAGGTTTCCAATCCTTAAGCCTCGCAGCCTTCTGCGGCATACTACCCCTACTGGAGTGAGTGTCCTGTGCATGTGGTTCACATGATGTTTTATCACGACGGTCTTCGTATCATTACTGCCGAAAATGCCCGCCACAGCTCAATTCTTCGGGCACCCCCTTCTGATATCTCGTGTTCCTTTGCGACGAATGTGTACTGACGGGTCGTACTGCAGCGTACCAGCACTCCATGGTATCAATGTTTGGGACCGGTCAACTGACACTACCGATCGGTGAGTCTGCTTCCGCTTACTAGCAGCTTGTTCTGCTGTATGGATGAGAATCCTTCAAAAAATATCAACTAGAAGCTGTTGCTGAGCTTCGGCATCGATTGAGACAGTACTTACTGAACGCGCTTTGCCTTCTGGTTCCAAGATGTCTGCTGATCGTATATGCTAGGATCCGCGCAGCTGTCTCGTGCACAGGATCCAAGGTATGTACCGCCTTCTGCTGTTAGGTATCGCTTAGCCATGTCAAGTATATAGCCCCCTTCCCAATGTCATGTATTTCCAATCAGCGTACACATGGTTTGATGCCTCTCGGAGCCGTGCCGGCGTGGCGACCGCTGGATCGATACTGTTTATGAAGCGACATTGCGGGAAAATTGTGCAATAGCAGACGGCACTGTTCAGCATCATCCAGGCAGGAAGGTCACCCAATTCAAACGTCGCAGCAGTTGACCAGAAGAGACCGTCTGCCTCGTTCACGGCATCCCTGACGGTCTCACATAGGTCTGGGTGGCTTCAACTACCAAGTGCCGGATTACCGCCTGTCTCTTTCGTGCCTGACATGACGGTGTCTAGAAAGACGACAGAGTGCTCAAGTGATCACTGCAGGCACCCGAAAATCAAGCGCTACTACGCCCGCACTCAATTCCGGCCAAGTTATGAATATCCCTATCGTGATTCGGGTGTCGCGAAGGCGCTCATATCTTCCAAAGAAGTAATCGCAGCTGTGTGAAGTCCACTCGCTCTTGACAGGTGATGCCACGATGACGTTCCCCCATCTGTTTATATTCTGTGTGCCGCACTGATTTTTCTATAGACCGCCTCTTCAAGCGGCCAAGTCTGTTCCATGGGATCCATATCGAACACTGCCGAAATCCTTTCCCTGGGACACGCTCGTCTCCCTGTGAGATATCACATGGCGGGAAAGTAACGGGAATGTTGCGTCTGTCACCGTACACGATCCGGCTGCCACGGACTTGGCTCGTTAGTGCGCAGTTGCAGTCGGGAGTCGTACGTCACACGCGGCCCAACTGTCTTGAACTGAACTAAGTCTGTTACTCCCGGCCCCTGGCCAAAAATGATGGACGTGGAGTCTCCTCAAGTAACGCCGGAGTGTTGCGGATTCTATTCAAGAGGGTAAAGGTGCCGGCCTGAGGAGCCGTGAACGGCCTCGAGTGGCCATAAAAGACGAGCCATATCGCCTTGGGGGCAGTAAGTTCACTCAATCGTCTCGCAATGCCCCTCCCCGCTCATCTCACTCTTCTAGGCTTTGCAGCGGCCGTGGTGGCCGTGAGAGACTCTCGGTCCGCATGCTCTGCCTTCGAGCCCACGAATATCACCAACGTCGCGCTCACGAACCCCCCCACCTACTTTCCAGCAAACGCACTCGTGAACATCTCCAACGAGTACTCGAGTATCGACGTGTCGAGCCTCCCGGCCTTCTGTCGCGTCGAGCTCACGATCACGACAAACACGACCGCGGGCTCGTTCGCCCTCACCGAGGTCTGGCTCCCAGACGACTGGAATGGCCGGGTGCTCACTGTAGGGAACGGCGGATTGGCTGGCGGGGGTACGTCGCATGACCAGTGGCTTTCGAAGGAAGCGTTGACTCATCAGGCGATCGTATGCTGCGTTCGTACTCCGTCCCGCTCTATCCCACTTCTTGATAGTCACCGTCGCCGAGCTCGGCCACGTTGCCGTTCCTCAAGGATGTGAGTGGAGGTTACGGCATCCGGCATCCGCGGAGTCAAGTGCTCATGTAGGGTCGCTTGTAGTCGCGGGCATCTCGACGAACACCGGGCATGACGGCGACACAGACGACGGTACTTGGGCAGGCCCACACAACGACGTACGTGGATCTCTAATGAACTGTCGTCCACCGAGGCCCAGATCGAGCGCTCATTAGCTTGTGGCACGTCGTGCGTATTCCATTAAATGGTAGAATGCGATCGTGGACTGGGGATGGCGTGCCTTGCACTTGAGCGTAATTGCGGGAAAAGAAGTGGTACAGCAATACTACTCCACACCTGCCAATAAATCATACTACCTCGGGTGTTCCACTGGTACGTGGGTAATCCGCCGCCGCTCGGTTCATAGCGTCCGCATCCCCACTGATGTGTCTATCGTACTGTCCACTCGTGGTAGGCGGAAGACAAGGGTGCGTCCTCAACGGAGATGACGGAGGTTTTAGAGGCTGAGAATAGCCTCCCCCAGCTTGAAGGAGGTTCAAGACTTCCCGGAAGACTTTGACGGTGTGGTACGTAAAGTGTATTCCCTCCCGCGTCAATTTAGCGTAGTCCGGATTTGACCCAGCGTTCTATCTACAGATCGTCGGCTCTCCGGCCAATTGGCAGACCCATCTCCAAGCGTGGTCTATCCACATGAACTTAAATACCGAACCTTCGACATCGCCGCATTTCATGACGGAAGATACATGGAACAACGTCCTCGCCCCCGAAGTTATGCGGCAATGCGATTCCTTGGATGGTGTACGTCTTCTATGTACTCTACGGACTTCCCTTTGACCTCAACGTTTTTCTACAAGCTTGTCGATGGAATCATCAACGATCCGAGAAACTGCGCGTGAGCACCCCATATGGCACCGCCCTTCGAGCTCGCGACTGGATTAACTTCGAATATTCATGCAGTTTCCGCCCTGAGACGTTAACCTGCCGCCCAGGCCAAGATGCGTCGACATGTCTGACGCCTGACCAGATTTCTGCATTGCAGCGCATCTATACGCCATACTACGAAGCTGACCAGACGTACATATTCGGCGGATACTATCCCGGAGGAGAGACCGAGTACTATCACGGACTGGTTGGTAAGACGCAGTTCAAGATTGGAAAGGCGTACTTCCAGTTCATGGTCACAAAGTGGGACCCATCCCATATCCGAATGTGTGTGTGTCGTATTGATGACTCGCCTACAGCGATACAGACTGGACCATCCATGACTACAACGCTACCTTACTGAATCTCACCGATGAGCTCGATGTCGGCCAGTCCAACGTGAGTTCTTCATCTCTTAAAGCAACCTTTTTTGGAGACTGAAGGCTGCGGATGTATGTATATAGGCCATCAACCCGAACATCACAGGATTTGTGGGCCCGCAGCACAACGGAAAACTCATACAGTATGTGGGATGGGCCGATCAGCTGATCAGTCCCGGAAACTCGATCTATTACTACGAGACAGTCCACCAGTGGACGCGCGCGAACACCAACCTGGACATCGACGACTTCCATCGACTCTTCACCGTGCCCGGAATGAACCACTGGTGAGCTACAGCATGCATCTCCGACATGACGACTTCTGACATATCTGTACCTTAGCCATGTACGTTTCAGCGCATTCGCTGAACAAGAGGCCGAACGTTAGCTGACGCACTGCATAGGGCGGATTTGCCGCAAACGCCTTTGGCGGCGTAGAGCAGGCGTCGAACAACAACCCGCCGTTGTCATTCGATCCCCAACACAATGTTTTGGCTGCTATCGTGCAATGGGTTGAGGATGGTATCGCACCCGATAATTTCACCGCCGTGAACTACAATAGTAACGACGTCGCCAACGGCGTTGGCTTCACCCGGCCACTCTGCAGAGTAAGCACAGGATCCTCAAGTACACCCGGAGCACGTAGCTAATACAAGATGCAGTACCCATCCAATCTCAAGTACCTGAGTGGAGATCCCAACGATGCCACCAGCTTCGAATGCGTGTCTGATTTCTGACGGCCTTTCGTTTGGTTTGACGATGTCACGACGCCTCATAGAAACGCATTCCGAGTGTAATGTGATGAGTACCCGCGAGCCTTTGAATAAACACATATTGATCGTGTACCCACAATACATATACACAATTATACCAGTCTGTTCGTTGGGATGCCATCAAGAGGGATCCAGTGTAAAATGTGCGTGGGAGCGGATGCATACGCATCCACGTGGATAAGACGTCCTGCGGAAGTGATTGTGATCATAATATGTACATGTACACCAGAATTATGAGCGCAGCTCTAGACCCGGCAATCGTTCCTGTCGGGTAACACCCCCGCAGATCCAGCAGGGTCGTGGACAGGCGCCTGCGACTCAGGAAAAGAGTAAGAGGCTGTATCCCCCATGGGATTATGTCTACTCCTGCTCGTGCGAGTGCTGCGCGCGACGGACATGCGCCGGGACGACTCTTCGTCTACACAATCCTGGCCAGGGTTGAGTTTCCAGTACTTCATCCTGTGTGGGGCGGAGGTGGGACGAGTTAGTCAGCTAGCGGCAGGGATAGGCGGAGGTTGCGTACATGCACATCGCTTTATAGAACGCTGAACCGAGGAGTGAGCCCAAGAACGGACCGAGCCAGTACTGCAGGGGATGCATGCATGAGCTAAGCATGAAACGGCCGGATGCGTCATGAAACGACGGGATGGGACACGTACGATCCATTGTGTATCATAGGGGAATCCCGTGACGACGGCAGGGCCAAAAGAACGAGCCGTGTTCATCCCACAGCCAGAGAATATCACCGCCCACCTGGAGAGGGATCAAAGTTAGATGTGTGACACGGCGGCCAGCGGCAGTGCGAAGGTAGAAGACGCACAAGTGGCAGACGAACACCGTCAGTCCGATCCCGATCTACGGCGGCTCGAACATGAGAATGGAGATAACATCTCAGTGCTGAACGTCCGACTCACCGGAGCGAACGGCGTAGAGTTGTGCTTCTCTACTGCGAGCATGAGCACAGCCAGCACGAGCGCGCTGGTAATGAACATCTCGATGAAGACCGCCTGCGCTTTGTTGACACCCGGCCCAGGGAACGTGCTGCGACGATGTTCAGCCTCTGAGATGGAAGTAAAACGCACTGCGGTGAACTCACTTTGAGGCCAGCGGTCCAGGCGTTAGCGCGTACACGATTGCGGCAGCAGTGATGCCACCGACGAGCTGCGCGATACAATAGAACACGAATCGCACAGGCCCAATGACCCCAGCGATGAGCAGGGCGAGGCTGACATCAGGGTTGAAGAGTCCCCCGGTGACGCGATAGAACAACCAGACGGTCACGAGGAGACTGATGCCAAAGGCGAGAGCGACGGTCACGGAACGTTCGACTACCGAGTTCGTCGTGCTGACACCTGCTTCGGTCGCGGCTGCTTGTACACCGCCGTACGCGAGCAGCAGGAACATGGTGGTGCCTACATACTCCAGAAGAGCAGCCTCGACATCGTCCTTGATGCCAGCCCATAACGATCCTCGAGACGTCGGGTCGTCCGGGAATGGCGAGTTAGGCGCCTCGTTCTTTCGGCGAGATAGGAGGCGTCGCATGATTCAGGACAGGTGGGCTAGTGTGTAGGGAGGCAGAGGTGGTTGAACCGTGGAAGATCAAGACTCGGCATATGTACATGCGGCTGACATCCGAAAGTGGACCAGAGAGAAGGGAGGCTGATCATGCATGGCGTGACGTCGGTCCCAGCCCCTTGTCAAGCAGCAGCTGAGAGCACCCAGGTACTCCCGCAGACACCACTTGGAGCGAGGAGATTGCTGAGCGTCGGGCGATCTACAAGATTACAGTACTCCACGATACCGGGGAAACGATGCCTGATCTAGTACCAACAGCCGATCGTGTTTGCCGGAGGTTTCTGCATGCATGTACATACCTGGCTGAAGTCAGCCTTGTGATAATGCATTCAGCAGGCGCATTGTACGCGGCCAACTTACGCTCTAGGGAGTGAGCAGGCGGTAGATTCGGTATCAATCCCAATCACCCCGATTGGAACGACTCCGCTTCACATCTCTGCGTTTGTCCTTTTCGAGTCGCCTACGTGCCTTGTCAGCTCTCTCGAGCTGCCGAACACGCTCTCTTTGCTCCTGTGAAGGTTCGTTGACTAGTCCTGATGATGCAGCGGAAACAATCAAGGCGTGTAGCTGCGAAGTATCGATGTTGCGAGCAATTACATCAGAGTGGAGCGGGAAAGAGTTAAGACTCGGGAGGGGCTACGTGCCTTGGACAGACAATCGTGCACATTTTGGGCTTGTGATCGAAAGACAGTCGATGTCAATAGTATCGATTGGGATGACGAGACGTACGCAGGCTGCACAGAGGGGGATCGCAAGAGGGCCCGTAAGTGGAATGTACGATACTCACCGTCCTCTTGATATGATCGCGAGCCCACAGGGGTATCCACGGTGCGTCAATAGGACAACGTAGAGTGGCTTTCGTGTTGACCTTGTTGACGTTCTGTGCCACGTTCGAGAAAACGTGAGGGCAAAGATGATGCAGGGATGATATAACCACATACCTGCCCTCCGGGCCCTGAACTCCTGGAATAGGTAAACTCGACGGCGCCTTTGGGTATCTCTCGTGCTTTGAACTTTTCGATCCATGACCTCGCTTCCGCACTCTGCGCGGCGTTCTCGAGAGCCGCGATTGCTGGTGGAGTAGGGAGCGAGCCCTCGCCTGAGTGCACGCTTCTCCACCCCCCAGCCTGGGCGTTGCGCATGGATGTTCTGGCTGACGGGCCGGACAATTGCTGGCATCGACACAGGGACGATAGCTGCATTCGGTATGCCCAATAACTTCCGGTCAAATACATCAGTTAAGAGAGCCTTGACCAGAAGAATGGTGGTAGACGTAGTAAGAGGACCGCTTCGCTTGGGTACGTGATGCCGAGACTATCGGGAGGGCGCGTCGCGTAGGGTGGGAACATACCAATAAAGGAAGGTGGTCCGTCCTTGCGCCAACGTCTCGAGGTCGCCAGAATCGTCGACGGTGTCGAGGACGTCCGACCATTTCCCTTACTCTCCTACGCAACGGATGCGTCTATCAAGCTTGCATCTCTAGTTTACGAACCCCACCATGCCCTCTGTTCAGGTCTCAGCGGCCAAGAAGACCCCAGTCGCGCGCGACCTCCCGACCTTTGTCACTTGGGACAAGCCGTATGAAGACTCTACAGTCCTTGACGTGAAGAAGGCCATTGCCGCCAAAAACCCGAAGGTGTGTCTATGCTACCTCGCGTAGACCTAGTCACTGACGCGCGGGGCCCAGTTCTATACAGCACGTCAGAAGCTCACCCTCAAGGGAGACAACAAAGCGCTATCGGACGAGACTAAGCTGAAGGATGCTGGTATCGCCGACGGCGCGGACGTGTCGGTGAAGGACCTTGGTCCACAAGTCAGCTGGAGGACCGTGTTTCTTGTCGAATACGTGCGTGGTACGCGTTCTAGCATGAAACTGCCTGCTGATGCGTCTCTGGCACGTTGAATCAGGTCGGCCCGCTCATCATCCACCCCCTGTTTTACCACTTCCCCAAGCTCTTCTTTGGAGGTCCCGTTCAGCACAGCGTACTGCAGAAGTGAGTGGTCTTGCTTGTGCACCTATTGAAACGCGACGTCAAACCCCCCTGCCGCGCAGGTATGTTTATACCGCCGTACTTGCCCACTTCGTTAAGCGGGAACTTGAGACAACTTTTGTCCACCGCTTCTCTCATGGCACCATGCCTTTGTTCAACATATTCAAGAAGTGAGCTTCTGGCCTACACATCGCGCCGTAGACTGCGTCTGACTCGTCGTTGCCCCCAGCTCCGCGCACTACCACCTCCTCTCCGGCGTGCTTCTCGCCTGGTCCGTCTACAGCCCCACATTTGCGGCTAATTCGCCGTGGATTCGTGGCACGATCCGCGAAAACCCGACGTTCCTCTGGTCTTGTCTCGCGGTCTTTGTGGTACGTGCCCATCCACGTCAAGCTTGGGGACCGGTATCCTCAGCTACTTGCGTCTCCAGTTTGCCGAGCTCTCGAACCTTCGCACCCACCTCACCCTCCGCAATCTGCGTCCCGAAGGTACTACGAAGCGGGCAATCCCTAGGGGCTACGGTTTCGACCTCGTGTCGTGCCCGAACTATTTCTTTGAGTCGTTGGCGTGGGCGTCCATCACCGTCATGACCGGGAGCTATGCCGGTGAGTCTGTCCCTTCTTTTGGCCACTATATCGCCAGGGGCAAGACAGTGGCTGATGGTGTCCGCTTTAGCGGTCATTTTCTGGTTGGCGTCGACCTATCAAATGGCCCTTTGGGCAGCCAAGAAGCACAGGAACTACAAGAAGGAATTCGGCAAGGAGTACCCGCCCAACAGGAAGGCCATGTTCCCCTTCATTTTCTAGGCTCGCTTCGCACAACATCGAGCGACGAGTGCTCCATTCACCGGTCTCTGTCGTTCTGTCATTTCGGTGTTCAATACCACATAGTGCTGTCTGTCAGGCTCGTCGTATCATGCCGCAATTCCACGCCCTTGTAAAGTCTACTACTAGTCGTGTCGCACGCGATCGCTCATGGTATACTGTACGCCAACCACATCTCACCGGCGGCCTTGTCGTCTCCGCCGAGCCCCGTGCCCACCCACCCGCTGACAAGGTTCGCGACCGCAGTTTTGACGAGCCATCCCGCGAGGATGATCATCGTTGTGAAGACGGGGTGACAGTCGAGGACCACTGTGACAGAGGGGAGAAGAGAACCATCGTCAGCTCCCGGCGTTCCATTGGCATCCGTGACAGACATCACGTCAAACCCGCGCGGGCGGGTGCACATTGCGCCGCGGCGGGCAAATTGAGCGTGGTGCGTGGTGCGTGGTGCGCACGGCATGAGAGGGGATGGGAAGAGGATACTGCGGGGAGCGGGAGCGGGAGAACGACTGCCTACCTCGGAGGCCGAAGCCTGCGGCCATCCCGCCCAGAACGTTTCGCACGACCCACTCGCGATCGAGCTTGTCCTCGTCGAGCAGCGCGAGCGCGCGGAGCACGAGCGGGTGTGAGAACGTCGTCGCGTTCGGATGAAGGGGTCCCAGCGGGGCGTGGGCGTCGCCGCCAGCTGGCTGGTGCTTCGCGGTCGTGTCCGGGCGCCAGATGGACAGGCAGAAGAGGAGGAAGAGCTTGGTGAGAGACGAGTAGAGGAGCGTCAGCGGGACGTGGGAGAACCTGGCCCGAGAAAGGCGTCGAGTTGTCAGCGTTTGGGGTACACCGAGAGAAGATGAAGGTACGAAGAGGGGGGGAAAGGAGCGAGATAGCGATAGGGACGACGTGGCTGGTGGCACCGTGTGCGACGGGGTGGCTACTGAGTGGGGGAAACGAAGACGGATCACTTCCGCTCAGAAGGGCAGAAGAGTGTTAAAGTTTGACGACCGGCCACATAAGACACCGGTCTCTCAGGTCTCTCGTGGGTTCGAATACGTACAGACGACCTCTGAGGCCCCGCCGCGTAGAGTCCGCTCTTGTGGGCATCGAGTGAGAGGAGCGAGAAAGGTGGAGCGAGAAGTCCGTGATGGAGTCCGAGAGAAAACCATAAGGACCAAAGGCTAAGGGATGAAGGAGAGATAGTCGCGCATGCTTGCCGAACTCACCTAAACTGTTCTCGAATCCCGGACACCGGTGCGGGGGGCATCGGCGACGGGACCAGCTTGAGGACAACGTAGCAGGCGAGCATGACGCCCGCATGGAAGGCTGCCGTCTCTGCAATAGGTGACATAGGCCCCGGTCAGACGGGTGCCTTCATCGGCCCTTGTCCTGCGAAGGACAGCGGCGAGAAGGACAAAATTTACCGAGACGTACCGAAGAGACAACCTACAAGGATCCGGAGGAAGCCTGTGAGGGCTGCTTGGTTCCAGGTGACTATCCGGGATGAGTCTCCGGGTTGGTTTGAACCTTAGATGTTCACGGGTCAGTTATGTGACACAGAATCCTCGTGTTTAGCGTGTCACGGTGCCGGGCGTACTAATGTGTGTCCAACGAATGACTGTATATGGAACAAGAATGGAGAGTGAGCGCGCGGGTGTGAGTGTCCTGCAAGGCCGGTGAATAGAGAATCGACCAGAGACGTACAGGCATCGACGCAGATCAGGGCAAACCCAAGCTTGACGATCAGCCACCAGCGAGCCTAGGAACCAGTATTACTTTCGTGATACTGATGCTGTCCTACTGTGCCAGTCAACGCACTGACTGATAGTGTTGCTGTCCTTGGACGTGGTCGCCGGAGATACTGGCGTCTTTCCGGAAAGGTTTGTCTCCAGCTCTGCGCGCACCAAGTCCGCGATTATAGAGGAGGTGACGGTACACGTCTCTCTTGAGCAGTATCAAGTCCAAAAGTAGAGTGAGGTTGTCGTGTTCAACGTAAGGGTCTGCGAAAGCCTGACAAGAGGTCTACGTAAAGGGAGACAAGGTTCAGGTTAGCAGGAGGATTCGACTAATCGGACGACGGGAGAACCTCAGGCCGAGATAACCGGACAAAGAAGAGGAGCACTGACGCACTGTTCAAGACGGAAATTGTATGCGGAGTTGTAAATCGTGTAGAGATGAGGTGTTGAGGCGGCACAAGACGTGCAAATGGGCATGGTGGCTGCCTTCGAGATGTCCCAGGCGCGACGCAAAGAGAGGAACAAGAACTTCTCGGATATCGGATCCCTGGGCAGTGGTAGGGGGGTTGCGCAGAGGTGTTCTGGAAAGACAGGTTATGTACTAGGAACGTGAGGCACAAGAGATAGGTAGGCTTCAGTCTTGTTTCTAGCACAGAAGCGGGACTAGTGATATCGAACCTTGCTGAGGAGTCTGATGACGGTACAGTCAGGTTCGGAGACTGTCAATGGATGGAGCACAATACCAGAGTATACGACAGTTGAGCACAAGCCTTGTTCGGCCTGGCACGGCGGTAGCATCAAAGACGGACTGGTCGTGGTAGACTTTAACTTAGCCAACGTTTGTAGTACCGTGACAGTTTAGCCGGCGCCTGCATTGTCGATCGCATCGGGACGCCGCGCCTTGGCGTCGAACCTGCCCTGCTCCCTGCTGTTTCCATTCAGATCCCACCGACAACACGGCAATCTATACGACACTCAACGCTCTTTGCTTGCCCGGCTCTTCATCACAACTGATCCGACGCGGTTGCCTCACCATCTGACCGCTGGTAACTGACAATGCCTTCCGCACGAGCGACGTCATCCTCGCGAGCACTGGAAGCAATCCTGCCGCTCATTGCATCTGGCCAACCATACGAAGCGCACCAGAAGGCCCGTACATTTGCTTCCAGATACAACAAGTCGGGCCAGTACGATACCGCTATAAATGTCCTCTTCCAATCCGCCCGCGAGCTTCTCAAAATCGGACAGCAAGGGAGCGGCACTGACCTCACCACTTTCCTCGTGGACGTCTATGAGAGCAAGGGCGAGACTGTGAGCGATGAGAGCCGCGGTGAGTCTCCTGTGCCTTTCATATACCATGCTAGTCCTTCATGAACTTCTCGCTGTCTTACTGAGCTTTGAACGGATTACAGGCCGGCTGACCCAACTGATTGCTCTCGCTGGCCCGTCAGGCTCATGGCGGAAGACCATCATTGACAAGTCCATTGCGTAAGCTTCTCAAACTGATTCGCAATCAGTGCCACATTGTGACCGTGTGCAGATGGTCCGCCAAAGCTGGACCTCACCCTGCAGGCGATCCTGATCTGCACCATTACGTCGGTGAACTTTTTTACAAAGGTACGTCGCATGGACGCTCATGCGCACCCGTTTGGACTCTCATCGGCACTTTGCGAACATTAATGTCGGCACGCAGAGGGCACCTTTGACGCCGCAGAACCATACCTGCTCAACGCGGGAAAGCGAGACAGTGCTCGAGTACTTGCCGAAACGTTCATCGAATGGGCAGGTCCAGAAGGGCCTGTCGGCGCGTTCGCACTGCGCGGTACGATACCGTAAGCCTTCTGATTCTGTTTATGCAATCTTAACCGCCCGCAATTTTGCTGAGCTTGGCTCTATGCCGCGCCGACATGTAGGTATTTGCAGAACGGAAATATCCTCGCTGCGCGGGCTTTCATAATCCACTTCGTTTCCCAGCTGACCACCCGTCGACCATCGCTGCTTTCGTCTATTTACCCGTCACCAATCTCAATCGGAAAATCAATAGATGGCCAGCAAGACGAGATCACGTTCACCACTGACTCCGCTGTCAATTTCGCGCAACTTGCTGTGCGCACATGCCAACGCGCGCAGGGTGACAAGAACAAGGCCATGCGCGAAGCCTGGGTCCGGCTTTGCGGAACGTACCAGAGCAGAGGGGGTGATGTTGCGAACAGGGAAGTACGGAAGGTGCGTGATCTCGGCTCGCGGACTCGCGTTTCATCCTGTCCCTCAGCGCCAAGGGATGCAGTCTTGTTGAGCCCTGGGCTATAGTTGACGAGTATCTGTCCGGATCCTCTCCATCTTTCTGCGGATGGATCGTCATGACGCTTCTAGCCATATTGCTTGGCCCTAGGGACCTGATTGTGGGCCATCTAATAAATCATCCTGCACATCCGGACCCGCATGATGCGTGGCGATGGCCCTGAGAGCAGTCATCGATTGAAGTGGGTGCTGCGAGTACGCACGATATGGGCAACATGCAATATGCAACGTGCAATAACGAGCGGGCTATGTGACTTCGTTGATACGCCAGGCTCCCAGCTCGTCGCATCTCTTCCCTTCCCTCCTGTCACTTTTACCTTCGCTGCATCCCAATCGATCCCAAGATACCCTGTTCAGACCACTGACACTCCTTGTCTCCCCCCACCAGGCACTCATAGAGATTGCGGAGCTCTATTTTGCAATACCCCCGCCGCGAGCGGCGCAGGCGAACCCTTTCGGAGACGTGATCTCCGCTATGTTTGGGGGTGGCGCGCCTGGTCCCGCCCCCGCCCGCCGCACCCTCACGCCCGCCGCCCCAACAGCGGCTCCAGGATTGGACTGATTTGATTTATCGTTTGTTGGAGGTGTTGAGCTGATGAGGTGGCCGCGGCACCAAAGATACCCACGCGGCATCTGGCCGGGCTGGGGTACGAAGCACGGCAGGTCGGGGCACCAGGCGAGCCGGCTGCAGAGAGAAGGAGAAGCCGTGCAGCTGATTGAGGAGATATGAGCCTGCTTCGTCACGGGGCGGAGGGCTCGAAGTGGTGCAGAACGTAGAACGTGTGTTACAAACTGTGTATGTAGGTTTCCCGGTTGGAATGGGACGGAGCTCACGGTCTGTGTTCGGTGTCATGGACGTCGCGCCTGAGCTCTGGGTCTCATGAATACTGCAATTCAAAGATAATGCCCTTCGCCGGGGTATTGTCGCGGCTCTCACATGGTCCGACAAAGGGGTTATCGGAGCGTCGCTGCACGCACTCGTACTATCACGGTCCCAGGCCCAAGGCTACAGCGCTTTGAACGACCGTTGACGTTGGCCCACTCGCGTCCGTTCCATTTCAGGGTGGCGTGCCAGGGTCTGCTTACTAGCTATAGCTGTGGGACGACGACCGAGCGTTGCTCCTGCGCCACAGGAATGGTGGCTTCAGACAGCGCCTTCAACTTCAGCTTCGACGCGAACTGCGACAGGTCGCCGAAGGGACCCTGCCATGCGCGCGGATGCTCTGGCCGCCGCATGTCTAAGATGTTGAGGGTCTTCTACAGGTGGCGCGGCGCGCTCCCAGGCTCCACTAGTCCCAGAAGAATATTCGGTAGTCGCTGGCCATGGCGCACTAGGGATGGGGGCCGGAGAATGCGAACTTTGAGAGGCTCGAGGGGGACCGCCGGCGCATTCGCGACGTACGCCCACGGGCGTGTGTCAGTTTGGCTATGCTCCGACGGTCGCTCGGGGGGCCATGCCCGGACGCAGTGTCGCTGTCATTTCATTGTCACGATGCGCGACCGCACCCGACGCGGGCATCTGTGCTGCAGCGTGCAGCCTTATGGGCTTCCTCATGAGCGCGAAGACGGGGATGGCGTCGGGCGCGGAAGTGAACACACACCGCAAGCGGCAAACTCTGTGCGCGGCGCGAGCTTTCCTCCAATCATGATGGGCACTTCCGAGCCACACGTCAGCCCCAACGCATGATGGATCTCATGGATCCTTGCATCGTCGAACGCACTGGCGTCGTGGCAGACTGTGGACGCCCTGAGGTGACAACATGCCGACTAAAGTGGGCCGTGGCTACACCAGCCGTCCGCATGGCTAGCGGGACGAGCGGACGGGCGCCTGCGAAGGTTGGCACCGGACAGCACTATACGGCTGCATTCCGAACAGACGATCCCGGAGACCCTGCAGCCAGACGCGGCGGGCGATGGCTTTGATAAGTGGGAGATTATATTACCACTCCGGGCAGATGTGGACTAGAATTGGAGCGGGATGTCGTAAGGCATGCTTGGTATGCGCGCTCCTCGCGAGCACCTCGCCGCCCCAGGGTCGCCGCGGGCAGCGTAATGGCTGCCTATTCGGGCGGGGCAGCAGCGACCTGCCGGCAAGCGCGCTGGAGCACGACAACGGGGGGTTGGCGAATGGCGAGAACGGGCAGGGCAACCCGAGCTCGAAGCATGGAGGGAGGTAGAACAGCGCGCGAAGCGCCACACTTCCGGTTGCATCGCACGGACGGGACTCGAAGCTTGCGCAGGCCATCCTTTGCGCATCACGATTGCCGGCCACGATGTTCAAGTAGCTCGTCGCGTGGGAGGCGTGACGTATGAAGACCGGTTCGTGAGAGCCCGAGCGGAGACGTCGTCGACGCCGAAATTGAGCCGCACCGAGCGTGTCGCAGACATTCCGCGGAGACAAATGCAAGCCCTCGGAGTTTCGTCGCAAACGAGGGGGGAACGGGTATAGTGTGCAAGTACATACAGCTTCCTGAGAAAAGACTATGACGGCCATCTGCCAGAGTGCGGTTCCCGTCTAACCGCTCGCGGTGCTCTTCCGCTGAGAGATGAGAGGAGACTGCGGGAGACTGGGAGGCAGTGGGGGAGGAGCATCGCTACTGATGATGTCTTGGATGGAAGCCTCAAGGGCGTCGACACGGCTTGACATTTGGGTCACTACAGGGAACAGGGCGATAGGATCAATAGGCAATCTTCTTAGGGCGCAGATGGTGCACAGGAAGTGGACATACTGCGATCGAGAATCTGGCTGGACATGTCGTCGAACTTCTGGTCAAGCTGTTCGAGCAGCGACTCCACCTAGGACAGCGGTGCAAAAGAGGAACGACCGTGATCGTTAAAACACGTAGCGGGCTCATTAGCGAGGTAAGGGAGTAATGGAGACACTACCGCTGCGTACAAACGCCGTCAATTCGTGAGGGGACGAAATGTCCGGAGCATATGTATTTGTTGTGGACTTGTTCGCGCCCACTGTAGTTGAGGAGGCAGTGGACAGCGTCGACTGTGCTGTCTGAGGTCGTGATGCCGGAGCAACATTGAGGGGAAGAGCGGGAGAAGATTGTGTCGGCGGTGCCATTGACTGCGTGCGGTAGGTCCGGAGGATGGACTGTGATTGCGATATTGATTGTCCCGCGAGCGATAGCACAAGAATTAGAATCGCGGCGGAGAGTGCTAAGCGAGATGAGATATAGTGCGATTAAGCAGCGGATTTTTGGCCGCGAACAATATGTGTAGTCAGGCGGGAGTACGAGGAGGCGTGGTACAATGTAGACGAGGAGGCTCAGTTCAGACTCTGCGTCAGATCGGCACAGGCCAACCTGGCGCTTGCAGTGCCCGCTCGCGGAGTATCTAGCCATGCGGAGCAAGGCGGGCTTTCTGTTCGAGCGATAGTTTTCGGGCGGCACGCCAAAGGGGCCTGCCGGAGCGGGAGTCGGAGTTGTGAGTCTTGACAAGGGACACGATGAGATCTGGCCGTCGGGTCCGTGCATGGTTGACTGCGGTGTGGCGTGCAGGCTTCTTGTCGCTGTCTGTCGTTCTCCTTGATCTCCTCAGTCGACCGTCTATCTCTGAAACATATCGACGCCTCCATGTATTGTCTGTGTTGGCCCTTGATATCATCCACTTTCATTAGTCTCCATAATGAACGGGTATCACTCCGTCAATCCTCAATCGCTCGACAAGATTGCCAACATTGCGCCGAGTCACCTTCCCCGTCTTAGTGTTACGTGTTCGGCAGCCCTCTTTTGTTTCGCTGGAGTCAATGCTCGAAATAGCAGTCGCCGCACCGCCTCGCAAAGTTACCATCTTGCACCCTGTGGCAGCCTCCTGTGAGTTGTCAAAACAATTGCTGACTATACTGACGCTCATTTAGTTTTGGTTTGGAACGTGTCTTCGCCTGACAAATCGGCCTCAACATGGCTAACCTATCTTGCGCCGAAGTACCGAATGTCGCCCTCGGGAATGAGTTCAGCAAACAAAAACAGGCCCGCATGTCTCACCATCAAGGGTTGACGAGAATCTGGATTATTGTCTATGCATCATCGTTCCGCCTCGGACGCCCCGTTCAGGGTAGTCCCTGTTCAGGAATCGCGCCAGTCGCTGGTCCATGGGACCTGTCGAGCGGCTCCGCTCTTTTCGCACTTTGGGTTTCGCCCGCTCCTATCCGTGACCTTGTTGGTCTTGCTTCAGGCCCTCCCCAAAATGCATGGCGAGCTCCGAGAGGGGCTTGTTTCGAATGAGATACGAGTAGGTTGTCGGCTTCACGCTCAGGGATCGATGTCGATAAGCGATTCGTTACATCCGGAGCCGGGCGCAGAGGGCGCAGCGCTGGCGGGCGATGCGCAGTGACCCGACGCCGTGCGTAACGTCAACCCTTCATTTCTTACCATGCACATTGATACCCGGCGATTGCCTTTACGCGTATTGACAAATTTGGATCATCATCCATCCTCGCTTGACAGATTCGTCATGCCTCATACACAAAACAATACGGAAAGTTTCCCTGCCTCCCGGTCGCTCCGCATAAGGCCGTGGTAGTATATAAGGCACGGGCGGGTGACTCACTCGACGGTGCGACACGTCCTTCCTTCTTGCGCTTGTGTTTTTGTACCACTCCTGTCGTCCACCTTACCTCTCCACTAGTAACTGTACAACCATGGCTGTAACTCCTGCTCCCGTCAACGGCTCGGACTCGACAAAGGAGATCATCCTCAAGTTCCCCGACTTCATCTCCCCCATCCCGTATCCTCTCCGGTGTCATCCGCAGGAACGCGAAGTGTCTCGCCAATCAGAAGAATGGCTCCTCAGCATGGCCAACTTCTCGGAGAAGCAGCGCGCCAAGTTCCTTACGCTCAACGCTGGTCTCCTCAGTGGCTGGTGCTATATCGACTGCACGTTTGACGAGCTCCGCGTCTGCACCGACTTCATGAACTTCCTCTTCACCCTCGACGATTGGACGGACGAGTTCGACACGACGGGCACGCGTGGCCTGGCGGAGTGTGTCATGAACACGCTATACTTCCCTGACACATACAAGTCCGACACCGCCGCGCACCGCCTGACCAAGTCGTAAGTGTTCCTGTGCTATATCGTGTCCCGCCGTTCCCAGGGCTTGTCTGGTCCACTCGGGTAGCAATGTCGTGTTGCTCACGTGACGTTTCTTTTTGTCTTCCTGTCGCTAGGTTCTGGGAGCGCATGCGCGCGACCGCGGGACCTGGCTGCCAGCAACGCCTCCTGTCAACGCTGGATACGTACTTCCAGGCCATCATGCAGCAGGCCGCTGATCGCGGCTCCCGCAACATTCCTGACCTTGAGGAGTACATCTTACTCCGCAGGGATACGAGCGGCTGCAAGACTGGTTTCGCGTTCATCGAGTATGCTGCGAACATTGACCTTCCGGACGAGGTCATTGAGCACCCGATCATCAAGGCCATGTCCGACTCGACGAACGATCTTGTTTCGTGGGCGAACGTGAGTCAATGATGTTCCTTGATCGCCCTGCGAGTACTGGTTTACGGGATCTCCGATCGCTACAGGACGTCCTCTCGTACAACGCGGAACAATCGCGCGGAGACGTGAGTGTTCATGTAACAACTCGTTGCTGCTTTGTTCACATGCTAACGGGCGGTCGTCGTAGACGCACAACCTCGTCTGTGTCCTCATGCACCAGAACAACGTCGACCGCCAGGAGGCCATCGAGCAGGCGGGCGAGCTCTGGAGGAAGACCCTCGATTACTACTTCGAATGCCATAAGGCGCTCCCGTCGTGGGGCCCCGAGATCGACCGCGCCGTCGCGCTCTACGTCCAGGGCCTTGACGACTGGATCATCGCGAACGCGGAGTGGTCGTTCGAGACCGAGCGCTACTTCGGCAAGGAGGGCCCCACCGTGAAGAAGACGCGCCAGATCCCACTCCTTCCCCAGCGCGTCCGTGCTTGAGTGCGCGGTCGCGGCAGTCGCACCGTCTGCTGCGGCGCCTAGGCGTTAGAGGTGAGCGCACATATAGAACTTTGCAGGGCGTCAGAGGGCTGACGGGCTGCGTGTGTCATGCAGGTTGCTTTCCGTCGCACGACAGTATGCGGACCGGGGCGCTGTACCGACACCGCGTGCCCCTCTCTCAAAAGCGCACCACCATCACCACGACCGATACGACCATGGCATGTTGTCATGGTCTCCCCGCTGCGCCGCATGTGGCGTACCCGGGCCCGACATAGAGTAGTAGACCAATGCGAGTATGCAGTAATGAGGTAGAAACCTACAGCAGCGCTAACTTCGTTCTCGCTATCCCCTATTCGTTCGTTTTATTCGCGTCTTCCTGTCATTTATTTTTTTCGGCTTTCCGTTCCCCGCACATCGTTATTCCTGCGCCTCTTTGGAGAACTTACACCTTCGTTTTAGTAATGTCTCACAGAAGTGTAGCACCACCAGTCGTGTATCTAGATTTTATCACTCTACATCTGTCGCGGCATGCACGATTTGCATGCTCGCATCCGGATCCGCCAACGAAGTGCATCCATTGCTACCAGTGTTCGCGCTATCTTTGACCTCTTCGTTGGACGGGCCACTTTGACCTCCGACGCCAGCTCAAAGTCCGCCAATGAGCTGTCTCTGTACGAAAGTTTCGCGGACTAGGCTTCAGGAACAATCCGACGAGCTCGCATCAGTGTGAGAAAGGTGTACCAAGTGACTGGTGTGTCCTGAACATGGGCCGTTGCAAGCGGGAAGGGGCACATTCAAATCGCCTCGTGGTGTGGCGGCGTTCTGCCAACTCTCCACTATGTGGTACCAAATATCTCCTTCTATAGGCACCCGCAAGAACCAGGTCGTAGGAGGAGATTGGACTGACTGTTTGGGCGAGTGTGGGAGCGGACGAAGCAGGAGAACGTGTGCAATTCGTTCGCGCCTGCACGTTTCGCAGCCTTCCTCCTTCCGCAGCGACGTCCCAGGCATGGCGGCCGCTTCCCCCGGACCGACCCGGCCGGACTTTGAAAAGTGGGGTGGCCCCAGACCGACTGACAGAGCTCGGTGCGTTCAGCTCTTTGCAACCGTCTGTCTACGTACGAATGCCAGTGTCTCGGTGGCATGCACTCGTCAACTGCTGCCTGAACGTTCTGCAAACTTGTGTGGTGCCCGCCGGACAATTATGGCGTCGACATGTCCATCATGGGCACCCTTTGCAGCTCAGCGAATCATGCGGCTTCCGCCCGCGACGGTTTTGCCCTGATCTTCGCTGCACGTTCAGTCCCACCGTGATACAGACAAGAGCCAAGAGCCAATTGCTGCTGCTCCGACATGGGCCCGTATGTTGTGCGTGATCTTGTCCTCTTGCTGGCTGCGCTTTGTACTGTCTAATATGAGCAATTCAGAAGGCGACAGCGTCTGTCCACTGCCAGTTAGAGCTCACGCTGGGCATCGACGCGCGCGCATCCCGCGATCCCGATGGTCCAGCCTCCCCAGCCACCGTCCTCCGAATCTCGAGACGTCGGTCTGTGTATTTCGCCCCGACGCAGCGACCGCAATATTCGGGCGTACGTGGGCTGACAGTCGAAACACGACGACGGACCATTGACGATGTCCAACAGAGCTACCACTGCTCGCGAGGCGCACGCACTGACACCATCTGCACACGAGACCCCGCTCAATCACCAGGTTCACGTCCTTGGTGTGCGTGTGCGGGGAAGGCCGAACGCTCGGGCTTGGGCCGAAGGGCAATGTTCACTCAACTGCCCCAACTGAAGCCGGTGCGAAAGTTGCAACGCAGAACGGGGCAGCGTAGGGCCCTCTCTCTGGCTCTGCGGCTAAGATTTCTCGAGTCGGGGTTTCACGGGGCAACGTTCGCACTTCAGTGTGCAGATGTTTGCTATTCCAGAAGGGTTCCATGACGAGCCCCGGATTGTCTGGGTCTTGGTCTGCCCCGAGAGAGTCCACCCTCGGCCATTCGGCTATGGCTGTTGTCACAACATGGTGCTACGCGGACACGATCGCCCCTTCTGTTCGTTTTCGGCTCCTTGCCAATGTGTCAACGGCCCGCACCGAAGACAGCTTCGTGCTGCGCTGACAGCCGCCATCCGCTTACCCGGAAGGCGGTACGCTCTTCTCGCTTGGAGCCCGCTCGCGCTTCCTCGGATCGTCACCTCGATATCGTCGTCTTGCAGTGCGGTGTCTCTCCTGCTCGTCATCTTTCACGCGCTGGCTGGGGCCGACATACTGGCGGATTGCAGTTTCCCGGAGGGGGTTGTCGGAGTCGGCTGTGGGCTAATCGGGGGTGTCTGTCCATGGTACTATTCATTTCCCCTGCGTACCCCACTGGTCCTCTAAACAAGGCACTACCTAAGTCTCCGGTGTGCATGCTTCGAGCGGTCTTTGAATGTTCCTGACCGTCGACACGCAGTGGACTCCCCTGACATGGAGCGCCTGAACTTGAAAACAGCACTTCGACGTCTACGCTGACCGACTCAATAGCCAAAACAGCGGTTGAAGGGCGCTATTCTTCCCTTCGGACCACCGTACGAGGCTTTTCGCACACCAAGACCGCACGTTCGCCTTACCACGGTAGCACGAGGACGATTCCAGAGCGCGCTCTTCTCTACCCCTGTCGGCTATCGGCATGCCCTCGCTGAACGTTGACTGGTGACCACCGGCTCGAACTCGCCTCGGTCAGTGCCGCTATCATCTTCCGCTCAGTACTCATATCGTCCACGGCCGAATGTATTTTTGCGCGGGGATCGTTCGTCGGCCGCAATTACTAGACAGTGCGGTTGCGCCCCATATCGGCGCCATCGATCAGGGTGGGCGCGATACACGTGTTCGAACCCACAAGCTACTTCCCCTTCTCTGCGTTCAGGTGGGAAGCGGGCTCGCTGGAGGGGGCTACTCGTCTGCTCCCAACGCAACGGTGCTACGTCATTGCCTTCTCCCGCGACTTCGCTACGGACCATCGACCATCGACACATCGACGGAAATCTGCGATCGATAGGTGACGCGAATTTACATGGCTCGCCTTGGTGAGTCTATCTTACGCCGATCTCCCTCTCGCGCGTCGCCCACGCCCAGTGTCTCGCTCGCGAGGCAGTATGCGGTGTTGTGTGTTCAGGTTTCTAGAACGCGGCATGTTCTGGACTACGCTGTTGTGAGCGGATCTAGGAGTAGGCTTGGTTTGTTGGCGAGCCGTGCGTGTGCAGGAAGGCAGACTCACTTGAGAGCCCGGCGCTCCCATGATGCCATCGCTCTGCTATTACCTAAAGTTGTGCAAGGCATTACTCATAGAGAGAGCCCGTTTTCCTTGGCAGGCTGAAGCCGTTGTGGCGTTTCCGCTTTAGGCTTCACAGTCCGCTATCCTCCTCTCAGCTCTTCTAGGAAGACCCAGACCGGTCGTGGGCAGCACCGTTCGGTGGAGAGACGGAGCTAGGGAGAACAACGGCAGGCAAAGCAGCGATTGGCTGCCTGCAGGCTACTCAGCTTCGACTCGTGGCGTACCCTTTTGTGGCCGGTTCCGTCCTGCCGTTGGGAAGCGCAGCTCTACTCATGGCACTCGGTTCACACATCCCACTGGGCGCCATCGGTTCGTCCTCCGTTTTACCCGTCGTTGTTCCCGCGAACTGTTGTCCTGAGCATGACGGGAATGAGATTAATGCCTGTGCAGTGCGCGAGTGTCTGTCGTCCTGCCAGATAGCTATGTCTCATATCGCCGTCTTCAAGCTTCACCCGCCTGTGCGTCATTCCTGCGAAGCGTCGGATGGTGTTGCTTGTCACCTCGACGTCAGTGTATCACCCTTCGTAGCGGTTGCTGGGAACGCTCAACGGTCATATGTCCGTTTCTTGCTCGAGTGCACCGCCTGATGTGTACGTACCAATGTGTTCCTGCAGAGCACAAGATTGAGGAGGCACGATAGCCCAAGTGCCACTGACGGATCAAACCCTAAAGCAAGGTTCATCTTTGTTAGCTGTGGTAAGGTGAGGTACAAATTTTCGCCTTCCGGGCAACTTTTGCATTCCCGCCGAGGTTGAGGTTCTCTTTTGCGTACGTACAACGAGGCCTTCTACCTCCTCTCCTCAGCAGCTTCTCAGGCCTCGGCTTTCTGCGGGTCTCTATTGCCAAGAACTCGAAGACGATCGAGAGATGAGGCAAAGTCAGTGTGTCAGCGGGGGTAGCGCGGGAAGATGTGGACCATGCGGGGACATATTGATTCCGCGAACCGTTAGGTTCACAAAGAAGTCGGGACCGCCGGTGAATTTCTGGCACGCTGACTTTCGGGCACGCTTCGGCCCCCTTGTCTACAGCTTCCGTGGTCAATTCTCCCAAGTCAATCTGTCTTTTCGCGCCCCCTACCCGTCCTCAACCTCAGACGCGCTCTCAAACAGATGCAGAGCCTAGCCTGGCGCCTTGGCCCGGCGACCAATCTGCGGTCAAGGCGAGGATAACGGGGCATCAGCGCATCTAATGAACAGATGTCGAGCAGACCTCCGACGGCGGACGCGATGTTCTCGGGGAACGGCGGGGATAGACCTCCTCCTTGTTTCTCTTTTGGACCCTTCCATGTCTCTGCTTGTGGCGTCCCCCCGACATCCCCAGGCCTAGAAGACACAGTGTGTACCTGGCTGAAGTTTGCCGGCGAACTGGCCCCCTTCGCAAGTATGGGCATGCGTTTCAAGGAATGCCACCGATGCATCGCCCTTGCACGTAACGTCCCTGCTGCTGAGGACCTTTCATTGTTGCTTCCAATAGACTGCGAACGTGATGGTGCCTGCATGAGTTGCAAGACCGCTATTCTCTGTCGCGGCAGATGAGGCGGGTGGAGTAGGTTATAGCTGACGATGCTCTAGTGAGTCACGATATGCGAGCGGTGCGAATAGTGCTGATCATGGAGCAGCTGTCTCCAAACAGAAGTAGCGTCGACGGCTGCAGTTGACGGGAGCAGCAATGAAGACACGAAGTAGCACGCGCGAGCTTCGGAAAGGGGCTGCTAGGCCAGCGGCTGGGACGATGTCAAGGAGCCGAGTAGATGGCTGGCCCGGTGTTCAAGTCCAGAAGGGGTCGAAGGGATGTAGTGCTTTCAATCGCGGCATCGCGGACTTTGAACTATCCTCATACGGAGATCATCTGGAGGGGAATGACCGATTACGTCGATGAACTCAACGTCGAGAACCACTATCAAAGAGACAGCACGAGCCGGCGGCGAAAATGCGCGGGACCTACGGAACCTCCCACTGAGTAGAAAAGGGTATAGCTAAACTTGACCCGAGGGCTCGAGGTAGGTCTCTTGCTTATCAATGAATCGATGGGACGTATGACCCTGAGGATGTCAAAGGACAATGAAGAACGAATGCAAGAGGTAACGACTGTTCGTCAGTGCCTGTTTGGCCGGATTCCTGACACGAGAATGGACATTCGGGGCCCCCTTGATCCTGTGCGCTTGAATGAGTCACGCTCTCTGCATTTGCCCCATTGCCGTTTCGTGCAAATACTTACAAAGTCCAAATTGCATCAGACAGGCCAAGACGCGAACCAGCTTCTCTTCGGAAATTGTCATGCGGAACCTGCGCTTACGGCAACCCACGTCGAGAACGAGGCGCTTTCGCTTCCCACTCAGCCGGGTCACCCTCCGACAGTGCGGACGGGAGTAGGTTCCAGCATTTTATTCTCCCTCTCACCGATCGAGTCGTTGCCACGCGTTCGACCGCACCATTACATGGTATATGGAGCATGTGACAAGTCGGCCATTTTTGAGCAGGCGGCATTGATGGCCTCGATTCGCACTGGGAGCGCAAGCAAGTATTGCAAGCACCACGTTACCACTGGGACTTGACACGATTTCGCAGGGAGCGCCGCGGAGCCAGAATGATCGCAGCAACAACTCATACGGAGCTTTCAGATAGGACCGGCGTTCAACCCATTGTGGAGGCGGAGGCAAGTTTATGGTGGAACTGACGCTGTACCTCAAAACAGGAAGTCGGACCTGGAAGACTGCCACACTCAGCTGTATTGTGTAAAACGACCGTTTGGTGCGTGGCGAATTGATCGATGTTACACTTACTTCTCGTTGTCACTTCCGAAGAAGAAGAGTTCGTGACTGGGAGCGGCTTTTCCTATAACTAGGGCCCGTCTCAGTGGAGGCACAACAACTCCCCTCTTCCCCTCTGGACATTGCTTGACGATCGCGACTGCCACGACTGCAATGGCTATGTCTACAGACACCCCATTATTCGAAGGCTTTGTCGACACGACCATGGACGCCCTGCGCCTCATCGAGGTTTGTCTCCTCGCCTTCGTTGGTCAAACTGTCGGCGAGGCTGACCGTAATGCCTCCGCCCGCGTCTCTTCTTCCCGGGCTCTCATTGACCCACAGGCTGCGCGCAGAGGTTTGATCCCCAGGGTCACCCGTCGCTTGAATGACTTCGAGCGGCGCACTATGGTCAAAAGCGGAGCCGTCTTCATCTTCAGCGTCGAGGAGAGCGGCATCAAACGATGGACGGAAGGCTTGGCCTGGTCCCAATCCCGTATTTCTGGAAACTTTCTCGTATGCGCTGTTGCCCGCCCTCGCACGTGGGACAGTTCTGACAATTCCGTTAGCTCTATCGGGAGGTCGCGGACCGAAGTGCTCGCACTTCACAACAGCTCGCGGACATACCAATGTACCCACACAGGGCCCACCTTCCGGAACCACAGCTCAGCTACAAGCCGCGCGGCCTCGTGAAGAAGGTATTAGCTATGTCTGTTTTCGAATTGGCCGCATGAAGCTAATGGTCAGCAGACAATCACGGTCAAGATAGACGGGTCCGATTATCACCTCATCTCCTATTACACCCAAGAAGACCTCGCTACCGGCCTTTTGCGGAGGCCGACAAGCCACCCAGATCTCATGGCGATCGAAATCCCTCCGGAGCTCACGCGGTCAACGAACTTCCGCTATCCGCCAAATCTTGAAGAAGCCCATGAGACAGTGGGTTCCCATGGGTGAGCGAGTTCTCGCAGATCCTAAGCTAGACGACCTCTCTGACGCTTACAATCGTGGTGACGTTCAGCAGCGACAGAGACGCGATTGATCATCAGACGGTTCACGCACCTGGGATGTCTCCTCCCTCTCCAGGAATGTCAGGGAGTATACCATCTTCGCCCATTGGCGAGGACTCCTCGGGCATCCCGCACAACGCGTTCACGCGTCACCCCGGTGACACCTCAGGATACTACTACCATGGCCAGACTCGGCTGGCCTCACTCGACACGGGGATCACAAGCACGTCCGCTCAGGGACACTCTTCGGTATCACCGCTCGCGGGCATTCCCACCAGCCCCCGCGCGCATCCATACGCAAGGAGAACCACGGGCACCTCGCCGTCTTCCTGGCAGTCCTCGGTCCACGGAGCGTATGACTCGCTTGGTACGCCGTCCTCTGCAGCGGCGATGTACTCTAGCCCCGCCTACTCCAGCCACACGCACCTCACCTCCGCGTACGATCAGCGCCGCGACAGCTGGGCTTCACATGCTGCGCTGCACCACGAGCCTCGGGGATTGGCAGACGGGGGCTCCGATGGGTCTGGTCCCGCGGTTTTGTCGTGGTCTCCCACAGGATCCCCCATACTCGGTCAAACGCTCGCATCAGCTCCAGCCGTCGCCTTCTCCGCTGCGGCAAACTTGCCGGCGGGCAGGGCGCGCGATCATTTCCGCGTGCGCTCGTACCCTTCGATGCAGTGGCAGTACGAGCATGCAAGTGTCCTTCCTCATTCGTCGCAGGTGCACCACCATCCGTTACCGTACGCTCTAGAACGGGGCGCGACAGCAGCCAGCGCGGGAGGATTCCACAGGTATGGCGGCGGAGAAGGGGCTCACGCCGACCGCTAGTTGGGGCGGAGAACGTAAGCGGACTATATCTCGGACACGCACGCACCGGAACTGAGACTTGTACTATTCTATTGCGGGTTTTGAGAGCATTTGTTGTAATCGTGAACGTAACACTATCCACCCTGTACTGCTGTTGATTGGTTGTCAACTCCTAGAGGCGCAGGCGCGAACACCCAGACGAGCGGACACCCTTTCCACAACGTGATTGTTCGTTTTAGCATCTTCTCTGAGAAAACATGCGGCGGCTGTGATGCGTCAATACATAACATGCAACGATAGGAAGGCAGGGAAAATGTGCCAATAGCGTCAGGTCTAAGCATTCCCTGCCGACCGTCGCTCGATGTACCCTCGAATATTCATGTGCCCTTCAACGCTGCCGAAGAAACACCGTTTCGAGGGGTTCTCCCATAACACGACACCGAGTTTCTTCGCGTAGTCGAGGACCCACTCGTAGTCGGCATGTGAAGCGAAGGCCGTATACAAATATCCTGCCGACGGTCAGAAGATCAGTCCTCGTGTTGTATGACGTCGATGAGCTTAAATGGCACGGCAGTGACCTTCTTGCGACTTCACACGGTTTCTCTCAAGTTCCCACAGGCGGATTTGGTCCTGCACAGTGACTGGAAGAAGGGGTTTCTGGAAATGGGAGAGCGAGTTGAAAATCTGTTCGGAGGTGGTCCCAAGGAGGTTATCGGACTTACATTCTTGCGCATTTGGGGGTGGGCGTGCGTGATGAGATAACTGATGATCTTGACGGCTGTCGGCAAGATTCTACCGGCTGCACAACATGCAAGGCACATACCTGGTCGGCAGTGATGCCATTCGCGAGTGCTTTCTTGACGCTGTCACGAGTAATCTGGCCCACCACTAGATTGGGGAATCGATACTTGAGCGTTACGAAGAGGTTCAAGACGGCGATTTGGAGTGGATTATCTGTGCTTTCGTGACATCTCAACGCCGGCGGGCTCGTAGCACATCCAACTTACCCGTGTATGCGTAAAGGCGGTAGTTGGTCTCGAGGACGATGAACCCCTGAACATGCGATCCGTCTCCCGTGCCGGCGGACGTGGGAAGTGGTGGTGACGAAGACGTCAGTGTAGTTGCTAGTCTGGTCGGACTGAACTTCCTAGACGTCGCCTGCGATAGGAGGAAGGTAGATGGGGGTATCTATGATGTCAACACACTCCGGCTGAGAAGAGATGTCAATGACGCTGACCGTGCGTTGTCTGATCAGACCATAGTCCCGCAGATCTTCGAGCATTGCTTTTTGAGTGGCACTCAGGTTTTCCGTGGAATAGCTCTGAGCATGTGGTATAGCTTGAGTGACTTGCGCAATGAATTGAATGGTGTGTACTCCAACCTTGCCAAGTTCGGTGGTGGACAACATCAACAGGAAGCTGAGGACCTCTACAAGGTCCATCTGTCTTTCCTGGGGGATACAGGACGTCCAGCGTACCATCGTCAGAAAGAGATCTAAAATTACCTCTGCCATCTGAAGGTACTGCAGGAGCAGTTCCCATAGTTGCTCATGCGGTGGGTGAAGGAGGAATTGGAACCCCGCGGATGTGATTTGCAAAGTAGCGCCACTGACAGCGTTAAGCCCTAGAGGAATGTCATCGTCCGAATGATACGCACTGTACGGTGGCCATAAGGCCGCTGCGCTGGAGCAAGTATAGCACCCCTTGTGATGGTTTGGCAGGGAACTGGCCCGTACCCGAAGAGACCATGTAGTACAGAATGGTCTAAATCCGATATATTACTCATCTGTCACGACCTTGCGAGTAGAAGAAGCCGAACCTCCCAGCGTTCCAGCGCAAATGCATCTAAAGCTTCTATATCTGGAGGGGGATGTTTGTCGTCGTTTTCGGCGAGTATACCGAAACTGCCGCTTGTCCCGCTGTTACGAGAATCGATCAGCGGAGATGACGAAAACCATCTGCACTGCTCACCCTCCTGTGATGGCTTGTCGCAAGCTCGCTTTGAAGGTGGGATTGAGATTGTGCTTCACAGGCTGCGGAGGTCCTGGCCTTGTCGATTGTTGGGGTAAGATGTGGAGACTCTGTAAAGTAGACAAAGCTTCCTGATACGGCCTGCGGAGGTTGAACGTCGATGAGAGGGAGCGGGGGTCTTAGGACTTACCGTTTGCCTTCCCGAGTGACCCACGCTGCCATGGTTGCTCCTGGAATCGGAGTTTCGAGCCATAGTAGGTTCATCACAATTTGTCGTTCCAAGGGCTGGAGTAACCTAGAATTTGGTCGCGTCGTCAGAGACGACCGCCACGTAAGATAACATGGTAGGGGGGGACAGTAACCTAAAGATTGACAAGCACGAAGAAGGCTTCTGATAGAGCCTGTTCATGGTAGACTGTGGTTGGGATAACAGGAAGCCAATGAGGCGATGTGATGTCTCCCCGCCATCCACCATGGAGGCTTTGGAAGACTCTCCTGCAGGTCTGATGCGGATGGACGGGCCCACCATAGCGTTTCATTCACGTGTAATTTCGATTGACCTACGAGAGGATCTGTGGTTCAGACAGATGACGCTAACGGCGTTGAACCCTGGGTGAACCACTCGGACAAACAAAGACGGAGGTGTGTTGTAGAGGCGCCTGCTCGCGCTGATTGCAAGCGCCCCGTGGCGTGGCACCCGTGAGAACGTACGCGCCGGTCATTGGCGCCGGCATACGCGTACCCATCGTCGCGTCTCGTTCCCGCCTCCTTCTCGAAAACAGTGTCCATACATTTCGGCGGGAATGCCCAACACTTCAGTCCATGACGCAGCTTTGAACAGTGAGCTGGATTTTCTTGGCACAAGGCTGTTCAACTGATTCATGTTCTATAGAGCAGTTCGGCTTGGTTCGGTCTTTGGTTTCGCAAGACCCCGTACTCGTGAATGCTATAGACGACGTAAGCCCGCTCCACGTGTTTGTAACCATATCTCGGCTGAAGTTCCCTGCAGGATGGGCGGACGCCTCTGCACTGGGCTGCGTCGTCTGGCTCTGTGGATATTGTTCGGTTTTTAATAGATCAGAAGGCCGACGTCAATCGCGGTGACAGTGGCGGTTGGACGCCGCTCCACATTGCGTGTGTGTACCCATGGGTATCTTAGTGTCTGCACCATCTCATTGTCGAGTACGAAAGCAAGCGGTGGCTTTGACGACGTTGTCCGGGAATTGCTCGGCGCAGGCGCAGAAGTGAATCGAACGAATGACAAAGGCATTACTCCTCTGTGAGTTGTGTTATTGCGTCGTAGAAAGTTTTCTCCTCTAAACACAACTTTACAGGCATTACGCGGCATCGAAATCTCGAATCGAGGTATCTCGATTACCCTGAGATCCTTTGCTTCTAGCTAACTGCCACACAGATCGGCAAGCTGCTGATCGCGAGAGGAGCTGACGTACGCGCGCCGGCCATCTATTGCTTGGTCTCGGTTTCTCACATAGGATGTACAGATCAACGCTCGAGATAAGGCAAATCAGACTCCACTGTTTGTCCCAGGTTCCCAGCCACGCGCGTATGACGTCCGTACTGACGGAGTCGTTGCTCGCTACCCAATACAGGCATAGGGCGGCGACGACAGGGTCGACGGGCTTCATAAATCTCCTTCTGAACCCGCCTGAGGGGTCTCCCAAGACCCGCCTCAATACCGCGGATCGCGTTGGTACGTCGGCTTGTCCTATAGTACGTAACGTCGGCGTGATTGCTGACTGCCCAAACGGCGGCCAGGCAACACGCCGCTGCACCTTGCGATGGAGTCGGCGCACGCAGAGGCAGCTTGTCTCCTCATTGAGGCTGGCGCAGATCGTGAGCGGGTGCGTCGGAACACTTTTTTTTTGCCAAGCTGCAATCTCACAACATCACATCTGACCTTGCAGGAGAATCTCGATGGCGAGATGCCAGAAGATCTCGAGGGCGTGGGCGGACAGGAACAACGACGTGCGAAGGCGTACGTCATTGAACGATGTGGCAAACGGTGACCAGCGACGATGGATCGACCATCTGCGATCCGTCGTTCACGATCTGTGCGCACGATCCGGGTACGCGGGGTACGCGTCCAATCTCAAAGAGGCTCGTCATCAAGTAGCCGGAAGAAGTCGTTTTGAACTTTGTATTGTGAACGCTAATTGTATCCGACGCCTCGGGCTCCTTGTATGTTGTACACTCGGAGCCGGACACGTCGAACAAGCGACCGCCGCGGACCTTCTATCGTTTCATGAAGGTGGCTGAGTTATACCTACATACATCAGATGAACAGGACGAGCGGAGTATCGTTCGGGATCTATGTTGTGACTCCTATCAAGCGCTGCCGTGGGTGATCATAAATCATACAGCATAAGCATAAACATAAGGACCGAAGATGGGCAATATGAGACACTGGGTCATCGAATGGGCATCCGTGCGTGAAGGAAGACAGCATGTCCCCCTCTATGGAAAGGCAATCCACGAAGATGGTATATCACGGCGGGTTTCTTCTCCGCATGTTACGCGTCGTTCCAAGGACGAGTAGAAGAATGTGATGGGGAGCTTGTCGGGCAGGAGCCGCCTGCCCGAGGTACGCGCGCTGGGATGCAAGCGCACCTCATCAGGAAATGCGCCCACCTGTTGTGGACGAGCGCGTCGTTGGGCTGATCGCGGCCCGCCACAGACATCCGAGGACGCAAGATCACGACACGACGATGCTTCACCGCGGCGCCGTCGCTACCAAAGTAGCGCGCAGAGTCGAAGCTCCACTGCAGCGCACCGACCATCCAGTCCTGGAGGCCCTGGACGTACAGATTGACGTCCATGTCAATCTCCTCTCCCCAAGATGGAAGGCTCCTCCTGATGCTCTCGAAACGGGCGATTGACGCGTTGGTGAGGTCACCAACGTAGTCAACGGCCGCTTGCAACGAGAAGTCATGCCTGTGCATGACGACCTCGACCATGTTGTGGGTGTCGCCACGTGCCTGTTCGACGTCGTACGAGAAGATGTCCTGTGCGGTGCGCGAAGGCTTCGGAGTGAGACACACCGAGTGTCAAGCAGAGAAGGGTCACGACGCACATTGGACCACGATATATGCGAGTTTGCAGCTTCCTCAAGAGCGCGGATCGCAGGATGGGCCATGACTTCGTCGGGAAGGTCAATTCCAGCGGCGTACTCGATCAGCGCGAAGCACGGTTTGCAACCGCTCGTGTCCATCCGAAGAGCAATATACTCTTCCAGGGAAGGCACGTCCCCACAGGCCCGATCACTGGCCTGTTGCGCGACCGCCCGAAAGAAGAGGTCCATCGTCTCGATAAACCGACGCGTGCATCCAGGGCCCGCGGTGCGCCGGAACCGACCAGAGAAGCTGTGCTCCTTGGTAAGCGTGGACACACAAGAGGATCCACATCCACAAAGGTGATCGACTGAGCGATTCGACGGACCTTTTTGCCAGCTTCCCTGCCGCTTTTTGCGTCGTGAAACCTACCGGGTCCCAGAATGCGCCCATGACGCTGCCCGCGAGCCCGACTGTATCGTGATCGCTGAACTCGTCCGACCAATCGTCGAGGGTGAAGAGGAAGTTGAGGAAGTCGGCCACGTCCCTTAGGCGTGTAGCGTCCGTGTTCGGATAACACATGGCAGTGAGTTCTCCCGCGTGGAGACGACGGAATGCAGCCTGTCGTTTGGCAGTGAACTTGGCGTCTTTCAGAAGCCAGTCTTCAGAGGCGCGTGCGACGGAAGCACAGTGCACGTTCGTCCTGAATGGATATTGGCAGTAGGAAAAGAGATCGGGAAGAATGAACGTTCGAGGAGCCAAACCCATGTCGAACGCGGACGCTGAGGCGTAGAGGAGAGGTGAGGATACGGGAACGATGGTCTTAAGCACTAGCCGTGACTCGGGCATCTACAGTCATTGCCTTTATAGCCTGTCCAGGCGCGGCTGCCTGCCGCTCCGAGTGACGAAGAAGGCAGGACATAATCAAGCACCCAGCCTTTTGACTTTCCACGCTACACGTGTCCCACAATAACCTAATGGATGTAGAGCGTGAGCAGACGGCGATGGGGCAGGAGAAGGGTTGCCATGAGTTGCGTACCACGACACCCAGCCTTGCATCGTGGATCAAGCGTCAACTGATCAATTGCACTGGATGTCGAGAATGCCGTTAGAGGGCTCAAGGCACCGAAAACGGCAAGTGGACGGATAAAAATTGTGAATGAACGACATTGGCAGGAGGCTGTTATGAGAAATGCTGAACACTGTCCGGTCAGCTGGCAGTACATGTCGATATTCTGCAGGGAAGGGTGATTCGGCTGGTCAGGAAGACGGGAAGGGTACGTACGGGAGCCCCAACTCAGCAGCGGTAAGCGGGTGAACCTGCATGCATCGATTCCCACTGTTTCCCAGGGCCAAAAACGCCGAAGTTCCTTGTGCTTCAACATGCGCATGCGGCGAGGTGGTAACGAACCTACCCATTTCCCCAACCCCTCGCCGGTGCGTCTAGTGACCTCGCGTCAGCTGTGCCTCAGCTGCTAATGATAATCATCTGCTCTACATTCGGTGACCGTCATACTAAGCATGAGTGAGGCCGGCGGTAAGTGTACTTCGCGGAAAGCATAAATGGTGATTAGAACTACCGCCTTAGACATCCGCTCCGCATTACGTCGTATTTTGACAGAACGCACGAGCGACACTAGGTCACGACATCCGCTTACTTCAGAGGTTATGATGCGCTCTTGGATCGTAGAGCTGCATGGTCCCACCGTGGCACATCTTATAGTAGGACCATAGAGGTATAGCATGGGACTCACTATAGCATTCGAGGTCCAATACGGGACGAGGGTATTGACAGCTCGCCGTACCGGCTGACCGGTGTAAGATCCTAGCGAGCGGCCTCACGCAATCGCCCGACCCAGGAGGCGTCCCGGGGCGGCGGTAGGGAGTGAAATATGATTGCCGCATGCTTTTTAGCACAAGGGGACAGTAAGCTGTATCAGCCCGCTCGACGCCTTCTCACCGGGCATGCACACAGTGACAGCTTCGTGAAATTGAATGACGGGTCAGATCTTGTCCAAGAACAGACCTAACTACGCACCTAGTGATGTCAATTATGGATGAAAGGCGTCAAAGCGACCCCAATACAGCGTGGAAGGCTATGAGGACCCTGTCTGTCTCGCCGCGCGCGACGCCAGCCGTAAGGGAACGATTCTTCTCATAGCGCTCGGATGGGCGCACAGCCAACGAATGTACTGATGCCGGAGCATAGAGCAGAACGATTACAAGAGGCGGATGATGCACTTACGGGGACCCGGCTGCGAAATCAGTGCATGTTCGCCGCTCGCGTTGGGCGGCAATACTGCTTCGAGAGGCACTCTAAGACGGTCGCTTCAATGAAAGCAGAACCGTCCATGTGCATATTTCGAAGACCAAACGGCTCGAGTGGCAGTAGCTAGAATGATCGGGCGAGGTTCGCTGAACAGTACTAGGGGGAGGACTTAATATGACGCTGTGATGAACGAGTTGGAGCACTGGCGTCAAACACTATCTGGTACCAGAACCTGCATCCGACAACCCGTAACTTGCCCCATCATCTACACTATTTTATGCCTGTCCACTGGAACCATGAGTGCACTCTGGCGACATCTGAAACTATGCTATCGCAGGCAAGTAGGATACTTGAGCGTTCGTATACCTGATAAGCCCAGACAGGACTCAGCGGACCTGAGTCGGGATTTGCGACGTAGTATATTGGCGCGCAAAACGTTGCGGCCCTGGGAGGACGCACCTGAATTCTCGCGGTACGCTTTCCCTTGGGCCATCGCTGCCCCTCAGCCATACCCGCCGCCATCCACGAGTCTTACAGGATGGTCTCGACACCCCCTGCTTATCCCTTAGGCTTTGCAGCCGCATCCCAGCTGGACGTCTCCCAAGCCCTGCCTGGCTACACTCGCACGGTCGGTCCCGAGTGGGATGTCCCCGCAGCTGATCGACACCATAACTTTCATCTTACGAAGAAGACTGGAGAACGGTGGCTGACGCTGAGCCTGACCAGTCGTGCCGCTACTGCGGCTGACACGCCGACGTTTTTCCAGGGTGGGGACGTGAGCGGGTCTCTGCAGCTGCAGTTGGATAACGAGGAAATGGTCGATGGGATTACTATTGCTGTGAGTGTAGTCAAATATACGAGTAACTACTACCCCATGCTAGCAATATACTCCCTAAATCCCCACTTTTGGCCTGGATAACCACTGGGATTGCCATGCTCATCCGGATCATAGCTTTATGGGAGGCTCTCGATCTTCTCCCACTCCACATCCAACTTTCTTTACATGTCGCGATCTGTTTACTCAGCCGACGACAAGTCTTCCGGAGGCTCGGAGGCCTCGTCAGTCGCGGCTCGGCGGGGGAGACTACAAGGTCGCTACGACTGGCCTTACTCATTCCGCCTCCCCAAGGGAGTCAGTATCCTCTCGTCCATCACCACGAATGCGGAAGTAGAGAGGCAGAGCTATCGTCTTCCTCCCAGTTTCTCCGACGAACATTCAAATGTTGAGATTCAGTATTCCCTCGTCGTTCGTGTGGACAGAGGAGGCCTTCGCAAAGGCAGCAAGTAAGCTCAGATACTTTTCTCTCACCGATGTGATGTTAACTAGAATGCAGGCTCGTCGTCCCCATTGTATACGTTCCGCTGGCGAGACCAGGTCCTCCAACAATTCTCCGTCAGCTCGCCTATCAACAATGTGTGGCAATACCTGGTCCGGACATCGATCCTGTGGGTTGGAAGACAAGCGGACCTGTGAAGGTAGAGGGCACGCTCTTCAAGACGATTCACCTGGAAGCATTGTGCACGGTTCGTTGCCGTCTCTACAGCTCGCAAGCAAGCATGCTGAACGAAGGCGCTAGATGTCTGTAGCCCGACCTGTAAGGAGTCACAGTCCTTGTATCCCTATCCTCATTACTCAGATGAGTTCATACAGCTTACATACACTAGAGGCGCTCCTATACACCTAATCATCTCGATACGTAGCAACAACGGGCAATTTCTAGACCTTCTTACCCCTCAATCCATGCAAGTTGCACTGATTCAACATATCACATTCGGCGACGAGGGCAATCAGCCGCGTTTCTCCCGTAGGTTATCGGCTCAAATTACGATGAAGACCCGAAGCCTTGCGGTGGCGACGTGGTGGAGAGTCAGCAACCCTGCTACATCATCTGAAGTACGGACGTTCGCTGGCGAAGTGCTAATTCCTGATGACGCAGTCCCCGCCTGCCGTATTCTCCATTACGGACATGAGGTATAGGCCCTTCTCTTTGAACGGTCCGACGAATCCACTGACTTCCTTTTCGTAGTATAAACTTATTTTTAGTTCCATGAGCGCAGTGGGATTCTTTTCAGGTACATCCTCCAAAAAGCCGTTGCTTACGGAATCGGTCGGAATCGTTACTGCCTTCGCCCAAGGACCTCAACCGCGTTCCTACATCCTGCCAGAGTACGTTGCTGAATGATACAGTTATTTGATTGTGTCTTCTATCGTTTCCGCCTCATGTACCAATATGATTTTGTTGCACATACAATGCCCTGTCATTGAATGTAGCCAAGACTTTCATGGCGCGTTCGTAGGGTCCCAATCAGTGACGAGATCTGTAGGACACCTGTTAGGCGCATCTTGTAATTGGCCGCCAGTGCGAACGTACATTCGTCCAACGCATCGAGCTCTGCAACCTCCCCTGCGATGAGTTCGAAGTCGAACAGGTTGATATTAGACACAATGCGGCTGCGCTTCGCGGACTTCGGAATGGCAACGAAACCCTGCACGGCGCGAGTCAGCCAATCGGCGCTGCAGCAACGATTTTTGGACTTGATACCTTCTGTAGAGACCACCGCAGCAAGACATGTGCGGGGTCCTTCTTGTACTTCTCGGCCAAGGCGACGATCTTGGGGTGGCGGAACCGAAGACCGCGTACTAAGGGCGCCCACGCCTGCCATGCGCGCACAAATAGGTCAGAGATCGATGCCGGTCCGGCGAGGGACGTACCTCCAGCACGATATTGTGTTGGCGGCAGAACGCGACTATGTCCGTCCTAGTCATGAACGGGTGCAGGTCAATCTGAGGGAACATGGTCAGTGCTACCAGGCAATCGTAGCACCTGTCCAGGTACGAGTGCAGACCTGGTTGACCGCGGGAACCTCGAGCCCGGCGTCGATGAGCTCCTTGAGATGTCTAATGGAGAAGCAGCTCACGCCGATGCTGCGAAAGAGGCCCTCCTTTTTCGCATCGATGGCTGCTTTCCAGCTCTGCAGACGCATTTCGCGGCCTCCGATAGGCCCATGAAGGAGATACAGGTCGACATAACCCAGACCGCACTCCGCTACTGACTTTCGCATCGCTTCTTTTGCGTTGGCGTAGCCGTTGTTGTACTTGAGCTTCGTGGTATAGAAGACCGTCTCGCGAGGCGTTTCCGTCGCCTTGCACCAGTCCAGGATGGCGCGCCCGACCTCCTTCTCGTTCTCATACCACTGGGCAGAGTCCTAAATCCATGAGTCGAGAGGGTCGAAGAGACGTCAGTTTGACACTGTTGCGAGCCAAGTCCCGAAGGCGACTGTTCCTGGTAGATCCGTACGTACAATGTGGCGATAACCAGCCTGTGTTGGCCAAATGTGCCATTTGCAGCGGTCAGCAACATATAATAATATGACGTCTCGCCCATCCCCTTGTCAAACAAAGTACCACAACACACCTCGAGAGCCCACCGGACGGCGTTATAGGCTTCTTCGCCTTCCATCTCGTAAGTGCCTGCACAGAAGCCAGTGATTTTCAATGGAGTCGCGTCACAGCTGTGCAAGGTGAATCACTTACCGAAGCCGATGATGGGGATCTCATTTCCGTCGTTCAGCTGGGATGCGTGGAGGGTGTGTTTTGGGTTAGCACATGCAGCTATCTGTGACGCGGGGGGCTGTCAGTTAGCCTTACCTTGAGCTTCGATTGCGCTGAGAGTGCCATTGTGATCTTGAGATGAGAGAGGTCCGTGCAACCTGCGATCCAACTGGTGCATTCACCCTGCCGATAAACGTCACTGCTAACGTAGAATGAGCTGAAAATGCCCCTGAGGGCCGAGGCGGGCGCGCGCGCCGGGCCTCCGTGAGCGAAATAGGCGCCCAAACAGCGAAAGAATTTGTCCGGACATCCTCTATAACATCAATTGTCCGCTTGTCGTAGGCTTGAATCACCATTGATTGCTGAGTATCAATACATACTGGACCTTGCAGAGAGAGAGAGCCAGGCCTTGCGGGGGGAAAGCCAATATATCGCATTGAATTGAACTGTGCAACCGTCAATACTTGAAGGGGTTTGTCTGTAGGTACTTCTCAACATTGAATTATTCTCAAAGGCTTTGGGTGGGTCCCCTCCCTATGTAGACGGGACAGAGAGCGAGCGTCGTGACTCAGCCCAAGCCCCAGGAGAGCAGCACGGCGGATGTGCTTGGTTGTGGAGTTGCCGCAGAAAGCGCACGTGGCCTGGAACAGAACAAAGGGCTTAGTCATCATTGGCGCTGGCATGGGCCTGCTGGGTCGCTCTCTTGTCGCAGGGCCGGTGCATTCCACGGCCTTTACACTCTCCCATATCATCGACCGCCTTCTTATACTCTCAACCAACAGACAAACTTGCCATGTCAGCCACGGAAACTATAGTGGTCTCGTTGCCACTGCCGACACTCAACCAGGAGGTTATCGATGTCGACGCTCTAGAGGATGAACCAAGCGATACCCCTGTGTTCTCTGGATTCCATCGGTCAACGAATGGAGGCTCCTCGAGGAGGATCAGCGATATGTTGGCTGAAGATGGCCTTGCATACACGGGTTTTCGGGCATCGTCAACGAGTGCTAGGCGCTCGCTGCCAGACACCAGTGGCGCCCGAACAGGCTCGTCTTCTATGGCAATGTCAGAGGATGTCATTGTACTCGAAAGCGACGATGAAGGAGCTCCTTCGTCCTCTAGGAGTGCAGGGGGGCGCACAAACAGTGAGTTCTCACTCTGTATGCTCCATGTATGCGCAAGGATTCTCAGCTTGTACAGGGACGCGCTTACGACTTGTCTCCCCTCCACCACCTCGCGCTCAACGAGGCAACACACCCGCTGTCCCCGCTCTACCCTCTCACCTAGCCTCTCAATCATCATTACCAAGGCGACGTCCACGAAGTGCTGCTCAAGATCACAATCCACCACCAATCATCCGTCCAAGCGCTGACCCTCTCCCATTCGAGACCCGCATGGCGCCTTTACCTCGGCTTCCTCCTCGAAGCTCTCCTGCCCTCGTCGCGGCTCCCAGGTCTCACTACCATCCTGCCATGGGACTTGGTGGTGCAGCCCTCGTGCTCAATCGCCAGACAGCTCTAGAGGAAGCAAATCGCCGTGAACGGGACGCCCGCAGCAACACGTTCAATCTGCCCTCGTTCACAGATATATTTCGGCGAGTGACAAGCGGTCAGAGGGGCCCAGACGCACCACAGGGTGCTGATGGTGGTGGGACGCGCGGACGAAGCTGGCAGCGCTGGTGGCCATGGCTACTCGACGACCCTCACGAGGGCCCCAGCCGTAATCAATCGCCCTTCAGCGACGACGATACTTTCTTCATCCTCCCCGACTTCCCACCACCAAGATTCCATAAGCAGGGGATGGAGATCCCTGTTCACTGGAAGCCTGAGTATACGCATCCGGATAAGGCTGGTCCGGGCTTCGCGTACGACTTCGCGCCCTCGGACGCTGGACCATCGCCGACGTCTGGGGCGTCATCGCCCCCAGTCATTGTTCTCGATGAGGACGAGGCAGGGCCGAGCCATTCGGGAAGTTCATCGTCCAGTGCGACCCCTGTCGAGACGACGCTCGTCTGTGCTCGATGCCTTGACCCGCTGGTGCTAGCCGCCCCGGCGGGCGCCCCAGAGGATGAGCGTAGGAAGTACAGGGTATGGGCGCTGCGCTGCGGGCACATGCTGGACGGCAAGTGTATTGCAGAGCTTTGCGCTCCCCCACCTCCTCTTTCTCCTCCGCCTGCAGAACAGGAGCCTGTCGTAGACCTTATGGGCAAGGGCAAAGGCAAAGCTCGCGCTGACCCCGATGTCGAGTTGGATGCGCATCCCGCGGAGCCGGAAGCTGCCTCGCTGCCAACCACAGACAGGAAAGGCAAGCGCAAAGCGGTGGAGCCGCCCGAACCCGAGTTGCCGGTCAAGCGTCTCGCGCTCGCTGATCCCGCAACGTCTCCGTCAGAGAGCAATTCGATACGGTCGCGCCTGCGGTCGCACACCCGGCTCGCGGACGCGTCCTCCACGGAGGCGTCTACATCCGTAGCGGTAGCTACCCACCCGCCGCGGAGGAACCAGCGCAGCGGCCATATAGTGGTCTCAGGCTCAGGTACGGGCCCGGGTGCCGGGCGGGGAAAGGGGAAGGGGAAGGGGAGGGCGAAGGTTGCGCGGAAGCCGGCGATCGAGGCGGAGCACGAGTGGAAGTGTCCGGTCGCGGGATGTGGGCGTGTGCATTATGGGGTGCGCGTGCAGGGAGAGTGGAAGAACGACGAGGGGCGGGGCGGGATTGCGCTCTTCATCTGAGCTATGCGAGTACGGGAACTGGGATGGGATGCGTGGGACATACGCGTTCTGTGGCTCTCGGCATTGGATTCTGGAGACATCGAGGAGCACTGTGGGGGTTGTTGTGCGCCATGGGTTCGCTTTGCGCGGATTGGATGCGTTCGCGGAAGCTTGCATCGTTATTTTGGCAATAATATTGTTTGCGTTCCTCTCACCCTTCGGGGTCGATGTGGTAAGACCTTCCGGCGTGCTCACGGACACGATCGTTCCCATCAGCATTCTGCTGGCCCCGCTTCCTCGAGGTCTCGCAGCTCACCTTGCTAGGATGGTCTGCGACATGTGCGTCACGTCAACTTCAATTGTGGCGTGTGCACTCGAAAGACACCCTCTCGGGTCTCATATCGGTTGTCTCGCGAGCTTGCTCTAACACGGTGAGCACGCCCCTGCGCCGTCCTGTACGCCTGATTCGTCCCCCGCAGATCACACAGCGACCACCCACCCTTCGGAAAGTTATCACCGTCGACTGCTCCGATCTTCATACACATCCTTCATCTCGGGCGCAGCGACGGCTCCACTCTTGGTTCCTTCGGATCTCTGAGCCATCCCATGAAGATGAGCACCGGATACGATACCCATCCCCGGATCGTCGTATGCTCGAACCGCGACTGTGCTTCGCACAGAACAGTCTCTTAATCGTGCGGGGAGCCCTCAAACCTTCGTGGCCGTGCTTTTACGTTCTGTCCGGGGCGCTCGGAAGCTTCCATCGACATCTTCGGTCCGTTGCTGGACCCCCTTTCGCCGCGACATCGCGCAGCACCGTTCGTTTCGACGCACTAGGTGGGCTAGGTGACATAGTCTCTTCTGCTTCTACCGGCTGCTTCCATTTTGTGAGCGTGTACTTCGTCGACTTCGTAGGTGCTCCGTCCCGTCAAATTTGGGACCACGGACAAGCTTTGTGCGATCGAGCTGGCCGGAGTGGCGGCTGGCGACCCGGAAGTACTCAGGTCGAAAGCTTCCCAGGAGCGGACCTATGACGCATGAGCTGCGTACTTCACGTTCGTGCGGTCCGATCAGCAGGCTTCAAAGGTGCCCATGCATATCGCGAACACCACGCAGCTTCCTCAACATCATCTTCAACTTCTCGGGGACGTGGACGATGCACATATTCTTTTCCATTCTTTCCAGAGCTGCCCAACCCGGTAGATAACGGCGACTCTGTATACATCACTGCACACTATCATATTTGTAGACGGAGGTAAATACACGCGAAGCTTGCTTGGTGAAGGGTTGCCAGCGGGTGTTCGACGTGCGTTGTCTGATTGTTCTGATCATACCTTTGCTTGCGTGATGAACAGACGGTACGCCGGTCAGACTTCACATTGACCGTCTGTAGTGACGAAAATGACCGTCTGTAGTGAAGGACTAGACATTATGTTGAGCAATATTGCATTGCACGATGGAGGGTGAGCGCGGCCAGGCACGGGGCATTAAGAGCACACAGCCACTCGGGGGTGAGCGTGATCAGGTGGCCGGGACGGATGCCGGGCGGGGGAGGAGGCGCGGGTTGCCAGGATTCCGAATATTCGAGCGGCGTGGTCTGCTCGTGCCCTGCACAAGAAACTTATTGCATGCTCATGGGCCCCGTCCAGCCATCCCCATCCTCTTGGCGGGTTGTCTCCGTCCGCATTCGAACCGGACTCCCGTCGTCGAGCTCCCCTCAAATCCCACACCGCTGCCAAAGCGACAGCCTCCGTCGCCTGCTCCGCCATCTGTGTTTCACCACTCGCGACCGCGCATTTGCCGACGGTGACCGCTACGACCTTCAGAACATCCTCTCATCCGCAGTCTTCATCTTCTTCCAAACCCCGTCACCACCCCTATGCCATTCGTATGCTCTAGGTACTGCTGAGAACGACCCTCTCGGCCTTGACGACTCTCACGAGCTACGTTACAAACGACTTTCACGACCCACACGTTAGACGATTATGCCCCGTGCCTCCGAAGGAGCGGGAGAGCGGTCCCGGATCCTGTTGAGGGAGTTCAGGAAAAGGAGGCAGGTACGCATCTATCCGCCAGCCCCGTCCATTATCCCCGCTGCGTGGGACTCAGCATATCGCCCTTCAGCCCAAGAGGTGCGACTCGCTCCCATGCCTCCAGGTAGTGCCAGCGAGCCGGCAGCTGTACGTCTGCCTCCGGTGCCGTTTCGCGAACGCGATCTGCAGGATTTGTCCGTGGTGCCTTTCCACGTGCGATGCCGCCGCACAGGTCGCGGTCTCTGTCGTCCGCCGCCAGCTCAGCTCTCCCTTGCTCCTCACCGACGCGCAGAAGATGCAGCTCGCGAAGATCGAACGCGCTGCAACCGCCAGGCCCGGCGGCCGCCCCTCGTCTGCACGCGGCGCTGGCGCATTGTCCCATGAGGCTGAAGAGACGTCATCGACGGCGCGACGCGCTACGCGGGATCTACCCGGCGGCGTCTGCGAGGCCGAGACTGGGGACAGTCTGCGACGCAGGCATCGCAACGCGGCTCTGTACTCTGCTACCGACGTCGTTGCCACCGCGACCGAGGTGAGCGATCCTCTTTTGCGATGTCCCTGTTCTACAGCTTTCCTCCTCTTCTTCATTTCTGACTGTCGTTGCACGTGTGCGTGCCCTTGTGCTTGTACAGGACACCACTTTGCAGCCCTTTTTGGATCAGTTTGCTGCAGCACGCTCAGAGGGCAGGTCTTTACCCACACCAGAGCCTCTTCTTACGATTCCACCGCCGTCAAGACGAGCGACACGCCTTGACTCGCCACGAACTTCACGTCCTCGGACGCCCGCATCACCCACCTCCCCCAGATCCCGCGCACGAATGTCAAACCGAGATGCTGCCATAACGGACACGAGTGAGCCCACGTCCTCGGACGCTTCTGCGCACTCTTCCACGCTCTCCCGCTCCCCAACGGCACCATGTCTCCGCCGCAAGCGTCGCATGTCTGGCCTCCGCAAGCGCTCCTCCTGCTCCCTGCGCCGCCGCACCAACTCCAGCGCGGGCAGCTGCCGCCGCGAGACGGCAGCCTTCACGTCCCCGCCTTCGTCCCCCATATCGAAGACCGAGACGACCGCGACTTCCCTGCCGGGATCTCCGCAACCCAAGAAGGCGAAGAGCATCCGCTTCAGCACCGATTCCCATCTTCGCCCGAGCCCAGCCCCTTCGCCGGCCCCAGCACCAGCACCAGCCTCGTCTCCCGCTCCAGCCCCGGTCCTCGTTCACGAGCAGTTCCCGCTCGGACACCCGCAGCGGCCGCTGTACACGGCGATCCGGAAGAACATGTCCGTGGCTTCGTCCGCGTCTCGGCCCGGCTCTCCCGCGCCCTCCGCCGCGACGTCCGCGAGCTTCGACCTGCACGTCTACGAGCACCCTGCGCGCGGGACGCGCTCGCTCGACATCGACGACGAGTACGCGCACGGGCGCCCGCCGGCGCTGCGGTACGGGTCGCTGACGCGCGCGAGCCATCTCGCGATCGCGTACGCGGCGCGGCCCGCGCTCGCCGGCGGGTTCTCGGTCAGCGGGGAGACGGAGATGCGGATGGACCTGGCGCGGAGCCGGTCGATGGACGGCGTACCGGGGGACTTTGCGTTCAGGGAGGGGAAGGGGCGGAAGGGCGCGGGCGTGCTGGAGGCGTCGGTGCGGGCGAAGGTGAAGAGCCTGAGCAAGACGCTCAAGAGCTTGCTGCGCGTCAAGAGTTGAGGTTCGGTTCGCTCAGTCGATCGAGCTCAGGCCTTTGAGGTGTTGCTGCGCCGTCTGGAAGCCAGACGTTGATTTTGGTCTCTTCTGCTCTCTGCTCTGCTCTGCTGGTCTGGGTCGCCGAGCGCGGCGCTGGGTGCCGCTGCTGTCTACTGTGGGAAACTGGGATTGGCTATCGTCTCCTCTCGTACGTCCTTTTCCCTGCTATCAGCGTACGAAGCGGATGACTGACGGTTTCTGGCTCGTGACGCAGGCGCATATACACGTCGTTCTCCCCAAGAGTTACATCTACCGCTTTTGATACCACCACATGCACATATGCTTTATGCCTCATACCCCATGCCCTTCACGACCGTCACGACCCTCGTATGGTTGCTTGTTGTCTGTTGTGCTTTCTTGGATAGATATTACCCCTATATCGCATGTTCTCTAATGGGTACCCCGTTTCTTCCTGCAATGCCAGTTTCCAAGTTTATCTAGGTGTTCAGTTCTCGAAAAACACTGGTTGGATGCTTAGAAGTGTTGTGCCCTGATCCGATGAACGTTATCGCCAGACTCACTCACGGCAGCTTGGAGGTGTGTCTGCCGGTTAATCAGGTTGTACTCCCGCTCACGTGTTTTGTGTTCAGCAGGAAGTCGCGCGGCATTGTCCGTGGGCAATGAGGCGTGTTCTGTTCGCCCGGCCTGCTGTGCTGGTCCCCGTCCTTCTCAGACCTGCACAACCGGACTGATCCACGAAGTTTGATGCTCTCACCTCTTTGTGTTATCCGTCATCACCGTCATTCCACACCGACAGACGGGTCCGCGCCATGCGGCTGTTGTGCATCAGGACAGGACAGTTCGCGGAGTCCGTGGACGGCAACAGAAAATTGTCATGCGCGGTGCTCTCACATACGCGGGATCCTGACGGAGAGTGGACCCACGAGGAGCTACCAGACATTCGGGGGTGCCTATAATACCGGAGCGGTAAGCCCCGTTTGCACCAATCCACCTCAAGCGATCTCATACAGTCATTCTGGAGCTGGGGCGTGCGGCCGCCGAACGCGTTCGCAGCTACATAGCAACAAAGACCTCCCCCCACCTGGAGCGGCCCTCGGCCCCCAGACAAGCTTCGGATAGCATGCGAGACCACCCGCCCGCGCGAAGGCATGCGAACACGTTTGGATCGACCCGTGTCGCAGATAGAATCGAAGCCACCTTCGCCTCGAGCCCAGATAAAGGCGGTTCTGCCGGGGCACTTGCTCTCTTCCGGTGTCGACGTAGGCGGCAAAATACCCTCCCCCCCTCCCATGCTGCGGGGTTGTACTCTCCGGGAGAAGGCCATCATAAACTCGCTCTAGAGATCTCGTCGGGGCAATCAATGTCTGACCTTGCGGGTCGTGTGCGCTGTGGCTCTGGACGAAGCATGCTGTCTAGACTATCCCGGACGGTTTCACTCGGCAATATGCGTCGACCTCAGACCGTACTCCTGTGGAACTGACTGGGAGCTGTAAGGGGAGGCGCTTCCAGATAGTCTCATACTTTTTTTCCATCTCGGAGCCCGAACCTGCAGACACACTTGGACATAGGGGGGACGTGAAGGTCGTGAACAACGTGGAAGGGAGCTCGCGCGGAGAGGAAGGACATCGGCCATTGTTGACTCGGAGGTGTAGTCCTGATGCCTCTTCAAGCTCGCTCGCTGCTAGAGCAGTGGTCCATGGGACTACATAGTCTTTTACCAGGCATCGTGACGCACGTACGCGACTTGAGCTGCATATCTCGCCAGGTGGCTTCCCCGACGTACTGACCGATGCGTCTGTCTCTTCCCTCTCTGTGGCTGTCATAGTTCACAAACCTCGTTCATTGCCAGTGCATCCGGGGTCCAATGCTCCGGTCGAAGATCCATTACGCGGACGGCTCGAAGTAAGGGCAACGGCCTGACACGTCGCATGTGTTTTTCACGGTTCAGATCTCAGAAGCCATCGGCACTGGCGATGTTCTTGTGTTCGGCTACAGCCGCTTCTCAACATCTCGACCCTTCCGATCTTTTCAGGCTGCTCCTGCTTCACCCCTCCCCCTTCCAAAACGTCGAATGTCGTCTTCCGCAGCTTCCATCTCGTCATCAGATAAAGGGCGATCCACCACGCGCAACCCAGCGGCGCGTTGGTTGTATGTGCGCGCGCGATGCCACCCATCTGATCCCGTATATATGCATTTCAATCGTCTTGCCTTGAGGCTCGCACTCTTGAACACGAACAGCATGTTGCACATGCACGGGCGGTCCGACTATCGGACTCGAACGTCTCGTTCAGACGGGACTTTCTCCAACACACCAGAGGGCTGTCGTCCTTGGCTGAGCAAATCTCTGAGTTTCCTCTGCCGGGTCACTTCCGCGCACTGCGGCCGGGTCATTCAAAGTCCTGGTTTCGGACAAACCGTTCTCATGGATAGCGCGAGGCTCCTTGGAGTGTTTGCGTAAGGAGGCTCTGGCATGCGCTGGACCCTAGGGTCTTCGTTTGTTTTGTGCGCAGTTTCCGTATAGAATTTCTGGTTGTGCAGGGTCCGCTAAGACGATGACGACCCTCCCGGCCCGATTGGGATGACCCTTGGAAACCAAACGAGGCTTGAGCGGTCTCGAGCGGCGAGTTCGGCGTGGAGGTACGGCATGCACGCATGTACCGAGCAACACGTTTCTGATCACCTACGCAGGTGCAGATTTGAAGGCTCAGCGCTGAGCCATGGAAGATCAGTCGGTGCGTAGGTTGAGAGGAGCTACTCAGCGGCCCCGTTCAATATGACGGTCGATTGCGCGGGCGTAGTGGTAATACACCTTCCGCATCCGGTCGTGTGTTACCCATGATCGAAGGGGGGTACGTGAGGCGGCTGACTCAGACGAGCAAACAGGCTTGCAAAGCACGAAGTGGGCAAACCACCATGCCAGAAAGTTCAGAGCGACCCCAACGAGCCGTTGCGTGGGCATGACGGAGCCGACTGACTCGCCATGGACGTCATAATGTCCATATGGCGATGCTGGAAGGTCGTCGAGGCCGGTGTTCGCCTCCGTACTGATACTGAGTGCTGGGGCCTGGAGACGTCCAGAGACGATGGTGAGACGGCATCCACATGGGCTGGAGCTCGTTGGTCTATTGCGAAAAGGCGCGATGCTCGCTATGCGACAGCCCAGGGATCCAGGTGTGCACACAGAAGATGTGTCCTGGTACGTATACACACAGCAGCATGATCACCCTGCGATCGTCGATCGAGCCTCCTGCCGAACGTCGCGCCTGGTGCCAAGGATACAGTGTACACATCGGGCGACGGACATTCGCGGCCGGATGCGAGACGTAACTCGCGCGCCATGCGTCCGTCCTGCGACTCGCGGGCACGGTGCAGTCGACCGAGACTGACTGGCGTTTTGCGTTTGCAGACAAAGGTCGATGATGGCTGGGTGATGTAAGATGCTGACGCGAGTCCGCTCGTCAAATCGCTGTGGGGGGCTTACCGATCGCGACCGCCGGCAGATCGCCATCGCCTCATCGCCACCAGCGAGGCGCGAGCACCGTGATGTTGCGGGGGTGGTGGGCGCGCACGAGCGAACGAAGACGACTGTGTTGATCTTGGCCAGTCATGGTGCACACAGACGCTAAAATGACGCACGCGTCCTCCAATGGCGGCGTTTCCCCCGTGTGTTCGCTTGGCCCTAAGGATGCGGATTTCGGCGTTCTAGACTCGAATGGGAGCTGGTCGCATCACCGTCTCTCGAAGCGTTCTGTTGAGCTGCTGCTGCTGCTGCTGCTGCTGCAGGAGGCGAGGTTTGACATGGTATACATAGTTGCATAGTGTAGAGTTCAAGCTCTTTCATGTCAAGGGGCTGACAAAGGCGAGGCATAGCGCACAAGGTGGAGAGTGCGGGCAAGAGCGATTACGGGAGGTGACGAAGAGGATTCAGGAAGCCCCCATTCGAAGGTCAGCTGTATGTGCGCACATTGCGAGCAGGGTGCCTCAAGGGAGATAACACGAGGAAAGACGTTGGCCCTAGGCTCTGGGTGGGCGACTATCGGATCAGGGATCCTCTCCGGGCGCACTGTCCACCTCCTCCGGGGCGCGTGTTTACATAGGGCTCCTGTGCTGTATGTATGGGTGTCCTGGCGTTGCGTCAAGAAGCACCCAAGACGGCGCCACGCTCCGCACTCGTACTGAGTATTGAATACTGAGTACTCAGCAGGGTGCCTGGTCGAAGAGCGTGCAGGCCGCTGACGAGGCCGTGCTGAATCACCGAATGAATGAGGTCCATGGCAAAGGGGGCCGAATCCCGCCGCGCTGGAACCACTGTTATTTCTCGGAAGAGGACCATCAGCCACACCAGAGAGCATGCGCGGCGGACGCAAAAAGTGCGGGCAGCGGGCGCCTCGGGGGCACCGTGACCGAACAGAGTGCCCCGCTTCGGGACGCTTCTCGATACGCTGGGCCCCGCGTGCAGAATTTCGGCTGATGTTCGCCTTCTGCGCGTGCATGCGTCCGGACGATTGCAGGCTTGGGCCGTCTTCTGTGGGGGACGGGGAGGCGAGATGCCGGCAGCGGGCTCGGTGCCCGTTCATTCATGTGCGAGGCCCGGAAGCGTGCGCTGTCGCAGAGGCGCGGCCGGCTGAGCGGAGAGGGTCCGGAGAGGGTCCGGAGAGGAGGCGTGCAGTACAGCGACGTACGTCCGACGCAGCGCGCCTGGCGTGGGACGGAAGAGGAGGATGCGACGATGATGCATATGCTCAGTAAATACTAAATCGCTCAAGGTTGGCGCAGGCGCCCTATCGCAGGGCGTGGATCGGGTTCGCGCATCTAGCCTCAAGAATTCCTCGCCAAGGGAGACGGCCATATGACGAGCGCGCAGTACTCGGGGGCGACCCCGGCGACGGTTCAGGGTATAAATTAGTCGCGTGTTCTACGGGCAGAAAACAGGTTCAGCTCGAACAGGCTCGTCCCCCAAGCTTCCTTGTACTCGCTCCTCGCAGTCCTCTAAACTTGCATTCCCCTCCTCCTCATTACCACCCTCGCACATCACCGTCAAAATGCAGCTCACGACGATCCTGACCCTCGCCGGCGTCGCACTCTCCGCCGCGTTTGGTGTCTCCGCCAAGCAGGATGCCGTGAGTCGGCCTTCCCTCCTTGGTGCTCGGGCCGGGGCGCTCACCTAGGTTTGTTTTTGCAGAAGGCCACCACGATTTGGCAGCCCACCGCGACCGTGGTCCAGACGAAGACGTACACGGGCACGCGCGTGGAGGAGATCTGGACGACGACCCCACCCTACGAGTGGCTCACCACGTACCCCATCACCTGGACGGCGACCGAAACTGAGACGCAGTATAAGCCCGTCGTCACCAATGTTGCCCGGCAGGTCGTCGGTGAGCGCCGCCATGCTCGCGACTTCCAGCAGTCGTGATTTTCCGTTCGCGGTGAGTAAACGAGACGGTCTTCAGGTGCACAGGGGAGTACTGACGGAGCACGTCTCGTACAGCCGATTTGTTGTGTTCGCGTTCGCTTGCCACTTTTCTGGACTGTTACGACTCTGATGGGTCACGATTTGACATGACTTCATGTGATGCATTTTTGTACTCACCGTTTTGTTTTGTGCTGTATTTGACACGCTGTACCATTAGCCCGTTATGATCGGAGCAATCGCTCGAAAGGCAGTTTGTTTTGTCCAAACCGTAACGTCAAATGAAAACCAATGTGGGTTTCTAGTGCATTGGGATGTGAATGCAACGGCCTCGTCTCAGACTTGCGTGCGTTTGGAGACTGACATAGGACGTGGGGATGTATTCGCTTCGGCCCTGCATAGACAGTGACCTTGCAGGAGAAGAGGCTCTTGGTTACCCGTTGTACAACGCGTTCGCTCCTCCCCGTCCGACCTTCGCCAAAGAGTGCCAAAGACAAGACGCACGAGGCATTTAAGAGCAATACTGTGCCGAGAGATGCGATTCACGGAGTACGCTGCGCAGGTTTTCGGGAGGGGCGAGGTGCACTAGTCGTTTGTTCTAGACAGAAGGTCGCCATGATGCACATAGTGGATTGAGTGTTATTCTGAGATGTTGTCTTGGTGCGACCCACACCCACGCAGCAGGCGGACGGGAGGCGACGACGCAGGGCTCGGAACGGAAGACGGAGCGCGGAGGATGGTGGTGGTCGGCTAGCGAAGACGGCGAGGAGCGCTCGTGGAATGCGACTCCGTCCCGCTGCACCGTCCGGCACGTGAGAGGGCGAGCATTTGATCGTGTGGGCGAGTCAGGAAGGAGATGCAGTCGAGTCGCATGCTCTGCAGAGCCCTGCGGCCGTCTCTGTCTCTGTCTCTCCATCGATTCCCATCGCCCCGCCCGCTCGCACGGATGGCGTCCTCAGAGTCGCAGACCCCCCCGTACTTGACCGCCGCGCAGGTGCGCGAGCACTTCTTCGCCTTCTTCAGGAGCAAGGACCACCCCTACGTCCCCTCCTCCTCCACCATCCCGTATGAGGACCCGACGCTGCTCTTCGCCAACGCTGGCATGAACCAGGTACGTCTCACGGGCGATGATCGATCGCCTGCGTGCTCGCTGACACGCGCTCTGTCCAGTTCAAGTCCATCTTCCTCGGCACGGTCGACCCCCATTCCGAGCTCGCGCGACTGAAACGCGCGTTCAACTCGCAGAAGTGCATACGTGCAGGCGGAAAACACAACGGTACGTCTCTCCGTCCAAACTACGTGCTACGTGCGTGAACGCGTGTGCAGATCTGGAGGATGTCGGGAAGGACTCGTATCACCACACGTTCTTCGAGATGCTGGGCAACTGGTCGTTCGGCGACTACTTCAAGGTGCGTGCGCCCGCTCTCTCTTGCGTTGCGGTTGCGGGCACGGCGTTGACGTGGCGGAGCGCAGAAAGAAGCCATCTCGTATTCCTGGGAGCTCCTGACGGGGGTCTACAAGCTCCCCAAAGACCAACTCTACGTCACGTACTTCGAGGGAGACCCCAAGAACGGCCTCGAGCCTGACCTCGAGGCGAAACAGTACTGGTTAGCAACCGGCGTTGCGGAGGACCACATCATCCCCGGCAATGCGAAGGACAACTTCTGGGGTGAGCCCGTGCAGTCATCGTACCCGCTTTGTGCTCATCGCCACGCATAGAGATGGGCGCGACCGGACCTTGCGGGCCCTGCAGGTGAGTTCACTCAGTTCGCAACTTCCTCGCTGCACGATCCTCACGACGTATCAGTGAAATCCACTTCGACCGCATAGGCGGCCGGAACGCGGCCGACCGCGTGAACCAGGACGACCCGGACGTGCTCGAGATCTGGAACAACGTCTTCATCCAGTTCAACCGCGAGGAAGACGGCTCGCTCCGCCCGCTCCCCGCGAAGCACGTCGACACCGGCATGGGCTTCGAGCGCCTCGTCTCCGTCGTGCAGAACAAGCGCTCCAACTACGACACCGACGTCTTCGCGCCGCTGTTCGCGAAGATCCAGGAGCTCACCGGGGTCCGCGCGTACGCGGGCAAGTTCGGCGACGAGGACCCGGACGGGGTCGACACCGCGTACCGCGTCATCGCGGACCACGTGCGCACGCTGACGTTCGCGCTGAGCGACGGCGGCGTGCCGAACAACGTCGGGCGCGGGTACGTGCTCAGGCGGATCCTGAGGAGGGGCGCGCGGTTTGCGCGGAAGAAGCTGGGCGTGCCCATCGGCGCGTTCTTCTCGTCGCTGGTCCCGGTCGTCGTCGAGCAGATGGTGCGGCTGCCTGCCCCTGCCCCTGTGCGTGCGCGTTCTGTCCGCTGACTCACCGTTCGCGTAGGGCTCGGTCTTCCCTGAGATCACGCAGAAGTACGACGAGATCAAGGAGATCCTCGACGAGGAGGAAGAGTCGTTCTCGCGCACGCTCGACCGGGGCGAGAAGCTCTTTGAGCAGTACGCGAAGAAGGCGCTCGAGGCCGGCCAGAAGGAGCTCAGCGGGAAGGACGTGTGGCGGCTGTACGACACGTACGGCTTCCCCGTCGACCTCACGCGGCTCATGGCGGAGGAGCTTGGGCTGGGCGTGAACGAGGCGGAGTTCGAGGCTGCGCAGGCGGCGTCGAAGGAAGCCAGCAAGGCGGGCGTGAAGAAGGGCGCGGGCGAGACTGTTGCGCTCGACGTGCACGACATCGCGGCGCTGGAGAAGAATGTGGACGTGCCGAAGACGGACGATTCGTTCAAGTTCCGTGAGTGCTTAGAATGACGGGGAACATCAGGTCGACTGCTGACGCGGTGCGCATTGCAGAGCGCGGTAGCATCACAGCAAAGGTCGTCGCTATCTACAACAAGAAGGCCTTCCTGAAAACCACCGGGGAGATCCCTGAGGACACCACGTTCGGGCTGATCCTCGACCGCACAAGCTTCTACGCGGAGTCCGGTGGTCAGGAATACGACACCGGCAGCATCATCATCGACGGCGTGGCAGAATTCGAAGTGACGAACGTCCAGGTCTTTAACGGCTACGTCCTCCACATCGGTCGTATGAAGTACGGCAAGCTGGCCGTCGGCGACGAGATTGTCTCGTCATACGACGAAGTACGTGCGGATCCCCCATTCACTCCCGTTGATCATCGTCCGCATCCTTTCTCCCGCTTCTGTCCCCTTCTGACTGTTCAGCGATAGCTCCGACGCTGGCCGCTCCGCAACAACCACACCGCGACGCACATCCTCAACTACTCCCTGCGCGAGGTCCTCGGCGACCACATCGACCAGAAGGGCTCGCTCGTCGCGCCCACGAAGCTCCGCTTCGACTTCTCGCACAAGGCGCAGGTCACCCCGGCCGAGCTCGCGAAGATCGAGGCGCTCAGCCAGGACTGGGTGCGCCGCAACGTCGGCGTGTACGCGAAGGAGCTCGCGCTGCCCGTCGCGCAGAAGATCCACTCGCTCCGCGCGGTCTTCGGGGAGTCGTACCCGGACCCGGTGCGCGTCGTCGCGCTCGAGTACCCCGTGGAGGAGATCGCGCAGGATCTGGAGAACCCGAGGTGGCGGAAGACGAGCATCGAGCTGTGTGGCGGCACGTACGTCATCTGCGTTACTGACTTGCGAGAGTGCGAAAGTGCGTGCGGTCGCTGATCGAGCGTTTGGTTGGCTATCTCTGCGCGCGCACACACAGGCACGTCGCGAAGACGGGCGAGATCAAGGACTTCATCGTCACGGAAGAGTCCGGGATCGCGAAGGGCATCCGGCGCGTCGTCGCGGTCACAGGGCACGAGGCGGCAGAGGCACGCCGGCAGGGCGAGTCGCTCACCGCGCAGCTCAACCGCATCGAGTCGCTGGGTGACGCCGAGAAGGACGTGGCGCTAAAGGCGTACACGGTGGTGAGTGCCCCTTCGTCCGGATGTGGCATTGCGATTGCCTGCGGGGAGTCTTATGCCGCGTCTGTTTCCAGCAAATCGGCCAGGCGGACATATCGCTGCTCAAGAAGAACGAGCTTCGGGATCGTCTGGGCGCCGTCAGGAAGGCGTTCGACAAGTACCTGAAGGACAAGGAGGCCGCCGCGAATAAGGCTGTAAGCTTTCTCATCGTGTGTTCATCTGCTTGGACGCTCAGCGCTATCGTGGTCTTTGCGGCGCTCAGGCTGGCGACGCGCTGCAGCAGTTCTTCAAGGAGAAGCCGGACGCGCCCGCGTACTTCGCCGTCCTCGACGTGAACGCCAACGCAAAAGTCCTGCAAGGCGTCGTCCTCCAAGCGAAGAAGCTCGGCAAGTCCATCTACATCTTCAGCGCGGACGCGGCGAACGGCAAGGTCGCGCACGTCAACGCCGTCTCTGAGGCTGCAAAGGCCAAGGGATTGGACGGACGGGAGTGGGCGAACGCCGTGGTGGATATTCTTGGCGGCAAAGTAAGTCGCCGTGCCTTCGCGAACCTTGTCCTTGTTCGTCTACGGGTGGGGATCGGCGGCTCACATGTCCATTCATCACGCAGGCGGGCGGCAAGCCCGATGGCGCGCAGGGGGTTGGTACAGAGGTGTCGAAGGTGCAGGACGCGCTGGAGGCCGCTCGGAAATTTTTCGAGACGAAGACGTCGAGCTGAGCTGCCGTAGGGGGGTCAGAAGCCTTGTGCAAATTGTAGCGCCGTGCCACATTGCAATGTCGCTAGCGAGCGTTGGAAGCAGATTCACGTAATTGTGTACAGTATCGGGGAATTTAGAGGGCGAGGGGGAACTCGACAAGTCGCCATTGCTATTCACACATTTCTGTGTCAATCATCATGTGCAAATCCGCTCCAGTTTGACTCGGTGTCTCGAGGTCAGCTGTGCATTCTTACTTATCGTCCTGTACGTATTGATGTCTCGACTGTCGGCCGTCTGTCTGATGTTTCTTGCGAGCTCGTCTGTTGCTGTCAGCTTAGACCTCGGACCTGCTGGGCGGCTTGATATGAGTTTCATCGGTCCGATGCTTGTCGGGCGCTTGAAGGATAGGCTTTTGACTTGATGCAGTCACGGTAACCTCATGTCTAATCGTGGTCTTGTCTCTCATTGCGTCCAACAGACGCTCTTATGCTTCGACATATCACCATTCAAAAGAGCCCCACCATGCGAATGTACGCCTTGCGTCATCTACAGTACTCTCTAGGAATCTAAAGCATACGAGGAATGTGACCTGGCTTCTGCCTTCCACCGCTGCCTCCGAGGCCGCCTGCCACAAAGTGGCTATCGCTAGTCGATACATCGATCTGGCTTCGTGGCTTCCTCAGGCGTATCGCTAGCGAGGTGAAGTCGCCGCGCAGTACGGCGATTTGGCCGTGAACCTGACCTTCAGGTAAAGTGGTCGTTCATATGAGCTACCGCTTGAGACTCGCCCTGAGGGCCACGTCGAGGCCGCGGTTGAATAGGATTTTTGAGCAATTGAAGGACGTCTTTGCCCCTGTGTCGTCCATCGATATGCATCGATCATGCGCTCGGATCGTCGGGACGTGAATTCGGGCAGTCAATGATACGAAATTTACGTGTCGCCTGCGTACTATCTCGTGTAAGTTACTTGACCAGCGTGTGAGTCCCTCGGAGAGGCTCGCAGGCTTGGTCGTGGGCCGTCCTTCCATGTCGCGCTTGGAACTCCACATCTGCTTCCAGAGCTTTCCGCCTAATCGCTTGCGGAATATGTAGGACGCTTCGACCTCGACTGACAGTTCCTAGCTCAGCTGCTCGGCCTTATCCATTACGCGCGCGGCCGGGTGATAAAGGACAGTGGCTCCCGCGGCCAAATGTCTCCTGCACCCCTGGTCCTCGCCATCTCTCCTCTGCCTCCTTGGAATGCACTGTGCACAGGATGCTTGTCGTCAGCAGTCCGATGAGGAGACAGCTCTCCTGGCGTCACCGGAGCGGAAGGTGCTGAAGGCCCCGACGCCGCTGCCGCGCCTGCAGATATTCGTTCTGCTGCTCATGCAGCTCGCCGAGCCCATCACATCGCAGTGTATATATCCGTTCATCAACCAAGTATGACTCCTTACCTGTTCCTCGATGAATTTTTGCCTACTTCTATTATGCTTCAGTTAGTCAGCGAACTCGATATCACGGGCGGAGACGAGAAAAAGGTCGGGTACTACGCAGGCATGATCGTGAGTGCCTCACATGATAATATGAGATGACTTGTGAAACTCACCTCCCTACGTCGATTGTAGGAGTCCCTGTTCTTTGTAACAGAGGCAATGTTCATCATGCAGTGGGCCCGGATATCTGACCGCATTGGTCGCAAACCCGTTCTGCTCACGGGAGTCGGAGGCCTCTGCATATCCATGCTATTCTTTGGTATCTCCAAAACGTTTACCGGTCTCGTGATCAGGTGGGGTAATACGGTTCCTGTGCGATTCGCCTTACTCACAATGCTCTATGTGCTTCCGAGATAGCCGTTGCTTGGTCGGAATGCTCAATGGCAATACCGGCGTCATAAAAAGCATGATTGCAGGTGAGATGGTTGTTTCTGTGCCATTCTGGTTGAATTTGACACTGGGTTTCGGCTAGACCTTACCGACGCGTCGAATATGGCTCAAGGCTTCGCTATGATGCCTGTTATGTGGTCCGTAGGGGGCACCATTGGGTGCGTTCTCCTTTCCTCTGAGAACTATGCGATGTTAACCAAATTTCATAGACCCATCATCGGAGGCCAGCTAGCGCGGCCTCACGATCGGTGGCCGGACATCTTTTCAAACCCATTTTGGCGGTACTATCCTTATTTCCTTCCATGCGCCGCATCGGCGCTTTTCTCCGCAGTGATCTTCGTGGTCACTGCGGCTCTCTTGCGTGAGGTAGGCTCGCCATGCATACCGTTATGTCCCGGGCGCTGACCATCTGCCCAGACCGTTCCGAAACAGCCTGTACGCAAGAAGATAGTCCGGTTCGCCTCTGACGATACTCTCGTCAATCATGAACCTTCTGATTCTCCCGCGAATGTTCCCATCCGCGCGCTGCTCACGAAACCCGTGGTATGGTCGGTGCTCAATTACGCGGCCTTGGCTTTGCTAGAGATCTCCTACCGCGCCATTCAGCCCCTGTTTTTCTCGACACCGATCGAGCTCGGAGGCCTCGGTCTCCCTCCGTCGACTATCGGCACCATCCTTGGTTGCTTCGGGATCATGGACGGCATATTCCAAGCGCTCTTTTTTGCGAAGTTCGTTGACCACTTCGGCCCCAAGCGCGTCTTTTACGTGGGCATGTTCATGTTCATCCCTCTCTGGTGCTTGTACCCGATCATGAGCATCCTGGCGAAGGCGGGAGGGATCACAACCGCTGTCTGGCTTCTCGTCTTCACCCAACTCGCGCTTTGCGTGATCATGGATATGGCTTACGGTATGTGCCTAGCCGCTCTACTGCCTGGGTTCTATTTCGGTCACTAAAGGATGTGGCCAGGCTGCACCTTTATATTTGTTACAGGAGCCGCGCCCAATAAGCAATCGCTGGGGGCCACTAACGGCATCGCACAGTTGGCCGCTTCCATTGTGCGCGCGATCGGCCCTGCGGGCGCGACATCACTCTTCGCGCTGTCCCTCGATTGCAATTGGGTCGGCGGATATGGCGTGTACGCTATTTTCGTCGTGCTCTCTTGCGCGCTGTTGTTTGTGGGCATCCCACTGCCTCGCCGGGGATGGACAGTGTGCGAGAGCTGGTGATGAACAATTTGTGAGTAGCTCTCGCATGCTACCCGCATTGTACCCGAATGCATGCGGCTGACGTCGTGCTCCGAACTTCTGCTCGCAGAATGATAGCACTCGCTGATGTACGACCTTCACGACCCAAAAACGGCCATTCTAACGCTCTTTGCTGCTCCTCTCCGTGTGCCTTGCAACTGTCAAAACGCTATTGGACGGATGCACTTCGTTAGCTTGCTTTGCTTGGATGCTGCTGCTGAAGAAGTTCAGTCACCTGTACAACACCCCGCTTCGCCACCGTCACATGTTGACCATCTTACGCACAGCTCGGTCCGCCGAGGAGCTGTTCGATTACCCTGAAGTTCTAGACGATCACCCAGTCGGGGAAGGACGAAGCATAGACCTGGTTCTCTATTCAGTAGACAGGGTTTGGAGAAGGTCTGTAGCATGCGGCTGCCGAGCAGCCTCGGGACCCTGCGGAGGCGGACATTTCTCGGCAGCGACGTCGGGTGCTTTGTCTTGCGCAAAGGCCTAGGAGTGCCGCGAGCGGGTCTCTCCATCGCTCCCGAGCTCGAAGAGCGTAGCAAACACCTCGCTAGCGCGCCGAATTGACCCTCGGGTGTCTACTTTTGCGTACGGTGTCATGTACCCAGCCAAGTGGTGCCTGCATGAGGATGCGGAGTCGAGGAGTGTTCTCGGAACCGTACGGGTGGATGCTACGATAAGCGACCACGAATAGCCGCGTTACCGCTGCAATGGGATGGCTCTGCTGGGAACGGTACGAGCATTCGCGCCGCAGGCTTCAAGCAACCCGACTCCGGTTACCTGTCAGCCAGTATTGAGCCCACAAATCATAATAGCCTTACCTTGAGGGCTGCTGCAGTGAGACATCATTCTGTGGCCACTCCGTCGTCCCAAAACTGCTGTCAGTTTGCAGATACTCCTTCTCAATTTCAAATCAAATCAATGTGGAGTGAGTATTTTGACAGATGCCGTACGGTCGCGAATGGCTTGGCAATCAGCGTGGAAATCCAACCCGGCGTCGTCTATGTACTTCTCCGGTACACAGTACACAACCGCGAGTCCATAGTGCCTGCCAAGTGCGCTTGGCTACTGTACCCAGAAGACGTAGAGTTTAACCAACCAGCCTCGCGTGGTTTGAGCCTCGGACGCATTGACAGACGCCGGGTGTCGACTCCTCTCTCTTCTGTACCACCACCAAGGTCGCGACCGCGACCGCGAGCACCATCGTCATCACCACTCACGCGCATCCTATACGTGCCTCACGAATATCGTGGATAAATCTAATTTGACGCACATAACCGGGCAACTCTTCCTAGTGCGTTTTCTGATGTCAGTCATCCGTGGCTCATGAACACTCCATATCCACGGCTCACATTATGACTTTTCTAGCAGTGTACATCCCTGAACTAGTGCAGTATCCGCTCCTCTCCGGCTTGCGTCCTCATTCTCAATGGTCTCTGGCCTAATGGAAAAAGTCGGAAGTGTCCCTATAGTTTGTGGACGGTCAGCATTGCTGTCCCATGCGCTCCCGACACTTCCGCATGAGACGCTCCCGATTCTTTCCAAAGGTCCCCCTTCCGTTCGCGCGATTTGTTCCGTGCCTAGCCCCTGCACTGCGACGGTCTATGGAGATGCTCTATGCAGAGCAGATTGCCGACGATCTCACGCGCAATAAGGTAATTGAAACAGCTTCTTCGGGTAGCATTCTCAACACCGAAACTGCAGGCGAGCAGGCGCATATTTTTCGGTTGATTCCAAGAATACCGCCCTGCAGAGCCCGTTATTGCCCTACCGCTCACACCCCGAGTTGTGACCAATGTCCTCTTAGCTCGACTACCATCCTGCCGGCATATATGCTGGTCAGGATATGAGATGATGGTGCTTGATAAGGTGGGCCATAATTTCTTTCCGTCATTCTTTAGTTTCGGATGCTCGCTAACATACCGTCTCTAGGGGCCAACTCCGGTCTCCGCCAGGACTGAACAAATGATATGCGTGAAATGAAGTAATGGAGGATATTTCGAAATCACTTTCACAAGTCACACGTGCTACCATTGGTTAGTCCCCTTCCGTTGCGGAAGGAGTCACGGCTTGGATTCAAGTAGACGGCAATACCGTCCGCTTTGAGCCTGCTAACGAGAGGAACCATTGTTTAGCGTTCTAGAGGACGCTGATTGGAGACCCATTCCTGCTGTCCGGTGGACATGGCAACGTCGTCCTGTTGGAATCCTGTTCTCCTTCTCAATATAGGGGGACAAATGCCCTCGTCACCCGGGCCCATGTAATCTTTACTCGACACACCTCCCTGCACAGAATAGTCGAACATTCTCGCTTCATTGCGAGGTGTCACTCAAGAATAGGTGGACTCGTGCGCCTCTGTTGCCGAGCAGGCTCCACGACGGCCTTTGCCGACAGATGGCCATCACGTCGCCCACCTCCGATCCCCGCAGGATAAAGATAACTCAGGATTGATGCTCGGTGTTGGGTGCGTGCACTATGTTCACGAAGCCCTGGTACTCGCATGCCCGTCTCGGACAGGACCTGAAGTAGTCGATCGACCGTATTTGTGTATCGGTCAGCCTATCCTCGAAAGAGGTGTATCGGTATCCTAGTTTTCCCATCTTGCTTGGAGGTTCTTCGCATTGTGCACGCGGTCTGTATCGGCATCGCTTCCATTGTGACAACGGTGTAGGGTCGGACCGTAGGCGGAGGTAAGCCTCCTCATCACTCAGCGTCATTTCAGCACAAGCGGAGCCCTGAATGTCGTTACCCGTGATGCAGCACCCGAACTTCTCCATTGCGCCGTGGATGTATTCCGGCCGACACCTCACGACGTGGGGCAACCCAACATGTGCGGAAGGAGGGCGACGGGAGAATACGGACATTCCCCACTTCGCTTGACGGTCGCGTTACATGTGCTACGAAGCGGTTCAAACGAACTTCTCTCGTACACGGTCAGCGCATATAAGAAGCCCTCGAGATCGAGCTGGAGTCTTCAGCTCGCTCAGCTCTCATCCACCTGTCAAGATACACAATGCTCGCCTTTAGCAAAGTCCTCTGTGCTATCCTCCTGGCTGGCCACGCCTCGGCTGCACCCGCTGCCAATAGCAGTGCTGTGTCTTCCGTTGCGTCTCTCAGTCTGACCTCCGAGGCGGTGGGCGCAGCTCCCTCCAGCACGGCCAATTCGGCGAGCGCCTTGGCCTCCGGTACGTCGTCGGCCTTGCCTGCGTCGGAGACGGTGGCCTTCGCTAGCGACGACCCCAACGATATTCTGTGGTCCCAGAACTCCACCACCAACCCTCAACCCATCCGTGAATCCTTGGGCGCGAAGATTCTCGGACCGCAGAATATCCCTGTCGCCCTTCAGAACCCCGATTTGCTGGCGCCGCCTACTACGGATTCTGGTAACATGTAAGTTCTGTATCTGATGGCATTCTATCGGCCGCAGTACTAAGTTAGCCAACAGTCAGAATGCCAAGTGGCCTTTGGCGCTCAGTCACAACCGTTTGCAGACGGGCGGATGGGCTAGACAGCAGAATGGTAGGTTCTGAGCGGAGGCAGCGACAAATCCATCAGCTGACAGTACCTTTGCAGTGGATGTGATGCCTATTGCGACTTGTGAGTCTGCCTGAGTAACGTTGACGATGGCGGAGACCTTATCCAGGCACACCAGCCATGGCGGGGGTGAACATGCGGCTCGAGGCAGGCGCGATCCGGTACGTTCTCTGTACGTGCGACCTTCATCGCACATGCTGATGAGCACGCACAGTGAGCTCCATTGGCACAAGACCGCCGAAGTGAGTTCACTTACCTGGATTCAGACACGAGCAGTTCGCTGACGGCAGTGGATTCAGTGGGCATATGTTCTCAAGGTTCGCCCGCGACGTGTCCGATACGCATAGCTTCTAGATTTCGCGGAGATTCTGACCTGCTATCTTCGTCTGCTACTCCAGGGTTCTGTGCAGGTGACATCTATCAACAGCGATGGCCAGAACTACCTCGCCACCGCAGTGCGTATTTATTGTACTCCGCTCCAGCTATTTTTGTCACTTCTCACGCTGACAATACCGTTCGTGACGTAATAGAACACGGGTGACCTTTGGTACTTCCCACCTGGCATCCCGCACTCCCTCCAGGCCACCAATGACGACCCGGACGGCGCGGAATTCCTCCTTGTTCGTTCCGTTCAAACTTATCTTGGACTCGCACATGAGCTGACCGTCATTTCCCAAGGTCTTCGACGACGGCGCCTTCAGCGAAGACTCGACATTCCTGGTGTGTAGCCGCGACGCTGTCTCAATTAATAGCTCACGGATGCTGACCGGATAACGTCACATTCATATCATTTTTGTGCATGGTCATGCTTTGCGGTCATGCGCAGCTCACGGATTGGCTTGCCCATGTGCCCAAGGAGGTGTTGGCGAAAAATTTCAAGGCGAGCATCTCGGCGTTCGACCATATCCCCGGGGAGCAGCTCTACATCTTCCCTAGCGGTGAGTTGACGGATGGCCTTTACAAAGGAATGGCTGGATGCCCCCGACACCTTGATTGAACGTGTCTCGTTTGCATAGCGCCACCTCCCGCCGACAGCAAGTACATCGTCTCCGACCCCCAGGGCCAGGTCCCGAACCCCTTCGTCTTCCACCTGTCCCAGGTGAATGCGACTAAGCTTGACGGCGGTTCGGTGAAGGTGGTCGATTCCACCACCTTCACTGTCTCCACGGCGATCGCTGTTGCTGAGGTAACTGTCGAGCCCGGCGCGATGCGAGAGCTTCATGTGAGTACCGGCGCATCGACGACATGTCCGCACCAAAAGCGTGGAATCACCAACATAACTTGTAGTGGCACCCCACTCAGGACGAGTGGACTTACTATTTGTGGGTTCAGGCACGTGGATCATGCTTGAATAGCTGCTAATTCCTTCGACAGGGAGGGCACAGGTCGTGTGACCCTCTTCGGCGCGGAGTCCAACGCACGCACCTTCAATTACCAGGTGAGCGTAGCCTCTTACCTACTTCCCTGTCTTGGAATCGACCTATATCTGACACTCCGCTCCTAGCCTGGTGACATCGGTTACGTGCCCGCTTCATTCGGCCACTACGTCGAAAACGCGGGCAACACTACGCTGCGCTTCCTCGAGATCTTCAACACGGATCGCTACCAGGATATCAGCTTGAACCAGGTCCGTCCTTCGTGGCGCCATCACCGTCCCTCGGGCTGATCCTTGCGCGATTTTGTACAGTGGCTCGCTCTCACCCCGCCCGAGATGGTCAAGGCTCATCTCGACCTCGACGACGCCACCATCGCGCTCCTGAGCAAGACCAAGTACACCGTCGTCGCCGGTTCTCCCTCCTCGGCGTAGAAAGCTGGTGGGTCCCACGTAGCGATCGCGGCGCTCGCTTCTGCTTAAGTCGCTTGAGTACTATGTATGTAGGATGATGCTCCGCTTCTTCGGCTCGGTATCTATTACGGTTCAACTCCGCGAGTTGTGTATGCGGCGCCGGGTGCCAGGCTTCGTACTTCTCTTGTGACTGAACGCTGGGATATCGGTGGTGGTACTAAGTATCTGATTATGCCCTCGGAGACTCGGAAATTCCTGAAGTGATCTGTACACGTTCTCTAGTAAAATAAAATAAAAAACAAGATTGACATTGTCCGTGTCCAATCAATGCTTTCTCTGATTGACTCCGCATGCAAATGCACGTGCCTCCGATGATTCCTGTCGACGGCCTGACGGCTTAGAATCAGCTGCAAGCGGTATTGCGGGCTGCAAGGACAACACCCATGCCTTGAATCTTGGCTCCGCGAAGGTCCCTGGCTGGCGATACGCGGCTGAGATGGTCAGCTCGCTGGTTTATCTAAGGCGTCTTGCCAATCGTTGACCGTTGCGAAGCTTGACACTCTTGGACTAAAGACACAGCGCTCTTGAAGAGGATGACGTTGATGAACTCCGAAGGGTCAGCCAGTAGCATCGAAGTGTTGATACTTGTAATGACATTAAAGCGGTGATGGTGACAGGGCGAATCACAAGTCCGAAAAGTGATCGCAGCAGTCCTGATGAGCCGAACATGATGTGCGGACCGGCGGGTGCATTCGACATTGAGCTACGGGTGAACGAAGGGCCTTGTGGGGCGGCCCGAATGCCCCCCTGGCAACTCTCGCGTGCCGACGACGAGCGGGAGGAGGGCATACCTGGGCAGAACAATATCAGGGCGATGTCTTTAGGACCTCAGATGAGAAACGGGATATGTCGGCGCACCGCTCACTCCGTGGGCCGTGGAGCACTATGGCACGGCACGCTCGTGAAGCGTTATCAATGTCGGCGAACTCCTCTTGTGAAGGTCAGGCTCATAAGTACCGCAGTTTTGTCTGGCATAATGTGGGATGAGTGGCCGCCGGAAGTGGAGTTGTACTGGGGCGACGCACAGCTTATACGGTACTCACGGGCGTCGCCGAGAATCAGTAGAGTTTAAGCTCGGAGGATCCAGGTTGTCGGTCCTTATGGAGAGCATCGGAGCCATCACCATTTGTGCTTACGCCGGCCTATCCCTGTGTGATGACGACGACGGAGGACAGGAGTAAAGCGGGTTGTGGCCAACATCCTATGTTCTATTCCGGCATCTGCAATGGGCCTACAGCCTGTCAGTCGCAGTCTATAGTTTGACCGCTAGATCCGAGTCGATGGGATGATTCGGGACGAATATAAGGTGGCTGACTGCCATCAGCTGTCTCGGATGCTGTAGAGTTGGGGGTTGTCCTTTAGTCGGATGGATGGATCAACATACACATGGGCGATGACGAGCGTCGGGCGGGAACAGTATTGGACACGGTGGTGACTAGTCTCGTGGGTATGGCGAGACCATGCAGTGACTGAGATGTCAGAACGTATTTGCATGCATGTCGAGTCCAAGGTGTAGCAACAGTGCCAGCTACTGTGCTGTTCACGAAGGCAGCTGGGCGCCGAAGGTGTTGTACGTCCCCCGTCTACATGGCTTGCATGTTCACTTGGGTATCACCACAGAAGACCACACTCCCAACGTACCCCGATCTTTCTCGGTTTGTGGCGAGACCCGAACGAGACTGCTTACTGTAGACTTCGGGATCGTCTCGGTGCCGAGGGCTCCAACCTGGGGTCGTCGCCGCAGCTTCGCTATCAGGCTTATCACTGTCGAGCCGACGCGTGGACTAGAAAGGTGTTCTATGTAAAGCCCGGCCTACTTGTGACGGATGGATCGCAACTAATTGAATGCTCTCCCCAGGACGCAGTGGTTGGGCAGTCTGAATAATCATCATCATCATCTCGAACATACATGAGAAAGCACGGAAGGGCAGGTCAGGCGGTCTTACTATGCGGATTCAGGCTGCAGTAGGACCATTTTGGGACCGGCGGGTGGGGCAGGGAGAATGGGCGATCAGGGTGAGCCCCTAGACCTAGGTCGGTGGCGTTGCAGAAGCAAGCCTGTATCTACTTCGCATTGACAGTGATGGGTGTGATGGTCGCGTTGGGACAGATTTCACATGTTATAAAACTTATCGCTTTTTTCTTGGAAGCTTGAACCCCGTTTGCCACAGCTCAATTACCCCAGCAACTCAAAACAACCATCCTTGCTGTACGATACCGAGTATTGTCCTATAGAGTTAGTTGTTCTGAGCCGCGCTTGTGAGGCGCTTCATCGCATTGCGGGCCTCTGATTGGTTGGTTCACGATGTAGCGCTTGCGGTACTGCCTCTGCCAGATTAGGAACCCGATTTACGTCAGATGCTCCCGCGGGATCTGGGGCGGCATGTCCACTTAAGTATTCTCCAGAGGCTGGCTGTCTACACCGGCCCCCAGGTTGGAGGTACCATCGGCCAGCACCACGCCCTCGAGTCTTCGGCAGCCTTCTCACCTTGCAGTCATTGTCAGAGGCATCCTAGTACTCAGTGCCGTGCACTAACCCAAGCCAATGCCGACCGTTCCCTCAACCTGCGTCCCGGTCAATGCTCTCGACTCCGTCGTCATCCCCGAGGCCGGTCTACTTCCTCCCGACGAAGTAACCAGTGGCCCCACCCCCGATCCCGAAACGGACGATGTGATGCTCGTGCAGACTGACGATGGCATGATCCTTGAGGTGAGTTGCTTCCCCTCTGATACGCTTGCCTCAAGTACCAACTCTTCACCTGATGCATAGGCATCCCCTTCTCAATGTCCTCCTCAGACCATCGCGAAGCCTCACAGGATTGAGCTGGGATCGCTCATTCTTCATTCGCCTTCATCTATCGTAGGCACCCCCTTCGACTCGTCACCGCGTTTCGAGTACCCGTTCCCACCAGCGGGAGACGTCATTGACCAGCTGGAGCCCTTGGTCCCGTCCTTCCACATCCTTTCACCGTCCTTCGCATCATTCCCTCCCCCCACACCCTCCTTGCCGCCCCCGCTCCCCCTCTCCTTTCCACCCAGTGCAACCCCCGCAGCCAAGCCGCGCCCCCAATCTCGGTGCTTCTCCCCTACGCATCTCAAGCTCAATGCTCGTGAGCCGCCAGTGCCGCCAGGCCTAAGGCACAAGATCATCAGGGACAACACTGGCGATTCCACCACCATGATCAGTGTCATGGGCTTCGACATCGGCGGAGCGACGAGCCTAAACCAACCCAGCCGCGGCCGGAGGAGGAGCGGCAGCCTCAGCGGCCTCTCCGACAAGCTGCGGCTCCTCACCCAGACGCCCATCGACCCCTCGGGCGTCGCGCGTGCAAAGGAGGCCGCGAGGATAGGCGCGAAGCCGCCGCAGGCACACGAAGTCGACATCAAGTGGAAGAGGCATAGCCTGGCCATATGCGAAATCGATCGCGAGCACGACACCGATGATGCCACGGGGGGCCATCCCGGGCACGATGTCATCGCCGACATCTTGCGCGGCAAGTCGAGGGGACGCACGAGGCCTACGCTTACCCACAGCGCGTCTTCGATGTCGCTCTCATAGGACTTCGGTCACCTCGGTCGGACGCTGCGCTGTCCGAGAGACCCTATCCTCCCTTGGATTGACAGGCATCACACATCTTACACGCTTTCCTCCTACCCATCCTTCGCCGCCTGCGTTTCCGACCGCCTTTCGGCTTTGAGCACCATACACGTCGCTCTTGCTCCTCAGGCTTTCGCAGGCTGCTGGCCAGTCTCGAACGAACGGATACGCCCCTCATATGTACAACGCGCGACTCGAGTCGCAACTCTCCGCGTACCTCACGTCTTACATTGCTTTTCCCGTTACTTGTGCTGCTGCCTAAGCCAGAGCCGGGTTGACTTAGGGAAAAGCGCATGCGACGGACGAGTACTTTCGGAGTTCTTTTACTCTCATTATCCCTGTTCTTGCGTCTTCTGGTAGACACACGTGCACGGTTTCGTCTTTCTTGCCGACTGTGTTGTATTCGTATCATGCATTCTTTTATGACCCTCACCACTATCCCTAGAAACTTACGAAGCCGTGCTCCTCACCGATTTTGATCTTCTGTTTGGGCTCCAATCTTGGCTTTTGATCCTCTCTCCCGCATTGTATCGATTCGCTCTCATCCATCCCTGGTATATGTATACCCGTCGCCATCCATCCATCCATCCAATCAATCCAATCCCCTATCCCCCTGAATCCCCTCCCCATAAAATAATACGCCCACTGTCACGCTCGCTCTCGATTTGCTCTGTCATTACCACCCGCTCATATACGACTGCCTCCGCACCGACCACTCATTCACACAGCACCCGCAACTGTCATGTTACCGTTTCCGTGCGCGATCCCTCTCTTTCGATGACATATCGGGTCTCGGACTCTGGCTGCCGTACCATGTATGCGCTACCTTACGATGCTCCCCGGAAACGTGCAACGTCTTGCACCGTATACATGTCGGTCAAGAACGGACGACTAGCGAAGATGTTGTGGAATGTAAATGATATCAAGTACCACATCGGTCTGGTATTGCCTCTCGAAGCGTCTGTGAAGATCGCTATTGCACGCGTCGGCGTCTGCTGCCTGTTAGCTTGCTCGGGTCTTTGGGTTGCTTATTGTTGCGACGTCGTACCGTACTAGCATGACCCCAGAAGCTACGACCCATAACGTATTTCATGGATATCTCCCTCCATTCCTCTCCAATACATTTCAGACTTGGCACACTTCATTTCCATCCTGGACAGTACATATGGGTGAAATATGAAGAAAATCGGTGGAGGTTTGCATTGAGCATCGCGGAATTACACGTCTGACCCCAGAAGCTACGGAAAAGCGCCCATAGATTGTCATGGATGGTCACAATGCCGAAGACTGCCGATTCAAACACCGCTGTTATCAGTCGTTTGATAGCGAAGTTGGCCGGGGCAACATTGTCGAAGCGCTCAGATTGAAAGTCAGCTTTATCTCGGTCAGTGGCTGAATGTCACGCTCGAGAGACCTCTTCCTATCTTTCGAATACTGCAACCCGGAACCCTTCGGAGACTGAACAAGAAAGTTTATTGAGAATGTTCAGAACACTTTGCGAAGTTACAGAAAGATCGGCGCTGCAGATCTTTTTGTGGCAGCTCACCAAGGTCAGTAAACCCTTGAAACCCTACTGAGATTGACTTGTATCGGGAGCAAATCCCTTCCGATTTCCTTCTTTG